CTAGTACTTAAGTGGGAAGTATTTACCCTATAGTAAGTGCTCAATAAATGTTAGCTGTTAATAAGATTGCCCCCTCCTAGGGCTTCCTGGGCCACCCTAGCTCTGGGGTGTGGGCCCCCCCCCAGAGGGCTTAGCCTTGCAATGGGGAGTGGGGAGCAAAGTGCTGGCCTGACTCAGCAGTAGCTGAAATCAGGCCGTGTTGGGAAGGAGGGGTGTGAGGGATGAGCCAGAGGAGGAACAGACAAAGCAGGTTCCTTGGAAGCCTTTGCCTGGTTGCTGAGGAAAACTTTGCCAGGCCTGGGACTGATAGGCCTCCAGCTTTTACCACTGGAGGCTGGGATGGGGGAGAAATGGGAGGGGAGGAAGGCCATGCACCACCTCATCAAGTAGGATGTGCAGCTGAGGAAGGACCTGAGAATCCTGACTCACCAGCCAGCACTAACACCATCTCTCACTGCCCTTTTTTTGCCCCAAAAGCAAGGCTGACATTTGCTTTCCAAGCACAGCAAGAACCGAGGCAACAGCCACCTCCAGGCTGCAGTTTGTGGGGTACTGGTCATCCCTTCCCACACTCCACATCTTTCCTCTTGCCTGTTCCAGAACAGAGTAGGTGGAAGGAGACTAGAAGTGGTCTAGTCTGGGCTAATATTGAGCACATACAGTTCTCAAGGACAGTGCAAAGGGCTTTTTAGGAATTATCTTTTTTTCTTCTTCTTCTTCTTCTTCTTCTTCTTCTTCTTCTTCTTCTTCTTCTTCTTCTTCTTCTTCTATAATCTTTATTGTTGAATGTAGAATGTATTACAGATGTTCCTCATTTATCCCCCATTGACCCCCTCCTCCCCACTCCCGCCCCCCTCCCGCCTTTTCCCACACTATTCTCTGTGTCCATTGGTTATGCATATAACTTCTTTGGTTTATTTCTTCCCACCTCCCAACCCCTTTCCCTTTGAAGTTTGTCAGTCTAGCAATGAACTTGTACTTCTTAATCCCTTCACCTTTTTCACCCATTCCCCCAACCCCCCTCCCAACTGGCAACCAACAAAATGTTCTCTGTATCTATGAGAATGTTTCTGTTCTACCTGTTCATTTTGTTTGTAGATTCCATTGTCAATAGATATGTATTCATTGCCATTTTGTTTGTTCATACATTTTATCTTTTTCTTCAAAAAGACCCTTCATCATTTCATATAATAATGGTTTGGTGGTGATGAACTCCTTTGACTTTTTCTTGTCTGGGAAAGTCTTTATATGGCCATCGATTCTAAATGACAGCTTTGCAGGATAGAGTAATCTTGGTTGTAGGTTCTTGCTTTTCATCACTCTGAATATTTCTTGCCACTCCCTTCTGGCCTGCAAAGTTTCTTTAGAGAAATCAGCTGACAGCCTAATGGGTACTCCCTTGTAGGTAACTAGCCGCCTTTCTCTTGCTGCTTTTAAGATTCTCTCTTTGTCTTGAACCTTTGGCATTTTACTTATGATGTGTCTTGGTGTGGGTCTCTTGGGGTTCATCTTGTTTGGGACTATCTGTGATTCCTGGACTTGTATGTCTGTTTCCTTCACCAAGTTAGGAAAGTTTTCTGCCATTATTGTTTCAAACAGGTTTTCAATTTCTTGTTGTCTCTCTTCTCCTTCTGGCACCCCCAAGATGCGAATGTTGGCATGCTTGAAGTTGTCCCAGAGGCTCCTTACACTCTCCTCATTTTTTTGGATTCTTTTTTTCTTTTTGCTGTTCTGATTGGGCATTTTTTGCTTCCTTATATTCCAAATCGATGGTTTGCTTCTTGGATTTACGTACTCTACTGTTGAATCTGGGTAAATTATTCTTTATTTCAGTTAATGCCTCCTTCATTTCTGACTGTGCATCCATCATTTCTGACTGGTTCTTTATTATACTCTTGAGGCCCTCCCTAAGTTCACTGAGGTTCTCACTAAGTTCATTGAGCATCCTTATAAGCAGTATTTTGAACTCAGTATCTGTTAGGTTGCTTATCTCCATTTTGCTTAATTCTTTTCTTGGGGTTTTGTTCTGTTCTTTCATTTGGGACCTGTTTCTTTGTCTCCTCATTTTGGCTGCCTCTCTGTGTTTGTTTCTGTGTATTACTTAACGATAGGTATGGGGCTAGCGGAGACCAGATACTGCTTGTTTGAAAGAATTTAGGAAAACCTGAAGCAGGATCCAAGACAGGCCAATCCTATGGTTAAGCAAGTGGTGACATCTTGGGTGGGCCTGAAACTTGGGTAGGGCGGGGCGGGGCCTCAGGGAGTCAGCAGGGCGGGGCTACCAGTGTGAGCCTGGTTGCTGGAGTCCCAGGTATGGTGATTGTCTGCCGCCCCTGGGAAGGGCTCACCAAAGGAACAAAGGCCTCTGACTGCACGTTTGTCCCGGAGAAAGCCCCCTCTCCAGCCCTCGCTCCAGTGCCAAACAGCTAGTTCTTCCCTGTATGTCTCTGGTGCCCCTCGAGCTGCCTCCCCTCCAAGCTTAGAGGGAGTGAGTTGGATAAGTCCGTGCGCGGGCCCTTTAAGGAGCTGCCTGGGGCTCCAGCCTCCTCAGCTTCCCTGAGCCTCAGTTCCTGCTGCTTTTTCCAGCCAGAAGTTATGGGGACTCTCTTCCTGGCACTGGAATCCTGAGCAGGGCACCTGGTGTGGGACAGGGACCCTTTGGTCCTCAGGAAGGACCTTCCCAGCCAAGGTGTCCTCCTGATTTTTATCCGCCACACGTGGGTGTGGGACCAGCCTGTCCGCTTCCGCCCTCCTACCAGTCTGGATGTGGCTGCTGCTTTAATTCCGTAGTTGTAGGACTTCCATTCAGCTTGATTTCAGTCGGTTTTGAATGATGGTTGTTCTGTAGTTTAGTTGTAACTTTGATGTGGTTGTGGGAGGACGTGATACCGCATTTACTTACGCTGCCATCTTGACTGGAAGTCCCGGAACTATCGTATTTCATGTTCCCAATGACCCTGTGAGGCAGTAATGCTATTATCCCCACTTTCCAGAGGTGGAAACTGAGGCTCAGAGAGGTGGTCACTGATGGCCCATGGCCACACAGAGTTAGCAAGAGTGGATCAGGGACTTAAGCCCAGACAGTCTGCTCCAGAGAGCCCACGTCTCCCTGACGCCCTGAACAGCCTCCCTGTGCTCTGATGTGACGTTCATGGCCAAAGAGAGGAGTTCCCCGATGTCCCTAACCAGGCAGATCGGGGCCTCTGCTCTGTGTTCCGTTAACCTACTCAGATTTCAAGTTTCATTCTTTCCAGTGCTAGTGCTTTGGTCTGCAGAAAGCTTTTTGTCCCTCTTCTTCACACTCAAGGGCTGGTCTTCCCTCCAGAAGGGAGGAAGGCCGTGGCATGGTGCAGGGGTGAGGGGAAACAGCGAGGTGCTGTCCAGGTTTCCATGGCAGCCGTCCCTCTCATGACCGCCTCTGCTTGCTGCTAGAGAGCTGAGGAGGGTGGTGAGAGGGGGGCGAGGCTGTCTTCTCTCTTCCTTCCTCACCTCCCCTTCAGGGTGGGCAGCCAGGTGAACGGAAAGCTGTGCCCCACCAGCCCTGCTGGATGGACTCCACGCTTGGATGCTGGGACCTTGTGATGGGGGGGCCTCCAGGCAGAACAGCCACCTGGGCCAGGCCTCCCAACTGCACTACTCTTCCGGAATTTCAAGGGCTGTGAACTCCATGAATAGGACCTCATGTCTATACCTCCAGGGTCTCTGCAGGGCCTGACAAGAGTAGATACGCAGTGAATTGTTGTTGAAGGGATAAATGAACAGATGAAAGAACAGACCAGTGAGCCATCCTACACGCTAGCCACGAGTATTCATTTCCACATTCCCATACGCCGTGCTCAGTGTCCCCTCTGGGTCTCTGCCAGGGGCTTCCCTCTGCCCACACTTCCCCACCACACTGTGCTGATTCCCGCATCTGCCCACCGCTCAGCTCGGAGGTCACTTCCTTGCAGAGGCTGCTCTGAATCCTCCACGGCTCCCTTTATCCCGCTGGCCTATCGGAGCGTGTGGCGGCACGCGCCTGGGTGCTCGCATGCCTCCTAGTGAGTCTCGCAGCCTCGTGTGGGCAGGAACCAGTCTTCCAGGCCCCAGAGCCTGGCATGATGCCTGGCTTGGGGTAGGTATTGACCCTTCCTTGTGGAAAGAAGGGAGGAAGGAAAGGAGGGGAGGAGGGAGGGAGGGATGCTTTTGGAATGAGGGAGCTGAGTGAAAGAGCAGCACCCAGAACGCAAACCTCCTTGGAGCCAGATGATGGACACCCAGGGCTCCCCACAGCCTGGGACCCCATCCCTTCCCTCCACATGCACAGTATTAACCAAATAATACCAGCAGTTCGCCAAGTGCTCTCACATCCCGGGCCTGGTTCCAGTCCCCAGACAGACCCGAGAGGGCCTCATAAACTGTGTGCCTCGTGTTAAAGGCGGGGCGTCAGCAACTGGTGCTGGGATAACTGTGTAGCCACGTGGCAAAAGATGAACTTGGATGACGTAAAAATTAACCCAACATGGGTCGTAGACTTCCATGTAAGAGCTAAAATGATAAGATTTGAAGGAGAAAATCTTTAAGACCTCGAGTCAGGCAAATATTTTTTAGATATGATACCAAAAGTATGGTCCGGAGAATACAATTTGATCAATTGGACTTTATCAAAATTCAAAACTTTGGTGCTTCAGAAGCTACCGTGATGAAATGAAAAGACAGGCAGCAGACTGGGAAAAGCTATTGTAAAACACACGTGATAAAGCACAAGCTCCCGGAGCGCAGAGACACCCGAGGGGTGTCACTGCCAGAGAAGACGGCGCGGGTAACTGTCTCCTGGTCTCTCCACTGTATTTGTTCTGCAGCAGGCACGTAGCTGGGTGCAGCCCCTGGCCTGCGTTGGACCCTCACTGGAGAACTGACTCAGGTAGGAAGTCTCCCAGAGGCCTTCAGACCATCGGATTCACCTCCCTCCCCAGTTCTCCACCTGCTTCCTCGGCACGAGCTCCCCCCAGTGGCCACCAGCAGAATTGTATCATCGTTGTAAGTGACCGACATCCTGAGAAGGTTAGATGCTTGCTCCATCCACCAAGAGACCCCCGAAATGCCATTACAGCTACTCTGACCCTCGGGCTGTTAAAACGTACCATGCTCCATGTACACTCCTATAAGTTCACACTTTACTAAACATGTAGTGTAAATGAGTTAACCAGTGACCTGGTTGTAATAAAACGGGGCAGCCTAGGCAGGAGGAGAAGGGAACAGAAAGTAGGGAAACGTAAGAGGCAAGAGGCTCCCTGCTCCTGTTAGACGCTGATCTGGACGGGAGGAGGGTGAGTTTTGTGCTCTTTCCTTTTCCTCATGGCACCCCTTTCCCCCTATTTTCCCGAGTTAGCACAATAAGCCCCAGACCCCCAGGCCCCTCCCACTGCCGCATGCCAGGCCCCTGACCTTTATTCCCTCCCCAGCCCCTCCTCCTAGCTCTCCCCAGCTCCGGGAACCATTCCCCCCTGCCCCCTGGAACTCGGTGTCCACGTTTCCTTCTACAAACATCTGTGGGATACTCCCTGCGTTCCAGTCATTATTCTCCGTGACTGACAGATCTTAACCCCTATTCCTCTTAACAACCCCCAGTTAGAAGCGGGCACTGACTGCTAGCACCATCCCCGGTTCACAGAGGAGTGGATGACGTGGAGACCTCAGTGGTGAGTAGGTGTTGGAACTGGGGTTCAGTGCCATTGAACCATGAAGCCCAGGAACACCCCCCGCTCCTCCTCGGTGTCCCACCCTCTCACTGAGAACTGAAACCCAAGACTTCCCAGGACCCCACTTCCCTTACCACCATCTCATGGGGCGGTTTGTTTCTCTCTCAAGCTACTGGCCTGGGGATGGAAGAGAGATCTTTCTTGCTTCTCTTTGCAGCTTCCAGACTTTCTTCTTTCCTCCCCACTAAAGCCACCGTGTCAGCCTAGACATCTTATTTCCCCTCTTTGTCACAGGCATCGACTCCTCCCCCCAAGTCACTCCCCACTTCCCTGAAGAGTTCAGTTCCTGCCTCACGGTCAGGCCAGTACTATTCCTGTCTCCGTTCTCACTGATTCCGATGTCCACACATCCACAGAGATGACCCTTCCAACGCTCTAGCCTTGACACACCACTCACTCCATGGCCATGCCCTAGACCTTATCACTGCCAACAACCACAATCCCTTCTTAGTATCAATGTCACCCAGCTCGTTTTCCATCAGCCACTTCCTGTCTGTCCGTCCACACCCTCCAGTACTCGGCAATCTTCTACCCATGGAACTCCAGCACCTTTCACGATTCCTCGCCCGTCTCACGTTCCCTTTCTCTCCTTACCTGGCTCACAGTCCTCGGACAATTGTGAAAACGACTCCCTTGCGTACACCTCCAGTCCTCTGGTCTCCTTCTCATACTTGCTTGGGGAAACCTCTAACCTGTTTAAATCTAGCTGTCTGCCTCCTCCGCACCTGCCCCCGCACAGGTGACCACAGCCGGGGGAATGCACAGCGCGTCTGGCTGCTCCATGCACCCCCACTGGGCTCTTCCTGCTGCCTGGCAGTCCTGCATCCTCCTAATCCATTCACCAGATCACTGCCCTATACTCCCATTCCTGTCTGTCCTCAGACATTCCTCATCTGCCCACCAACAGCACTGCACACCTGAGACCTTCCTCCTTTTACTGAGCAAATCTAGCAGTAAGGAGAGCACGCCCAGACTGCACCTACATACCTGCCTCCCCTCCTGCTGCCTGGATCAGCTCTCCGGGGGGGCCGAGGCCACCTTCTTGCTGCGCACTGGTCCCAACCCCTCCCCATCCTCGCATTGCTCGGCGACTCTGTCTCTCCTACATCACCAGGTTTTTATTTTGTGCTGGATCGTTTCCATCGGCGTTCTCTATACTGCTCTTTCTCCCGTTCTAACCGCTTCCACCTCTTGTGACCTTTGAATGCATTGTTCATGTCCACTGGCTCCAGTCTTCTCCTGTCCTTCACTCCCATTCCAGCCTGGCCACCAAGCAGCCTCCACGTTGTTTCAACCGCGGCTAACTCTCCGTTGTCAGCTTACTCGACCACATCAACACAAACAGTCCCTCCCTTTACCTAGAAGCTTTCTCTTCATTTGGTGTCCAAGATACCACCCTCTCCTGCTGTTCCTCCTTCCTCCCTGGCTGCTGTTTTCTTCTGGGTCCTCCTCGTCTACATGGGAGCATCCCAAGGCTCAGATCTTGAACCTCACTCTCGTTGGGTGACCTAGTCCCATTCCTCTAAGAGTCTTCTTGTGCTGGTGACTCCCACGTTTGTGTCTCCAGTCTCTCCTATGAACTGCAGGCTCATATATCCAACTGTCTGCTCCGTCTCTCCACTTAGCTGTCCAAGCTCAACTCCTGGTTCCGCTGCCAGCCCTCACGCCCAACCTGCACGTCCTGCCTTTCCCACCCAATAACAGCAGCTACATGTTCCCAGTTTCATCCTGGACTCCTCTCGCACACTCCCCATCCAGCTGATTAGTGCACCTTGTGGGCTTCATCTTCAAAATAGTCCCAGTACGTGACCGCTTCTCACCCCCTCGGCGGCTTTCATCCTGATCATCCATTGTCTCCTGCCTGGATTACGGCGATTTCCTCCTAACTGACCTCTCTGCTTCCACATTTATTCCCAAGACAAGGAGCAAAGTGAACCCTTTAATATATAACTCATTTCATGTCACCCCCTGGCTCACCCCCCCCCCACCTGCGTCCTTCACTCTCCCCTGTTCAGCCACCTGGTCTGTTCGCTCTCCCTCAGCACCGCAGGCAACACTGCACCCCCAGGCAAAGGCCTGAAGTGCCCTCTCCCCCCTAGCTGCACGGGTGGCCCGCTCCCTTCGTCTTTGCTCAAATGTCATCCTCCTCGTGCAGCCTTCCCGTCCTGCTCTTTCCAATTCTGATCTCTCTCACCCCGCACGGCGTCTTCCCACCGAAGTCCCAGGAGGGAGGGATTCTGTGTCCTGGTCACTGATGCATCACCAGCATTAGTCTAGCCTGAGGCAGCTCTTCACTGAATATTTGTTGAATGAATGAATGAGTGAATGAATGAATGAGCCTACTTTTTAAAAAATGAGAATAGAGTTTCTAGGGTGAGATGAGGGCTGGAGCTAAAACAAACGATCTTTTAAAATCAGGACAACTTTGCAGAGAAGCCCAAGCAGCTACCAGTGGCCTCCCGTTTTTACCCACACTTTCCACTCTTATCCACGCCTGAAGAACATGGGTCCAGGGGCGGTGAACCCTGCCATGGAGTCTTCTCCAAATGCTCCGGCTCACTGCATTGGCTCAGGTCCCCGGGCAGGTGCTGGTCTCCCCCCTGGTTCAAGTTCAACATTAGACAGTGATGTTTAATGAGTCACTGCTATGTGCCAGTTACTCTCTATCCTACCCTAATTTAATCTTAGGAGCATTTGCCTCTCCTGGGAACTGGATCTGAGACTCGTCGGGTGTTAGAGGTGGACACCCGTGAGCCTGTCCGCCTGTCCCGTGAATGCAGTGTTCTGAGACCTGACTCACCTTTGTGAAGTTTGTTCATTTATATCAGGGGTGGGGAACCTTTTTATCTGCCAAGGATCATGTGGATATGTATAACATCATTCAAGGGCCATACGAAATTATCAATTTGAAAATTAGTCTGCTGTATTTGGTCAGGCTAATTTGGTGACGTGTGTGAGGTTAGCTGGTATTGATTTCACAGGCCTGATACAGCCCGCAGGTCGGACGTTCCCCACCCCTGATTTATATACAAGAAGAGCTTCACAAAGGTAGACCTAAGACCATTTAGATATGTGTTTTACAGTTCTTTTCGTAAAGGGATCAAGTGGTGCAAAATGCCAGCGCTCCCCAGAGAGCTGGGCTGTTCTGCCATCACGGCCCTGGGTTCGAAGAGGCAGCTCTTACAGGATGGGCTGTGTGCCATCTCGGGGCACCCTCCAGGCTGGCACTGCACCGGGCCTGCTGTGCACTCGGCGCACCGAGCCCCAGATCCCCGGCAGCTCCTGTGTTTTGCGAAGTGTGAGCGGTTTCTGGAATCAGACCTGGATACCCCTCTGTTCACCAGGGAGCCTCCCAGGATGGTGGTCACGCCGGGTGCCCTGAATGTGGTGGAAAAGTCGCGGAACATGACAGAATCCGAGTGCTTTCAGTCTCGGAGTACTGTCCTGCGGGGGCAGCCCTTCGGGGGCATCCCCACTGTGCTGGTCATCAACGTCATCTTGTGGGTGGTGAGTCCTGGGATGGCGGTGGGCAAACCACAAGGCCTCAGCTGGGGTGGACAGTCGGACTTTCACAAGTGACGCAACAGGGGCCCCAGCTGTTCAATGGACACCACCCCAGTGGTAGGGACTCCCGGAATGATCCCACCCCGGGTGGCCCCGGTGGGTGAGCCTGGGGGAGTGGGGGCTGGTAGAGAGGGATATTTTCCATGTGTCATTGTCCAAAGACCCCCTGGCCGGTGCCCTGGGGCCTCCCCTCACCTTCCCCTTGCTGATTTCTTCAAGGGGTGTCTTTCCCGATAGTTCTAAACATGGCACCAGTGCCTTCATTCAACAAACTCTGAATGTCCACTTTGTGCCAAGAATCTGCTGGGCACTGGGGCTCCAGAGTTGAAAAGGCCCCTACCCTAACAGCTGGCTGCCTAGTGGGGGAGGCCTGGGGACCTCAAGGCCAGGGTCTCTCCCAGGGAAACGTGGGGGCTGGCCCAAGGGAAGGCACCACAAGCTCTCTGGCCCCATCTCCTTTCCTGGCCCGTAGCTCATCGTTTTGATTTACTCCTTCCTCCGGAAAGCCGCGTGGGATTATGGGCGCCTGGGTCTGCTGATAAACAATGACAGGTGAGGAGGGGCGGGCATCATGCCGAGAGCTGCTTGCTCCCTTGGAGAATGTGCTGCAACGGGGCACAGCTCTGATGGGGGCCCAGGCTGCAGCGGCGCCACGTCAGCAGGTGGCATCTCATCGCCCATCCCTTCCCCTGCTCTGGCCCTCCCTACAAGAAGGTGACTTGGAGGGCACCCATCTCTGGGCACGGGGCCACTCATTTCTCAGACCTCAGACCTTCTGGATCCCATGACTCCCAAGATGTGTTGAGCACCTCGTAACAGGGGTGATTAACATTTGTACCCAAAGTGGTGTGCTCAGCAAAGGAGCTGAGGTGTGTCTGCTGCTGAGCAGGAGGCCCTGCAGCCCTAGGCCCAGGGGGCAGGAGAGAAGCAAGGCAGGCACCCGAGGCCTCTTCTCTCCTTTTCTGCCCCCACCCCTGCCCCCGCCGCTTTTCCTGCCCGGCAGCCTGACTTCGCTGATCTACGGGGAGCACAGTGAGAAGACGTCTCCCTCGGACATTTCCCTGGAGATGGAACACAAGGACAAGGTGGGTGCTAGGAGGCCTGGGCCAGGCGGGTGGGGCTCCTGGCTCTGGGCTGCAGCCCTGCTCTGTGCAGAAAGGAACATGCCCATAACTAGGGGCTTTGCAGTCAGCCAGACCCAACCACTTCAGCCGTGTGCCTGTGGACCCATTCCTCAGCTCTGCAAGCCTCGTTTTCCCAACCAGAAAAGTAGAGACGGTGACCTTCCCTACATCCCAGGGTGCCAAGGAAGTATTAGCTAGTTCTAATATTTTATTTATTTATTTGTGTTTTTTTTAATTTTCAAGGTAGTTTTAATTAATTAATTAATTTTTTTTATCCTCACCTGAGGACATTTTTCCATTTTTTTGTTCAGATAGAGTGGGAGGGAGAGAGAGGGAGAGAAACATTGACGTGAGAGGGACACATCGAGTGGTTGCCACCCACACGACCCAACTAGGGCCTGGGACAAACTGCAACCGAGGTACATGCCCTTAGCAGGAACCGAACCCGGGTCTCTCTGGACCGCAGGCCGACGCTCTAACCACTGAGCAAACCAGCCAGGGCTAATTCTAATATTTTAAAGGGACTTTAAAAACTAATTTATCTACTCTTCCCAAACTCCAACCCTCTCACAGCCCCAACCCTGCCCTGAGCTCCCGCTCTGAGCTAGGACTCACCTTCTTCGCATGGAAGATTCCAGATGTCAGGCAGAGCCTCCCAATCACCCCTAGCAACAGAGCTGGTCTTCTGCCTGCTCTTTCCTGTGGAACGCCAGTGCTCCGCTGGTTTGTTCGTTCAGCCAGCTGCCATGTGCCAGCCTCTGGCCTTGGGGCTACGCACTAGGCAGCAAGTAGAATGGACCCAGCCCTGCCTCATGCCACCTTCTTCCTGGGTGAGCGACACAGACAGGTGATACAGGACAGTGGTAAGAATGTGAAGGAAAAGGGGCAACGACAACCCTCACCAGCAATGGAACGGAGCTGAAGTACTACAGACGGGGCCAGGGACGGTCTGGGGCGTAGGAGGACATCTGAGCAAGCAGGACTGAAATGCAGAGAGGGAGGGAGCCGTGAACACTTCCTTGCCCATCACACCCCCACAGCTGCGGGTCCCTCTGCCCTGTCACCACAGCTGTGCTCGCTGTCTCTATTTCCTCACCTCCCATTCACTCCTCAACTCCTTCCAATGTGCATTCCACCCCACCATTCCATTTAAGGTTAATTTCTCCAGACAACTCCCAAGGTCATCAGTGGTCCCATGCCATGAAACCCACGGGACGTTCCTCAGATTTCACCTCAACTCAGCATCCCATCTCATCTTCCCCTCCTATCCCATCCCATCTCATCTTCCCATCTTATCCCATCCCATCCAATCCCATCTCATCTTCCCATCCCATCCCATCCCATCCCATCTCATCTTCCCATCTTATCCCATCCCATCCCATTTCATCTTCCCATCTTATCCCATCCCATCCAATCCCATCTCATCTTCCCATCCCATCCCATCCCATCTCATCTCATCTTCCCATCTTATCCCATCCCATCCAATCCCATCTCATCTTCCCATCCCATCCCATCCCATCTCATCTCATCTTCCCATCTTATCCCATCCCATCCCATCTCATCTCATCTTCCCATCTTATCCCATCCCATCCAATCCCATCTCATCTTCCCATCCCATCCCATCCAATCCCATCTCATCTTCCCATCCCATCCCATCCCATCCCATCTCATCTTTCCATCTTATCCCATCCCATCCCATCTCATCTCACCCTCCCATCTTATCCCATCCCATCCAATCCCATCTCATCTTCCCATCCCATCCCATCCCATCTCATCTCATCTTCCCATCTTATCCAATCCCATCTCATCTTCCCATCCCATCCCATCCCATCTCATCTCATCTTCCCATCTTATCCCATCCCATCCAATCCCATCTCATCTTCCCATCCCATCCCATCCCATCTCATCTCATCTTCCCATCTTATCCCATCCCATCCAATCCCATCTCATCTTCCCATCCCATCCCATCCCATCCCATCCCATCTCATCTTCCCATCTTATCCCATCCCATCCCATCCCATCTCATCTTCCCCTCCTGTCCCATCCCATCTCATCTTCCCATCTTATCCCATCCCATCTCATCTTCCCATCTTATCCCATCCCATCCCATCCCATCTCATCTTCCCATCTTATCCCATCCCATCCCATCCCATCTCATCTTCCCATCTTATCCCATCCCATCCCATCCCATCCCATCCCATCCCATCCCATCTCATCTTCCCATCTTATCCCATCCATCCCATCCCATCCCATCCCATCTCATCTTCCCATCTTATCCCATCCCATCTCATCTTCCCATCTTATCCATCCATCCCATCCCATCCCATCCCATCTCATCTTCCCATCTTATCCCATCCCATCCCATCCCATCTCATCTTCCCCTCCTATCCCATCCCATCTCATCTTCCCATCTTATCCCATCCCATCTCATCTTCCCATCTTATCCATCCATCCCATCCCATCCCATCCCATCCCATCCCATCCCATCCCATCCCATCTCATCTTCCCATCTTATCCCATCCCATCCCCATCCCATCCCATCTCATCTTCCCATCTTATCCCATCCATCCATCCCATCCCATCCCATCCCATCTTCCTATCTTATCCCATCCCATCCCATCCCATCTCATCTTCCCATCTTATCCCATCCATCCCATCCCATCCCATCCCATCCCATCCCATCCCATCTCATCTTCCCATCTCTTCCCATCCATCCCATCCCATCCCATCCCATCCCATCTCATCTTCCCATCTTATCTCATCCATCCCATCCCATCTCATCTTCCCATCTTATCCCATCCATCCCATCCCATCCCATCCCATCCCATCCCATCTCATCTTCCCATCTCTTCCCATCCATCCCATCCCATCCCATCCCATCCCATCTCATCTTCCCATCTTATCTCATCCATCCCATCCCATCTCATCTTCCCATCTTATCCCATCCATCCCATCCCATCCCATCCCATCTCATCTTCCCATCTTATCCCATCCATCCCATCCCATCCCATCCCATCTTCCCATCTTATCCCATCCCATCTCATCTTCCCATCTTATCCCATCCCCATCCCATCCCATCTCATCTTCCCATCATATCCAGTCCATCCCATCCCATCCCATCCCATCCCATCCCATCTCATCTTCCCATCTTATCTCATCCCATCCCATCTCATCTTCCCATCTTATCCCATCCCCATCCCATCCCATCTCATCTTCCCATCATATCCAGTCCATCCCATCCCATCCCATCCCATCCCATCCCATCCCATCTCATCTTCCCATCTTATCCCATCCCCATCCCATCCCATCTCATCTTTCCATCCCATCCCATCCCATGCCCACCCCATGCCCATCTCATCTCACCTCACCTCACCTCACCTCACCTCATCTCATCTCTCAGAAACAGCTGACCCCGTAGACGATCTTTCCTTCCTGCACAGGCACTTTCCATTGCTTCTGTTGACATCATGCTCTCTGGGTTTTCCTTCTGCTTCTCTGTCTGTTCCCCCCTACACCTGGATTTCTCCACAGCTGACCCCAGACCCTCTCCTTGATTTCCACACCCCTCTCCCTGGCAACGTCATCTACACTCATGACTTCAATTGCCACCTCTGCACTGATCCCTCCTACACTTCTATCTCCAGCTAAACCTTCCTCTGGGTTCCTACCCCATTTATCCAATGGCCTTCAAAGTATCTCCATATGGGTATTGTAAAAGTGTCCAAAACATGCCATGATCTCCCTCCCTAGATCCCTGGTCTCAGACTATTCCCACCTTCTATCAGGTGCACCTCCCTGCTCTGGCACAGCCCCCTGATCATGACTAGTTCATGACCACATTGTGTTGCTTTGACTTTCTCAGTTTCATTTCTCTCCACCTCTCCCACCGTCCCCCATCCAGGCCTCTATCATCTTTTGCTTGGATGACTATAGCGGACTTTGACTGATCTCTAGGTTCATGCTTGCCCCGTTCCCCATCCAGAGAGGTCCATGTGAACGGGGACACTCATCCCCTGCATAAACCTTGAGTGGCTTCCTAATGCTCTTGGTATGAATTGCATATGCCTTCACCTCATGGTTTGGCCTCTTGCCCACCTGTCAATCTGTCTTTCTCCTTCCAAATTCTTCACCCCTGGCCCATGGCCATCTTTTAGATCCTCTAGAGTGCTGCCTCCTTCCCCTGCTCTTCCTTCTCCACCTTCCCCCTGGCCTCTCTCTGAGCCTACACAGATCCCAGCCGAAGCACCACTTCTCTACCCCGTCTCTGTTACATACTCACGGGAAAGCGTCCTCTTTCTTCAGCATTCCTAACAGTCTTCGGCAGTACACCTGCCCGTCAGTCCAGTGTGCCCGCTTCTGCGGTGATGTCAGGGCTGACCTGGTCCTCTTACTGCTGCCCCAGTGCCCAGTCCCGCCTCTCGTGTAGTCAGGATCAGACACAGATCTGTGGACCCAGCGAGTGAGTGGAACCATATTCCTTGCATTGTCACCCTCCTAGAGACCAGGGCCCTTTACTTGCCAAGCTCTCTCGATCGGAGCGGGAACCTCAGACAAGTTTTTCCTCCACAGAACCAGGACAGCCCCACCTACCTTGCCCCGTGATGCTCAGGTTTATTTTTAGAAACATCACTTTGGTTGGTTTTTAAATTTTTTACAATGACAAAAATTATTTTATTTTTAAAGTACTAAGAAGAGAAATCGTTACGGCAGCTAAGGGGCAGTCAAACCGAAGAGCGTAGAAATTCAGTGAGGAGGGGGAGTGCTCCAGCGAGCATGGTGGGTCTGAGCCCGGCCGGCTGTGCGAGAAGCACACGGGTCTCACCAGAGTGCCCGAGCCAGTCGGGGCAGCAGTCATTGCCCTGTGTGGGGAGTGGGGAGGATGGGGCCACCAACATAGGTGCAGTGAACTGGGCACTGTCACTCGGTCTTGTCAGCTCAGCTGGCCCCTGAGAGCGTGTGTCCATTTCCTGCAGGAGTGGGGAGAAGAGGGGAGTAACTCCTCAGGCCCACTGTTCAGCTGCTGTTTTCTGAGTGGGTCATGCCTTGCAGAGCTCTGATGTATGTGCAGGTGTGTGTGTGAGAGACAGAGACACAGAGAGAGACAGAGACAGACAGAGAGGTCAACACATGCTCACTTATACATCTGGGTCGACATGATTTTCATGGGTACACGGGCCACACTTCTACATATCAGCTCTGCCCTTTCATGACAGTCCGGTCTTGTGTGAAATCCAGGACATATATGTACTGTGTGTGGTATTCATGTGCACCTGTCTTCGAAGGGGTGGGAGTAGTTCTGGGGAAGGGGTGTCCTTCACGGTGCATAACCACCAGGGACCGTTAAAACCTACTTGCTCCTTTAGTACATCGCCGTCCTGTTCACGCAGAGATGGGCTGTGGAGAGAGTCTCCATGCAGGGAGGGGGGGTGGCAGGACTCAGCCCAGCTCTTGTATACTGTTCACCCCATCCCTGGGGACCCTTCCAGTCGCTGCTGCCAGCATCATGCCGTTCTCACCATTGCTCTGACTCATTCCTTGGCATCTGACCTTATTTTAGTTCCCCAGGATATGGCTGGGGAAACGGGCCCCTCTGAAGTGGACGCTCCCCAGGTGGACATTCCCACTGTCAATCAACCTAACGCAGGGAGGGGGATTTAGAAGGTGGGCCTTATGCTGATGGTAGCAAAGAACTTCCTTCTTTTCTTGTTTGCCTGCCCCTCGTTGCTTCCTTTGGGACATACCCGTTCCCCAGTCCCTGTGGGTTCAGGGGACCGTCAGCCAGTAGGCCTGCCTGGTTCACTAACATGCTCATGACCCAAATGGGGCCAGTCAAGAGCTCGGCCTTTACCAAGGTTTGGTTAAACCCTCTGGGATCCTGGAAGGAAGCATGCACCAGTGTAACCTAACCAGCTGCCAGATCGGGCAGCTTTTATAACCATGGGTCCCAGCCCACCCTCATGCACCCTCTTCCCAAGCTGACTTTCTCTTGAGTCCCCCTCCCTCACAAGGCCAAGGTCCCCTTTTCCCACCACCCAGAAACTTCCGACAGCAAGAGCCCAAGAGAAAGGCAAAACCAACAGAACCCTCAGCTGCAAGAGAAGAAACCCAGCTCACACTAGTATTACAACAAAGGGTAATGTGTGCTTGAGTGTGGGCAAGTCCAGGAGCAGCAGCTGCTTCAGGTACAGCTAGATCCAGGAGTCTAGTGTTGCCACCGGGATCTCCTCTCTGGTCCTGTCTTCTGAACTGGCTTATTTTCTCAAACAAGATCCTACTTGTGGTGTCAAAGGTGGCACCAAGCCACTCCAGGCTTCTTGGTATTTACCAAGGTGCAGGAACTCGGGGGGAGAGAGACCCTGTCTCCCAATACCCATACCAATCCCCTTAGGAGAATTCTGATGGGCCCTGCTTGGGTCATGCTCCCGTTGGTCACCTGACCATTGGTGGCAGCTACCTACTTGAAGGACAACCCATGGGACTGCTACATGCATGGGGGAGGGGCATTCCCAGAAGGAAGCGATGAGGGACAGATGGAAAACAACTCATGTCCACCCTGGAAAGAGTCCCTTCTGTCCCTCTAGCCCAAGCCCTTGTTTCCTATCACAGGATGCCAGATGGCAGGAATGTCAACGCACTGAGGGGAGACATCTCCCTCAGCAGTCACCGCCGGTGCCTAGCCGAATCAGCCTCTTTCCAGGACTCGGGCGCTTTCTTGACGGCTCTTGTCGGGGAAGGAGAGCCCGCATGGAGCCTCCCTGCCTGGGACGAGGCCAGCTGCCTGGGTTCCCAGAGCGGGTGGGGCTGGCCCAGGCCTGGATGTTCTCACGCTTCCTCTCCTCTCTCCCCCAGGGCTGCTATTCCTGGTTCTTCAACACCATCACCATGAAGTAAGTGCCGGAGCCTTCTGAGCTGGCCACAGCGGGGTTGCCTTGTCCGGGGAGGGGGTGGGCAGAGTCGCCTGTTCTGTGACCGGGCCTGGCCTGAGTTCTGTGTGCACACTCCCCACCCCCGCCGACCACCTCAGCTGCTGGGGCAGATGCTCTCCAGGTTCCAGGTGGCGACATGGGAATGGGACACAGCTCACCGTCCATTTTCTGTCTGCCCTCAAGAAAGAACCACTTTCATATGCTTATAAAAATGCTTTTATGAGCTCCAGGCCAGGAAAAAGAAACCCTTCCTGCATGCTGTTTGCTTTATTTCTGTGACCATCATTCATCATATTTGTCAAAACGGGGACAGAAAGAAAAAAACAACCGCTGGGCAGAAGGGCAGGCTTTCGCTCCACCTCGGCGCCCAATGACAGGGACAGCCCCTCGCCCACCCGACCTTCGGATCTCATTAGTGCCGGACCCCGTTTGGCCAGGAGACAGACCCCAGTGACCTGTTTTGTCTTGCTTCCCCATACCAGCCAAACACTTCAGTCAAGCAGACACTTACCAGAGCTCTGTGGTCTACTACGTGTGCGTGTACATGTGCACACACATACATGTACACGTGTACACAGCTCTGCCTCCACCTCGGAGCCCTGTACATCCGAATTTCCCTAAATATCCCCATCCATTCTTCGCTGCCCATCCTTCAAATCCCTTCTCCAGGGCCCTTCTCTGCCTGCTGATGCCTGCTTTTGGGGGCAGCCTCACTGCCCCCCAAGACCTCCCGCACCAGGGGCCTGCAAAGACTTCTAGGTCGTGTTTTTCATGGGCCTCCACACCCACCATTCACGGGCTTCGCTGGGGCCATCGCACATCGTCCCAAGCCCCCAACCACATGAGCCACACCAGGGCACCCACCTCTCTTTCCCTAGAGCTGCTAAAGGGCCTGGGACCTGTGGGAGCCCAGGGCCGCCTGACTGGGCCTTGGGAATCCAAGCCAGGCCTGGGCCCAGTGGCCTCTGGTGTCTGAGCCCCAGTCCCACCGATGGGAGCTCCCCAGGGCCTCAGCCTCCAGTCTTCCTTCGAGATTCAGTCCCCAGAAAGTAATATGGCTAATTTGCTTGTGGTTCAGGAAGCTTAGCCACATGTGGCGGGAGCAGAAGGGAGACTTTTATTTCTTGGCACTTTCTCTGGTTTTGCTTTGTTAATTTTTAAAACATGCGTAAGCTCACATAAACACTTTTCATTAAGAGTAACAGAAAAGTCCCCCTCCGGCCTCGCACGCCCCTTTTCACAAACAGAGGCACTCCCTGTCAACAGTTTCAAGGGCGTTTTCTTTTCGACAAGCATTTACTATTTTTGCATTTTAAAAATGACCAATGACGCCTATGAACATCTGCGCTTGTTTACCCTGGGAGGCTGTATGGGCTGACTCCAGGTTCCTGGGTTTAGCAGCTTCACGAACGATGGGCAGGGGTGTGCTGGCAAATGAGGAAGCCCTGTGCATGGGGGAGAGGGAGGAAAGACTGGATGAATGGGCCTGCCGTTCTGACCACATCCTCAGGTCCGGGAGAAAAGGGACCCGGCAGGAGAGTTTGAGGCTGACTTCCTAGGTTTTCTCTGCTGTCTGCTGACATGTCAACAGATATACACAGGGCAGCGAAGGAAGCGGCTGCGCTGGGAGGGAGGAGCATACGTAAGGCTTCCTGTGGTGGGTGTGTCTGTGGTGTGCGTGTGTGTGTGTGTGTGTGTGTGTGTGTGCACGTGTGCAAGAAGGGATGCAGGTCTCTGCGCCGGTGCAGAGCTGTGTGCACAGCTGTTCATGCATGCACCTGGACCTGGAGGTCGGTGGGAAGTCAGTGTGGGGGTGTGTCTGTGAGAATCCCCTGCCCTCACTCCACCCCTCCATCAGGAACACATTATCCAGGAAGGGAGGGAGGCTGGGCATTGCACTAGGCATCCTGTTCGCTTTGAGGACAGTTGAATACATTTACTGAGCAGGGACAAGGAGGCCAGAGTCCCAGTGTGGTCTAGTTGGAAGGCAAAGGGTTAACAAGGCTCACAACACATAGTTCCTAACGAGGAGGTTATCATTGCTCTGCAAAGCGCATCTAGGAGAGCGAGAAATTACTGCCGACCAGGAGGACCGGGAGAAGTATAGTTTTGCGCTAGGCCTTGAAGGATGGGAAGAATTTTGAGCATTATTTGTGGAGGGCCCATCACAAACAAAGAACTGTGTGAGCAAATGTTTGGGGCAGAGATGGGCCAGGAGTGTCCAGACATGGCAGTTCTTCTGATGTGGCTGGAAGCAAGGGTACATGCGAGAGAGGGGCTCAAAGTTTGAGCGGGGATCTCAACTTCCACACTGAGAATCTCAGGCTTTGATCGAGGGGCAGTAGAGAGCCACTGACTGTTTCTGAGCAGGAAACTCAGGGTGGCGTCTGTTTATAGGTAGGAAAATGGGAGGGTGTCGGGGTGGATGGCAGCTGGGAAAGTCTGAAGGCAAGGTGAGCAGCTAAGGGGGCTTTTCCAGGATCCAGGTCAAAGGACGTGGTGACCAGGGAAACAGTGGGCAGGAGGCGTAGGGGAGAGAGGTCACGGGCTGCCGTCAGTGGGTCATGGTTTCCACCTGGCTTCCATCTGGTTGAGGAGGAGCAGAAATCAAGGTCTGGTTTCTGAGGAGACTGGTAATGCCACTGACTGGAAGAGGATGAAATGTGATGAGTTGGAAAAATAATGAGACAGGGCCAGGGCGAGCATGTGAGTTGACCAGCGAGCTATTGAAAAAAAATAGGATTGCAGCTTAGGAGACAGGTTGGAGGGAGAGATTTAGATGGGTGCACAGAGGTTGACGTTGAAGTCGTAGGAGCACACGGGTCACCCAAGGGAACATGACCAAGAGAGGCCCAGGGAGAGTGTAGTTGGGGCAGTAGGAAGAGGTGGCAACCCCCAGGGCCGGTGCTTACTGGGCCAGTGGCTGGAGGCTGCGGAAATGAGAGCGGAGGAAGGACCTGGGCTTTGACTATCTGGGCCTCCACGGGGAGGGCACTTTCAGGATAAGGAGGTGTCCGAGAAGTGCGGGCAGAGAAGGAAGGTCCCTCTTTTGAAGAGGTGGGTGTGGGGGGAGGGAAGCAGACACTGAATGGAACTCGAGGGGCCACAGGTCAGGGAGCAGATGCTTGAGGAGCTTCTGGTGTGATTTCAGAGTAACAAATGAGCACTTGAACCGGGTTGTAGTTTAAGGGAAGAAGTGTGGGTGGATGTGGAGAAAGGTGGATGTTCATTTAAAGATGAGAGAGAAGGACCCCAGAAACTGCAGGCAGAGAAGGGGAAAGGACGCGAGCAGAGACGGGAGTTGACTGTGAGTAGGAGAAAGGTGATGGCTGCACTGTCATGGTGGTGGCACTTCAAAGAGTGACGGAAGAGGAAAGAAGTGGACAGAGGAATATAGACAGACTCAGAAATACAGCTTCCCTGGAAACTGTGAAATAAGCTGCTGAATATAAGCTGGGCCTCGGGTGGAGATGGAGCAAGGGGCCCAGTTCGGGAAGCAGGAGTTGGCAGCCCCGGAAGGGCAGTCTGGTGTTCTTGACCCCTCCAGTGATGGGCGGCTCCCAGGGACCTCACCTCACCTCACCTGGGACCTCACCTCACCTCAGGCACACGCTTTCTGCCGAGTGACCAGATCGCAGCCCCCAAGTCTGCAGCAGGACGCCCCCTGTTCTCCCTGCCCGAGTGCAGCCTTCTCACCAATCCGCGTCCTTAGGAGTCAGTTCTCAAGTCCAGGGCAGGAAGTGTTTTAAAAATCGAGAGCTCTAAATAATTCCCTAAATGGGGATATTGAAAGCCTGGAAGATACGCTCTTTGCAGTACTGTTCAAAAATAAAGCTGGATGCTGGCCTGGATGCTCCTGGGGCAAGGGGGAGTCAACTGTGGTACGTCCACAGTGGAGTGGGGAGGCCACGTGGTGCTGGACATGAACCAGTGCTCCATACACGGAGGCCACTGCCACCGTTGTTACTGTGCAGCCATGAAATACTCAGACATGTAAAATGGTCAGAAAAGGCTTAAGATGAAGTGCTCACAAAAGAACAACACTGCAAATGCCGTTCATACTCCAGTCACTAAGTTAAACCAGCACAAGAAACTGAAGGAAATGAACCAAAATGCTTCATAGTCATTGTCTCAGGTTGGATGAGACTGTAGGTGAAGAATTTCCTTCTGTTTTGTATTTTCCAAAGTTTCTATAATAAATCTGCATTGCTTGTAAATTTTTTTAATTGAAGTATAACGTGCACACAGGAATGTACACAGAAGCTAAATGCCCAACTCAGTTATCACAGAGCAAAGCCCATGCAACCACCGTCCTGATCAGGAGTCAGGACATTGCCCACATCCCAGAACCCCTTTCCTGCTCCCTCTCAATCATCCACTGTCACCTCCCCGTCTTCACAGGTAACCGGCATCCTGACTTCTAACTCTATAGTTCAATATTGCTTATTTTTTAACTTTGTCTCTAAAATCATATGGTGTGTATTGTTTGTGCCTGGCATCTTTCAGTCAACGTTGTATTTGTGAGGTTCATCTCTGGTCATTCATTTTTATCTCTGTAGAGCATTTTATTTTGTATCTACATCGTGTGGTATATCTACATAGCTACAATAGATCTAGCACTACATATATTTCTCACAATTCTTATGTTCATTCTACCTTTAACAGACAATTAGGTTGTTGCCACTTTGGGACTATTTTACGTACTGCATCTATGGAGTCCTTATACGTGTCTCTTGATGCTCGTGTGCACGTACTTCTGTTGGAAGAAACCTAGGAGTGGAATTGCTAGGTCACAGGGTGGGCATCTATCCGGTTTCCGTAGGTAATGCCCACTGCTATCCAAACTGGCTGTGCCAAAGTAGGTACCCATGGGCAAGGGAGAGCTCCCGGTGCCTCATACCCTGCCAACACTTGATGTTGTCCGACTTTCTGACTTTGGCCACTCTGGCAGTGTGGAGTGATAGCGCACTGTGATTTTAAGTATTCTTTCATAATTTAAAGAATTAAAAGAAACAACTGTTTAAAACTAAAGCTGCATCTTGATGTCACGAGTGGTTTGTCCATTGCCTGCACCATGTCAAGCACTCCAGATGTCTGAATGCTCGATTTCGAGAGAGCTTCTGTGTTCCCAAGCGTGACGTAGCCTCTGTCTTCAATGTGCCTGTGAAATCCAGTAAATACATTTCAGGCATAACAGAGGCTCTAAAAAGAAGGGTGATCTTTCTAAACAACTCAGACTTTGGGTAAAGGCGGTAATCTCTCCCTCCCCCCACCTACCTCCCCCACCCCACAGAGCTGTGGCCACACCGGCCCCTGAGGAATGTCCTCGTCTGTGTCTCTTCCAGGAACGCAGATCTGATCAGCAAGTGTGGAGACGATGCCCGCATCTACATCATGTTCCAGTACCATCTCATCATCTTCGTGCTCATCCTCTGCATCCCCTCCTTGGGCATCATTCTGCCCATCAACTACAGTGGCAACGTGCTGGGTAGGCAGAGCTCAGCGGGCCCCGGGCCTGGGCCACTAGCCCTGAGAGTCAGCCTGGCAGGCAGGACAGAGCTGGGGTTCTGGGAGTCTAGAAATCTACAGTTTAATGCCACTTCTCATAACTAGTTTTGTGACCCCTTAGGCAACCTGTGCTTTGGTTTTCTCGCTGGAGCCCTGGACACTGGAGAGGATGCCTCCTTTGTCCCAAGTTTAACCCAGGGTCTGCCACCTAGCAGACACCTAGTAGTGATTCAGTCTAGAACTGCACGTTTATCCATGACCCCCTCCGGCACCTGGCCAGGTGGTCCTGGAGGCCCTTCCATGACGTGTAAAGTCCCTGAATCTGAGTTCTTCCTGTGCCCGCTCTGATGGACACGGACCGTAAGTGCAGAATGTGTCTCACATTCGTCTTCCCCCAGTTGTTATTACAGGGTAAGTCCTTCCGACTAAATAACATCGTGGGTGAGGGCTTGGGCTTCAAAGACAGACAGATCTCGATCCCCCAACTTTGACCCACATCTACTTCCCAGAAAACAACTTTGCCCAATCTAGCAAGTTACGTCATCTTGTATTTGGTGAATCAGTCTCCCCAGGCCTTGGTTTCCTCAACTGTGACGGGGAGGGAGAGAGAACGTGTGTCGAGTGCCTGCCGTCGCAGGTGCTCCGTGAGTAACAGCCAGTATTTCACTTAGGACCGGGAGGATGCACAGGGCTGTGTGAAGGCTGTGCAGCCGGGTGGTCTAGAATAGACCAGGTGTCAGCCAGCTCCACCCTAGTTGCTCAGGGTTCTACCGGTTTCTCCTCGGGCCAGAGGTAGACCCCGGTGAACCCAACGTGGCGCCGAGCCCTGCCGCCAGCGCCACCGCCAGAGCCTGTCTTTCCAGGGTGTCACCCTAACCGGCGTGTTGGCAGTGACAGTGTGACGCAGGGTTTCTAGACACATTTCACGAAACTGGAGATGTCTGAACGGACAGACACTCTTAGCCAGAAACATTTCCTCTGTCCGAATGAGGGAGCGTCCCATGCTCTGGAGTTTAGGTTATTGTCATTGCTGCCAGTGGGAACAGTGTTACTAATCTCATCCTTTCCCTCGTGGCGGGACTTCAGGTTCCGTCAACAAGCACTGACTGGTGTCGGGGGGTGTCAGCCAAGAACTGGGGATGACACGCCAACACTGGTCTTGCTTCGTGGCTGAAGAGCCCCAGTGAGCAGCCCCAGGGAGAAGAGGCCTCTGCTGTTTTTGTCGGAAGTCAGGGACAAGCTCTGGGGAGCGAAGGAAGAGCAGGTCGTAGGCCAGCATCTCTAGACCCTGGCACTCACTCGAGAACCCTGAATTCTGGCACCCCACAGCAATGGGGGGGGGCAGGCTTGCAGTCAGCAACTTTCTTCTCTTTCAGACTGGAATAGTCACTTTGGTCGGACCACCATCGTCAATGTCTCCACAGAGTAGGTACCTGATCCTCTTACCTCCCATTCTGCGGGCTGGGGGTTTGGGTGGGGAGAGGAGGGCCAGCGTGTGTGTCCATAATGGGGGCACTGCTTTGCTGATCAGAAAAGCCTGGTTTCCTTGGGAACCCAGGCCCTCAGGGAGATGCGGGAAGTTATTTCCTTGGTGGGACAGATTCTTGGTGCCTCAGTGTTCCCTGTGATGGGTGGAACCACCCAAACCAGCCACTCCCGAAGACTTGGGAAGATGGCCCTATTTGCTCAGTATGTCCAGTTCCCAATAGGCAAAGACCTCATAGAGAGTAGGACTTTGAGATATTGCTCCCCTGCCCACAGTCGGGCCAGGTAATGGAGTGGAGCATGTGACTCCCATGGTGGGATGGAAGAACCAGGTGCACGCCCCATCGCGCCACTAGCTGGCCCTGGGTCTGGGACACTGCACCCGCCCCTCTAAGCATCATTCCTAGTGGTGGGGGAGGCCAGTGGACATGATCTGTAAGCCCCTCCAGCCCTCATAGTCTGGGAACCATGGACTGTAACATCAGCCCACCCAGTGGGTGGCCAAATCCATCTGTACCGAGCCACAGGGAGCCTGCTGGGGCGCCCTGAGCAAACAGGCCCACAGGTGCCTTGGCTAGGTTTGCCCAACTTCCTGAGAAAGTGGAAGCAGCAGTTCCAATAGGTGTGACTGGGGGTGCACACTCCTGCCCCCCCTCCTCTCCCCTCCCCCTCCCCTCCGCGCTGCACCCCTGCAGTCCATCGAACTCCCCAGTCAGCAGAATGGAGCTGTGGTCTCCTCTCACCTCCCTTCCGGCCAGCTGCTCCCGGGGTGCCGCCAACCCCAGAGCGGAGCTTGCCAGCCTCTTCCCGGGCCGCAATGGTGTGAGGCACCTCCGCCTCCTAACGCCCGTGAGTCGGTCCGTATTGGCAGAGAGCTGGGATGCTCCTCAGAGACCACGTGGTCTTCTCCCCGCAGGAAACCGGATGGAGGCGTCCAGCTAGGTGGGGAGTGCTAGGTGATACCTCAAGCACCCCAAGTGTTGAGGAGGAAGCCAGGCAGCCTTTCTCTCCTCAAACCACTCCAAATAAGGCAGGCCCCATTTCCGAACAGTCCTCCTGGCCAGATGCCGGGGGACAGGTCACGGGAGCCCAAAGCCCAAGTGCCCACTCTTCCTGCCCCAGGGGAGGTGTTGCGGATCTGCGGGGTCCTCCTTCCTCTGGGCCTGCGTGTGACCCGAGTCCCTCATCCCAGAGGTCGGGTAGCTGAGGGGGTCTGAGCCGCAGCCGCTGGCAGCAGGACAGTGTCTAGGAGTGACCTCAGGCAGATCACCTACCGCCCTGACCCTGACTTCCCTAGGGTAACATGAAGACAGTCACATGGCGAGAGTCTAGTGAGAAAATGTATAGAAAGCGCCTAGTCCCACCCTGGGTCTGGCGTAGAGTAAGCGCTCACTAAATGTTGGCTTTCGTTAGTTGAAGCGGGACACCCCCATCTTACCACTGCCGTCCCTTCCAAGGTGCCTGAGTATCTGGAAGCACCCGGGGGGGGGGGGTCCTGGGGAGACCGTGTGGGTGGGAGAGAGGTCTCACCCTCCTGCGTGTTGCTCCTGGCAGGAGTAGGATTCTGTGGCTGCACAGTTTCTTGTCCTTGTTCTACTTCATCACCAACCTCTTCTTCATGGCTCATCACTGCTTGTGGTTCGTGCCCAGGAAGAGCTCCAAGGTAAGTGAAAGACCTACCAGAACCGCTCCCTCCCAGCGAGAGCCCCTCCCCCGCTGGACCGCCCCACTCCCAGCCTCAGAGGCTGCCCAGCTGGGCACGTTCTGCACACCTGTGGACCACCACCTGGCACCCCTGCACAGCCAGCCCAGTTGTGAGTCCACTGAATCACTTCCAAACTGGGTGGTAAATAGCTGCTCCCAGGTGCCTCCTACCCCTGCTGCCCTGTTCCCTCTCCAGGGACCCCTGGACCTCCTCACCATCTGAAAACTCAAAAGTTAAGAAACCCCTGGACCAGCAGGGTCCTGCATCCTAAGTGGCCAGTGCCCCCTGCTGAACCACTGGGTAAATATTTTCACTAGCCTTGCCTACTCCAGTCATGCCCAAGCTCTTTGGTCTTCCAGAATCTTCCTGAGGTCAGAGACCCCAGGTCCTGCCCGCGTGTCTCCCCACTGTCTTGGTTTGGGTTACCCCCACCCCATCTCCCAAGCAGACCTTGAGACAAGGATTTGAGCAGCACTGGTTTGGGAGGTGATCCCAGGAAGGACCACTGGACTGCAGGGGTGAGGGTAGTGGGCCTGGGAGAGAAGACCTCTGATAAAACGGAGCAGCGAGGGACAGCTCACCCCTGTGGGAGCCAGCACCTAGTCTCATGGGGAGCTCTTAGAATCACAGTAAAGCATGTGCCCTGGAGTTTCTCAAGCTAGTGGGGAGCAGTTGGGGGTGTTTTCCCACCAACTCCCTGTCCACCACTGGCTGAGGGCTGTGTTTGGGGCTTTAACTCTTCTCCACCCCTTGCTCCGCACGTGGGCTGGGCATGTTCCACTCTCATCAACTAGAGGAGAGACCCCAGGTCAGGAAAGACTCGGGCAGAGTCCTGTGCTCAGGAGTCTTGGGTGTGAGATGAGCACGCAGGGCTGTGGGCAGACACCGCAGGGAAGAGGCGTGCCCTGCGTGGGCTGGGGGCCGGACCAGTGCAGAGGAACCACCCTGGCTCCTGGGCTCAGCCTTTGAAAGGTTCAGTGGAGTGCAATCAGCTCCTTTGAGGCCATCCGTCCTAGTGAACTGGTCGACTTTACTTCACCCCGGAACCCACACCCACACACCCATGAGAGATGACCCCGAATGCTTCTACCTGCCAGGTGTGCAAGCAGAAGGCCTGCTCCGGGTGCGTCTGGGCCACCTGAAGACCCAGACGTGCAGGAGTCCATGTGAGCACGGTCTTCCTTCTCCGTTTGCCCTCCCCACCCAGGTCACAAGGACACTGATGATCACCTATGTCCCCAAAGACATCCAAGACCCAGAAATCATCATTAGGCATTTTCAGTAAGTGGGTTGGGTGGTCTGCGCATGGAGTGTCCCCTCCTGGTAACTGTCTGGATTCTAATGTGGGTAGGAAGGGGTGAGAGACACCCAGGTGGTGGCTTGCCCTGGACGGGGCTAAGGATCAGCCTTTCAGAATGGGGGAGACCTGGGGCCAAGGCAATGCTTCTAAAGTCAGGGTCCCCTGCATGTCGTGGTGTCGGGAGAGGTAGTGTCCCCTTCCCTCGCTGCTCCGATGACGAGCCCAGGGAGCTCCTGGGCCACAGTCATCTAGAATAGGTCATCTTGAGACATCTTTTATGACCCAAGTTCCCAGCCCCAGGAGCTAATGATCTCCAGCTCTGCCCCTTGGCCCTATTCTGGGTCATCTGGGAAGGATGTGGCAAGTCTCAGATTACCAGGGATCAACCCTGAAGTTTGGCTTTAGGAGCAAGAGCTGGATTCTCCATCCAAGAACCAGGACCCACAGGCAGCTGAGCCACCCAGCCCTGTGGGCTGTGGTGCTGGGCACAGGGTAGGGTGGCACATCCCCGACCCTGCAGCTGGCTCAGCACCCATGTTTGTGGCTGCAGCGAGGCCTATCCAGGGTGCGTAGTGACCAGAGTCCACTTCTGCTATGACGTCAGGACCCTGATTGACTTGGACGATCAGAGGTGAGGCTGCAGCGGGCCTATCTGGACCTGGGGTGGGGGTAGAATGGGAGGATGTGGCTCTGCTAGCCCCTGACCACAAGGCCCCCCAAACCCCCACTGCCTGCCGGCTGACAGGCGCCATGCGATGCGCGGCCGGCTCTACTACACAGCCAAGGCCAAGAAGAACGGGAAGGTGATGATCAAGATCCACCCCTGCTCCCGCCTGTGCTTTTGCAAGTGCTGGAGCTGCTTCAAAGAGGTAAGTGGCACAGGTGTGTAGGGACACAGCGGAGGAGGGGCTGGGACACTGGGTCTCCAGGCTCTGTCCAGGGCTCAGGCAGTGCCCCTCACCCACACCCTCAGGCCCAGGCCCCATCCAGCCTGCTCCGGTGCCGTAGGACCTTCCTCCTTCCTGCTCACCCACCCTGCCAGCCTGTTGAGAATGTAGAGCAATCCAAGGAAGCTTGCTCTGGCCCACCTCCGGTCTCGGATGGGCGGGCCGGAGAGAATACAGTAGGCTGCTGCAGCCTGCCAGGCCGCGGGCTTGCAGAGAGAAAGGACGGGCACATTCGAAGGCAGTGGGCATGTCTTATCGCCTGCTCACTGTGGCTGCAAGGCAGCCTCAAGGCTCGAACCTGCACCCGGGCAGCACTGAACTCCAGTCCAGAGATGGAGTCATCCCCCTTTCCTGAAAATGCCGCCGACACATTCTTTCACTCCTCTGGAGTCCCCCCTAAGTCTCAGTGCACCCCAGCCCCCAGCTATGCCTCACTTTCCCCAGATCTAGGAGCAGGGAGTGAATTTTGGAGTCATAGCCTCTTCCTATTCTAGCGTTGGGTTCTTAGAGCCCACCTGGGGTCCTGGGCCCGGCTTCAGAGGGAGCTGGGGTGGAGCCGAGGCCTCAGGCCCACGGCCCTGGGCTGCCGCGGGGAGAGAGGTCCCATGTCCGGGCGAGGCCTCCCTGGAGCTCAGCCCCCCGCTCTGAGGGCCGCACCTCACCCCAGGTGGACGCGGAGCAATATTACAGCGAGCTGGAGGAGCAGCTGACGGACGAGTTCAACGCCGAGTTCAACCGCGTTCGGCTGAAGCGTCTGGACCTGATCTTTGTCACCTTCCAGGACGCCAGGATGACAATGCAGTGAGTGCCAGGGCTGGCGACTTGCTCTGCCCAGCCCCCAGAGTGGCCTCTGCTTCTCTGAAGCCACCCTGTTTCACCCCCATTTCAGCCGAGGGAAGGAGGAGAGAGCCCTCCAGCCTACAATATCCTGACCTCCTCGGCACCCCCATGGCCGCCTTTGTTCCCCCCAGAAGCCAGCTCAGCTTGTCTCCAGAGACACCTGGGCCCTGGGCTCCTCACTCCCGTGTGTCTTGCTTCAGCATGTGGGTGTCCAGAGTAGCCTCTGAGCGCTCGGTTCCTCTTCTGGGGCAAGATGATGCCCGTGTTCACTCTCCACTCCTCACCACAAGCCGCAGGGTCGGGGTAGAGAGGCTCAGCTTCCATTTCTGCTCTCCTGCTGCTGGCCCCCCTCGTTCATAGCCCCCCTCCTCTGCCCCAGCCTCTGGCTGCCCCATTTTGATAGGGAGCAGAGTTGGTCTACTCTGGAATGTTCTAGAGGCTCCTTAGATCCTTAGCACTGGATCAAATAGATGAGAGCCCCAGAATCAGTCTCTTGAGGATCGTGGGGCCTGAGGAGCCTGGCCGTGCACCCCACTGTCCTGTCCCACCCAACCTTACAAAGGAGGTGGGGTTTACAAATCAATGTGTGCAAGTTTACAAACCACTTGCACTCTCAAATTTCTTATCTGTCCAGTTTGGTTACTTATATCTTCCCTGCCTGCCTCCCGGAGGCTTCGGAAGGGCTGTGTTCTCACCGGGCGTGTCACATGCAGCACTGCACCCGCACAGCAGAGCACCGCGTCTGTCTGAGCCGCCTCTCGCCCTCGTGGGTGTGGGTGGAGCGGAGTGGAGTGCGAAGCCCGAAGAGGGGAGTGTGGTGCCAGCACCTCCCTGGCTGTGTCCTCGGCACCTCGATGTAGTGATCTCCGCGATCGGGATCGTGTTGACCGCCAGCCAGCACGGCGTCAGGCACACAGGAGGAACTCCGTGATTGCTGGAGACTGGTGTTTGGAGGAGGGTGACATGAGTGCCTCCCTGGCGAGCTCAGGGAAAGAGCACGTCTCCGTGTTGTCACTGCTGTCAAGGGGCCAGGACATTAACTGCCCCTCCCTTCGTGGGCAGTCCCTCCCTCTAACACCCCTTTCCTGCAGCAACTAGACTTCAGGAACTGCCCAACTCAGGTGCTGGGAGCCGTGTCCCAGGATTCAAGAGGCCCCAGGAAGTGCATGAGCCCCCACCTGTGGAACGCTGGTGGCATGAGATCCCCCAGGCCCATCATCCTCACCCCCAGACTTCTGTCTCCTTCCCCACCTCCGCAGCATCATGGAGGATTACAAGTACGTCCACTGTGGTATATATCCCCAGCAGTCCTCGGTGACCAGCACCATCAGATCCTACCGCTGGAGGGTTGCCTTTGCCCCACACCCCAAAGACATTATTTGGTAAGACCCTCTGTCCGTCCCCTCTCCTCTGAGCTCCTCTGAGGCAGAAGAAGGCGCTGGGCAGCAGAACGGGGCGAGGAATCGGGCCTCTCCTCCCACTTCATTGCTCACTTGCGGCCCCCACGGGGCTGGGCCATGTCCTCTCCGGAGCACCGCAGCCCCTGCCCAACCTCAAGCCCACCCCACCACACGTATGGAAGGCACCAATTCTTGGGGGGGAAGCTTTCCCTGCAGAAAGAACTTGTCTAATTTTTGGCTCACCTATGCAGTGTATCCAGAGCTTCACAAATGGTGTGGCTGAGGGAAAGGCCCAGGGCCCGTTGCACGCAGGTCTAGGTGGGAGGGGCCGAAGTAGACCAGGCAGCCGGGCCCACGGGGGGCAGGCAGGACAGCATGTGGGCTCTGGCTGAGGGCTGGGACCTGGGGTCCTCAGGGCTTCTCCTTCCTCCATCCCTCCGCAGGAAACACCTGTCCATCCGCCGCTTCCATTGGTGGGCCCGCTTCATCGCAATCAACACCTTCCTCTTCTTCTTCTTCTTCTTCCTCACCACACCCGCCATCATCATCAACACCATTGACATGTACAACGTCACCCGCCCCATCGAGAAGCTGCAGGTACCTCTCTGCTCTGCCAGCGCGGGGCGCCCAGGGCGGTGAAGGGAGAACTCCGGCGGGGGGGATGGGGGCCGACGGGGACACGGCTGCAGAGCCCACGCCCTGCCAACGTGGTGGAGTCTCCTTTATTCCAAAGGAGATGAGCGCTGGTCACTGCCCATCTTGGGGGCTGGGGCTGGGGAGCAAAGGAGAGTGGGGGAGCTGCAGGCAGGTTCTGGGGTGAGTTGGGGTAAAGGGTGGGCCAGTCAAACATGGACTCAGAGGGCCCCTTTAGGTCCGCCACCCAGGCCCACCAGCCGCAGAAGAGGCAGCAGAGAGAGTGACGAGTGTCACCGCTCTGTGCTCCCCAGTCCCCTGAGCGGGGGTGTTTGGGGGCTAGGGTTGAGGGCGGGGAAGAGTGAGGGAAGTTCCAACACAGCCATCTGGGAGGTGCAGGACCCCAACTCTGTGTGGGTCCTCACTTCCGGACACACCCTCTCCAGGATGCGAGTGCTTGGCTGCAGGGGCCATTCCCAAAGTCAGAGGATTCTTCGAACTGACCGGTCCAGAGGGACCAACTGGCCAATCCTAATTCTACAGCCTCCAGGCTGTCTTCATGGGCCTAGAAGGCCTCTTTTCAGATGATCTCATCCCTATTCCAGCAACACACTATACACACGCACATGCACACACACACACTATACACACATGCATGTACACACTACACATGTGCATGCACACACACAAACAGCATGCACACACTATACACATGTGCATACACACGCATACTATACACATGTGCATGCACACACACGCACATGCACACACACTATGCACACACACATGCGCACACTTATACACTATACACATGCGCATGCACACACACTATACACACATGCACACACTATACACACTCACATGCACACACATGCACTATACACACACTCATACACTATACACGCACATGCACACACTCATACACTATACACACATGCATGCGCACACACACTATGCACACGCACATGCACACACACACTATGCACACATGCATGCACACACTACACATGTGCATGCACACACACAAACAGCATGCACACACTATACACATGTGCATACACACGCATACTATACACATGTGCATGCACACACACGCACATGCACACACTATGCACACACACATGCGCACACTTATACACTATACACATGCGCATGCACACACACTATACACACATGCACACACACTATACACACTCACATGCACACACATGCACTATACACACACTCATACACTATACACGCACATGCACACACTCATACACTATACACACATGCATGCGCACACACACTATGCACACACACATGCACACACACTATACACACATGCATGCACACACTACACATGTGCATGCACACACACAAACAGCATGCACACACTATACACATGTGCATACACACGCATACTATACACATGTGCATGCACACACACGCACATGCACACACACTATGCACACACACATGCGCACACTTATACACTATACACATGCGCATGCACACACACTATACACACATGCACACACACTATACACACTCACATGCACACACATGCACTATACACACACTCATACACTATACACACACACGCACACACTCATACACTATACACACACATGCACACACTCATGCACTATACATACATGCATGCGCGCACACACACTATGCACACGTGCATGCACACACACATCAGCACACACACCTGCGGCTGACTTTTGTTCTCCTTTGTCATCTTCATAACAGGCTCCGGGAAGGAGCTCCACAGCCTCCCTGGGGATTCCTTATTCACACCCTCCCCTCCTCGCACCGCTTCTCACACAGCATCACATTAAAAACGGTGTCACCTCCCTGCGGTATGAGACATGAGTGACAGCAGCTGGCTGTGGCCCAGGCTGTCCCTCAAGTGACCTCAGCATAGAAGGTCTATGCCCCTTGGGGATGCCACTTGACCTTGGGGTGTCAGCCTCTGCCCGCCCCCGGTTGGGCAGACCTCAGGCCAGGAAGGCCAGTGAGAAAGGCCAGGCCCACTGTGCAGCTCAGGGGAGCTAGGCCTGCTCTGGGGCTGAGCCAGAGAAGAGTCAGGTGTGTGGGAGAAGGCGGAGGTGGCCTGGAAGGGGAAGGGGCATTCTTGCACTGATGTCTCTCTGCCCTCCTCTGCTCCACCCCCACAGAGCCCGATCGTCACCCAGTTCTTTCCCTCCCTGATGCTCTGGGCCTTTACAGTGATAATGCCTCTGATTGTCTACTTCTCTGCCTTCCTCGAGGCCCACTGGACCAGGTGAGCTGGGACCTCCTCCCCAAGGCCTGCTCTTCCCAGCCCCTCCCCTGCCGCCCCCTATGACCCCAGCCTGGTGCTCTGTCTTTCCATCTGGCCTAAGGGACGGACTTAGATACCTGAAACCATCCCAACATGGGATGGCTGGGTTGTCTCTGGGCCCCTGGCCTCAGGGATGCTGAGACAGGGCCACCACGTAAGAAATGGGGGTCTGAAACCAGGTGTCCTTGGCAGCTCCCTTAGCCCCCAGCTATGCACTGAGGGGGTGGAGCTGTGGACAGGGACACAGGCAGAGGGCACAGATGAGACAGAGAGAGAGAACTTGTTTGGAGAATGTCGGGAAGGCTTCTATGGCCATAGCAGAGGAGCCCATGAATTCAAACTGACTGGGGTTCCATATTCCCACACTTTAAACAGTCGGGAACTACTTCCCATTTGTTAGCCCTAATAGTTCTTTGGTGGCGAATTGGATAGAGAGTATATATCCTGGGGCATGTGGACCTGCTTTGGCTTGAGGGCTACATGGGTTTCTAAAGTTATTTCCTGCACCCAAAGTTCCTACCATCCTACCAAGCAGCAAGCCAGGAAGTTTGCCCTAACTTATCCTTACTGGTCTCTCTTATGGCCAAGAACAGGGCTTATGTTGATTATTGAAGCTCTCAAGGGATTCTGAGTATCACTGATAACGTCCCTTTAACAGATGCCACGTATATGGCACATACACCTCCCCTTCCTGGGCCCAAGGCAGACATCACTAGTTGCACATGCTCTTCTTTCCTGCTGCTCCGTGTCACAGCACACCTCACAGACGGTACCCTTCATCCAGTGTCTCCATGGAGACGCTGTTGGTGTGCACTATTAAATCAATCGTCTAGGCCAGGTAGTGGTCTCTCTTCATTCTGTAGTTTTAAGCCTTTGGTTCTTATCACATCTCACTCACTCATGAATCTTTCTCTTTGTTTCCTTCCAGATCGGGTCAGAATCAGGTCATTGTGTATAAGTGCTACATCTTTCTAGTGTTCATGGTGATCATCCTGCCCTCTATGGGGCTGACCAGGTACCTCGCCTCTCATCATTTCTCCTCTCTCAGCATGTGCCGGGGATCATGCGAACTCTAAGGTGTCAGCCATGAACTCTGACCTCAAAGAGCTTATCATCAAGCTTATCATCATGCCTACCAGCTACCCAAAAGCCCAAGCTGGGGAAATGCAGCCAGTGTACAGTAGAAATTCAGAAGGAGGAGGGAGCACTGTGGGAGAAATGGCTGCAGAATTTGGCTGAAGGAGGTGGCCTTGAGCTGAAAGGCCAAAGGGTTAGGAGCAGGTGGCCCAGGACTAAGAAGGAAGAGAGGCCCTGGCTGGTTTGGCTCAGCAGTTAGAGCATCGGCCTGTGGACCAAAGAGTCCTGGGTTCAGTTCCAGCCAAGGGCACGTACCTTGGTTGCAGTTCGTCCCCAGCCCCCGTTGGGGTCGTGTGGGTGGCAACCAATGGATGTGTCTCTTTCACATCGATGTTTCTCTCTCTCTCTCTCTCTCTCTCTCCCTCTCTCTCTCTCTCCCTCTCTCTCCCCCTCCCACTCTGTCTGAAGATAAATGTGAAAATATCCTTGGGTGAGGATTTAAAAAAAAAATTTTTTTTTTTAAAAGACAGGCGGTGTGGACTGGCCAGCTAGAATATTAGGGTGCAGGAGTCATTGGGGTTTGGGTAAGGGAAGCCAGTGCAAGAAGAATTGACCGCCAGGCGTTCGTTGATAAATTCACTAACTAGAGGGCCTGCCTTGTTCTTGCTTCTAGCTTGGATGTCTTTTTCCGCTGGCTCTTTGACATCTACTACCTGGACGAGGCATCCATCAGGTTCCAGTGAGTACTTCCGGGTGCACTCCCAACGTGCACTGGGGCTCTGCGGGTTCCCACCAGGGGACCTGGGCACCCTTTACCTGCTCACACAGGTAGCGATGGTGCATGCGACACTCTCGTTAGGCAGCCTCTTCACCTCTCCTGTGCCAGTCTGGTAAAGCCCAGGGACCCCTTTCCTGAAGTTTCTGAAACAATTGTAGATTCACATGAAATTAGCCCCCCACAGTGTCCTGGGTTCCCTTCATCCAGTGTCTCCCAGTGGTAATATCCTGCACAACCCCAGCACAGCAGCACAGCCGGGAAACGGGCCTGGAAACAGTGCACACAGCGTATCCAGGTTTTGCCAGTTTTACATACGCTCTGAGTAGATATACTCTGTGAATACACAAAACACCTGGATTACAAAGAATACCAACCACACTGAAGTATAGTTACCAAATATTTTTAAAAATCAAATTTGTAACATGATCTTTGTAATACATTTAATAACAGGACCATGCATTTTAAATATAAGCAAGCTAAAGGTACATTTTTATTGACTTACGGGCATCAGTGGGCAAGCTGATGGTTCTTAGTTGGAAGAAGACTACTAATGGGGGTGGGGGAGGCCTGTGACAAGGCAACGGGCAGGTCGGGCTGAACATCCAGCCAATTTCACTTTTTAAGGTTTACAGACGTTGAAAATCCCAATTTTCGAATGACACCCGAGCTTCCTTAGCTTACTCTGTAGAGAAAGTGCCAGAATTCTCCGAGCTTTCTGTACTTTCTGCAAACTATAGTTACGAAGGAGTGCATCTTTGGCCATTTAATGTCTTGAATACGGTTGATCTATGAGAAAGAAAGATACTGGGAGCCCATGACAACTCTGACACCATGAGAAAGAACAGCTTTTGAAGGAGTTCTGAAGTATGTTCAGGGTTCGCCGATCTCTCTTTTCAAGGAAGTTGACAGAACTGTGTAGATGGGGACCCTGGAAAGCAAGAGGTGTCTGGGTCACCAGTGTGGGAACAGGCAGCTTGGCCATTAGATGGCTGGGTGACTTCTAGTTGAGGTTGGCCAGCTGCGTCAATATGGGTCTGCGGAGAGTTTCAATCACGTCTAGTTTAGCGGCGTGTCGGATAACTAGCATCATTTTGGTGAGCACAAATGGTACTGTAAGATGTCAGCAGGGACTACAGCATGACATGAAAGCATCTTAAATCAGTGGATGACAGACCCACAGCCGTGGCTGACATCGCTGTGGGTTTTTGCTCATGTTCTTCATGGAAGGAAATGCTAAACTGCAGTTAGAGGTTAGTGGAAATAAAGATGTAAATTGTTCTCCATTTAAAGTCACAGGTCCCCCTAAACTCTCCCCATGGGCTCTCCAGGGCCTGTGGGTCCAGGTCGAACAGCCTGCTTTAGATGAAGCCGGCACACGGATCCCCTAACACCGCCACACGTCCTGAAGACTTCTCTACCCTTGCCCTAAAGGGCCCTGTTAACTGAACTGGGCTGGGAGCATCTATATATGAAACGCACGCCCCCCATCTTGACGGGCAACAGGCAGGCCATGGTGGACGTCCAGCGATTTCGATTATTTTTATTTTTAGGGTTACAAACCTTGAGAATGTCAATGTTCAAATATGTGAGCCCCCCTCCCTTGGCTCTCTCCTCCTCCCTCTCCACCCTCTGCCCCGCCCTGGCTGCTGCTGCGGTCTCCACTCCTGCCACGCCCAGGTGTGTGTTCCTGCCCGACAACGGCGCCTTCTTCATCAACTACGTGATCACGGCAGCTCTGCTGGGCACAGGCATGGAGCTGCTGCGCCTGGGGTCGCTCTTCCTGTACAGCACCCGCCTCTTCTTCTCCCGGTCGGAGCCGGAGAGAGTCCACATCAGAAGGGTGAGGGCAGGCTCTCCCCTGAGCACACCCTCAGAGTGTCCCGTGGGAGGGTGTCACGAAGGGGGCCTGCTGGCAGCCCCGAGTGTGGGCGGCATGGTAGGGGGCACGCTGCTTGGACTCCAGGTTTGGAAGGCAGGCTGCTGACCAGCACCAAGAGGACAGATAAGGAGCCACAGGAGCAGCCACGCCAAGGGAACCAGGCCACCTTGGGGTGACTCCTGTGTTCTGCCGTAGGACCAGGCCATAGAATTCCAGTATGGGCGCGAGTACGCGTGGATGATGAACGTCTTCAGTGTGGTGGTGGCGTACAGCATCACCTGCCCTCTCATCGTCCCTTTCGGTGAGTCACCCAGAGCTGCATCCCCTCAGGCTGGAAGAAGGAGTCGAGCCCCACAACATCAGGCCACGTCCTGGAGCAGGAGGACTCCTGGGCTGGCCTGTGGGCAGGGCGGGAAGTGTCAGGACCGCAGCCTGGTCGGGGCAGAGGCTGCATGGTGATTGACATGGGATGTGTGTTGAGTGAGTGCAGGAGGGAATGACTCCACCGAACTGGCAGAATAGGTTCTGGGGGCTCAAGAGAAGATGCTGGTCCCAGAGGCCGGCCCCACGGGACTGCCACAGCCTGTCCTTGGCCCTTGCTGCTCTGACACACTGAATCTGACTTCTTAGTTGTGTGGGGACCTTGGGGTAGCACGGGCCCCGACGGAGGAGCAGCCGCTGAGCGTGGCTCCATCTTCCGGTGCCCAGGGCTGCTGTACCTGTGCATGAAGCACGTCACTGACCGCTACAACATGTACTACTCCTACGCGCCCACCAAGCTCAACGAGCAGATCCACATGGCCGCCGTCAACCAGGCCATCTTCGCGCCGCTGCTGGGTCTGTTCTGGATGCTCTTCTTCTCCATCCTGCGGTTAGGTAGGTACCAGGCCCGCCCAGCCAGGCCCCCACCTGCCCTGTGCTCCATAAGCCCCCCCACAGCTCTGCCAGAACAGAAAGGCCACAGGAGCAGGGCGCTGCTCAGCAGCAAGGCCCCCAGCAGCCTCTCTAGGCCTCAGGGGCTCCCATTAGAGCCCTTGAAGATAAGGGGAGGCTTGGACCAGCGCCATCCAGATCATGTGCATTTTGGTTTACCACCCTCGGGGCAAGAAACATCACATTCCTTCATTGTAACTCGGAGCTGGCAGAAATGATGTTAGCTCTCAGGCTCAATTCCCAGGACATTCCCTCTGGGATCTTACAAGATGCCTGGTCTTGTGAGTTGCCAAAAAGCCTGCAGGATTCCAGGTCTGCCCAGCAGCCAGCTGTTGCCCTTCTCTTGGCACAAAGCTGCTGTCCCTGTTCCCACCGGCCAGAGACTGGAAGCGCTCACACTGGCCTCCCCATCCCCCTTCCGCCCACACTGTTCTCTGCTTCCCCCTCGGGGACACTTGGCCTTCACCTTCGCAGTGGCACGAGGAAGGGAGAGTTCGTGTGCGCTTCCTCCCCCATCACCATGGCATCTGTAAACACTGAGCTCTCAGTCACCGTGTACATTACCCATTCGTGGTTACTTGTCCCCCTGGCCTTTGTCCCTCTAGCCTTCCCCTGCCACCTCACAGATTTCATTTTGATAGTGCTTTTCTCTGAGCATGAAGGACTACATGTTGATTATCAAAAGCAGATCAAAGTTTGAATCCTCTGAAACCCGAGGTCAGCTGCCCCCAGACCTCATCTGTGTGCATGCTTGGGGGGAGGGGGCAGGGCAGAGCGGGAGGGAGTTGATCGGTTTATTGCCGCTTTCCAAAACTGTGAGCTTCATTTTGTAACATCCAGTCCTGTCTCCCGAGCCTCTTCACTGAACATTGTGTTCCGAGCAATCTCCTGTGTTATTAGAACGTTATTTCACTAGCTGCCCTAATCTACCCATTTTAGTCCGTTCTCCGTTGTTGGACGTCAGTGTGTTTAGCATTTTTTGCCATTATAAAATCATGATCATCAGCGTTGTTATACAGTAATGATGTAGACTGATTTTTACTACTTACCTAGTTAGAAAACAGCTACCCTAAAAAAGTTACCAAGGGAAACATGAATGACTTTCCGATGCTGGGTTGCTTCTCAGGTCTGTGAGCACTTGGAAAGACCACTGTCTGTGCTCACTTGGAAAGGGCTCCCAGAAGGGTGGGGTCAGAGACCGTATTTTGGAGCAGTGGCACAAATGAGCAGCTCGAAGATACTTCCCAGGGACTGTGATGTGTCAGGGAACTGATGGGTGGAGAAGGACATGTTTAATGGGCACTTAATCGGACACTTAAGTCAATTTTTTCATGGAGTCCACAAGACGCCAAATTCTTTTTTTTTTTTTTAATCCTCACCCGAGGACTTTTTTTTTGCATTTATCTTCAGATAGAGTGGAGTGGGGTGGGGGTGGGGGGGAAACATCGATGTGAGAGAAACACATTGGCTGGTCACCACCCACATGACCCCAACCAGGCCAGGGAAAAGCTGCAACCAAGGCACATGCCCTTAGTGGGAACCGAACCCGGGGACTCTCTGGTCTGCAGGCCGACGCTCTAACTGCTGAGCCAAACCAGCCAGATTCTAAACTGCTCAAGCAGCACCACAGGAGAATGTCGCTGTGCCAGGCTCACGATCCCAGGTGTCGGGAAGAGCATGGCCGCTCTGCTAGGCGTGCAGCCCTCCAGAGGTGCTGAGGGGGCCCCAGGTGGCCTGCAGTCTGGGTAGCATCTCAGCTGGCAGACTCCTGGCCACAGCTCCAGCACCAAGCCCCTCGTCTCTCGTTGGCAGGTTCGCTCCACAACATCACCATCTTCTCCCTCGCCAGCCTGATCATTTCCCTGATAATTGCCTTCCTGGGCACCTGCATGGGGAAGTTACGGAGGGCAGGTGACTATGAGGTGAGTGGCCAGCCTGCCTTTGGCTCTCCCAGCCCCCGGGGGGCCGAGGGCTGGGACACCCTCCTGACTCGGGCACCCACAGCACCACACAGATGAACGGTTCTCGCCTTCGTCTCTGATTAGGGGGCGTACAAACTGTGTGTGTGTGTGTGTGTGTGTGTGTGTGTCCCTTGCACTGGCCCGGACACTGCTCCCCTCACAGGGTGGGGTCTAGAAGACAGACCGCTGTCCCCTCTCCTCCGCCGACAGCAGGCTTCCGGCCCGCCCCTCCCACAAGCTGAGCCTGTTCAGCCACTGAGCTGCGGGCACCATTCCAGGGCATGGGGGTTGAGAGAGGATGGAGTCAAGGGGAAGGGGTGTAGTCAAGGACAGTACCTGGGGAAGGGGGCATAGTCGTCGCTTTTCGGAGTTCCAGGACACTGACCTTGAGGCTGTCTGGAGGGAAGCCCGGCGTTCTGGGCTCCGTGACTCCTCCCTTTTGCCAGTGGGGCCCAGCCTGGTAGGTGGAGAAGGGCGCCCATCTGTGCCCCCTGAGAGCCGCGCCCACTGGGCCGGGTGCTCTCGGCGGCGTTTCCCAGTGAGGTGTCGGTGTGTACGTCCGGGAATGGTCTCCAGTGGATCAGACGCTAGTTTTCATGGTTACCTGTTTATTTATTTTTCTGCTTATAGCAACTGACACAGTTTTCTGTTTATAGCAGTGAAGTGTTTCCTTTTAAAATGAATGTGTATACGGAAAAGAAAGTAGGTTGCTCTGGAGTGCTGGCCCCCGTGGTCGGGGGGGGGCCTCTGGAAGAGGGTCCTTGTGCTTCTGGTGGGTCTGCCGAGTCTGGGGGCTGGGCCCAGGCCCCGCTGCCCTCCCCGCCCGGCCCCTCCTCCACCCCCAGCCCGGGTGCCAGACCACCAAGGAGCAGAGCGGATGGCGCCTCTGGCTCCGTCTTCCCAGTTCAAGGAGGACACGATTGTGTTGCCCAGTGTCCACTGGAGAAGGACGGTGGCGGGGGACCGGGCCATAGTGGGTTAGGACGTGCTCCAGAGAGAGGGGAAATCCTGGGAAGAAAGAAGAGAGAGTTGAAGTCAAGGCATTTCCTAGACTCAAAGCAGGATCATCTTTGAACCCCAATCCCAAATCTGCTTACTTCCTTCCCCCTGTTTTGGTTCTTTAGAATGGAACATTCCCGAAGGGTCACCCTAGCATCCCAGTCACCTCTCCGTCCCCCTGAGCTGCAGGGCTAAAAAAAACAGATCAGTTGAGTTCAGAGGGAGCGATAGGCCCCGGTGCAGGGTCCAGGCTCCTCTGGATGTGGGGAGGGAGGGGGCCGAGGGCAGATACCCCCATTCTGTGACCCTCCGTGTTTCTCCCCACTGCTGCAGCCTCGGCAGGAGATGGAGGCCGTGTTCGACATGGAGCCCAGCAGCACCTCCTCCACGCCCACCTCCCTTGTGAGTCAGTGCCTTCACCCTGGGGGGCAGATCAGAGGGGGATGCTTAGAGGGGGGGCTACTCCAGCGGCATTGTGGAGGCACGAGCATTTGGTGCCTGCCCTGGGTAATGGGGAGGAGCTGGGCCCCCCTCCCTGGGCTCCCTCCTCTGATGCAGCAGGACTTGGCCCAGGTCCAATTGCTGCCGTGGCCCTGGCTGAAGAGCTGGGAAGATAGAAGATCCAAGTATAACTGGAGAATCTCTAGAAGGCACTCAGAGAGGAGGAGAAGGGTCAGGGAGAGCCCAGCCACAGCGAGCTCAGTCGTGTAGACGCAGGGACGTGCTGGGGCTCGGCCTCAGGACCGAAGGCCGCCTGCAAGGGCACAGGTGCGCAGACAGGGCCGCAGGGAGCTATTGGTCTGGACTGAATAGTGAGGCCAGGGCAGCACCGGCTGAGTGAGCCCGTCGGCGTGTGAAGAGACAAGGCCAGACTCAGAGTGCAGGGGTGCAGCAGGCTGGGCGTTGGCTCCTACACGCGGCTCAGCCCCGAGGGGCACGAGCACCCGCCCACACCCAGCCACAAGCGAGGACGCAGGGCCACCGATGCCAAAGCCCAGGCGCCTGGGAGGAACACTGACGGGCACTCAGGGAAGGCTTCCCGGAGGAAGGAACACCTAATCCAGCTCCAGGAATGGGAGTCGGGTTGCCGAGTGGAATGGGGTGTGGGGGAAGAGCATTCGAGGAAGAGGCTCAGCCCGTGCAAAGGGCCTGGGAGAGATGACCGGGAGCATGTGGGGAGCAGAAGTGAGCCTGCTGGAGAAGCAGAGTGGGCTCCAGCTGTGGCAGTCAGGTGAAAGTGGGGGCACACCAGGGCTGGACATCGCACCTCAGTGCACGGAGCCCCGCCATTCTCGCTCTCAGCTTATGATGAACCCACACAGTAAGGGTGCCTGCATTCATTTTACAAAGAGGGAAACTGAGGCCGGACAAGGTCAGTTAAGTGAGGCCCTGGGGCACTACTAAGCAGGCAAGTGGCAGAACAGTGGGAGCCACGTCCGACTCTAAAGCCTGAGGTTAAAAAAAATTACTGGAATAGATTTTTAAATATTTCATTATCACAACAGTGGTATATGAACCTTGTACATATGGAGAGACACAAAGAAGCAAAAATACGAAAATAAAAAGTTCTTATTTTCACCACGCAGCAATGACCAACAATACCTAAGTTATATTCTTTCATATATAACAATTTTTGCTAAAATGAAATATTACATACTGATTTATAACCCGCATTTTTTGTTAACAATCTCCATCTTTCCATATAAATTTTTACCTCTTCAAATACTCAGTCCATCTTCAAATTGTCCTAAGTGTTCCAGAAATATCTTTTACAGCTTGTCCAGAAGAACCCATTCCCTGTGCCCCTTTAATTCAGCACCTGTGCATGTCCCTTTAATTCCAGCACAGTCTTTTTTTTTTTATCCTCGCCCAAGGACTTTTTTGCATTTATCTTCAGATGGAGTGGGAGGGAGAGAGGGAGAGAGAGAAACATCAACATGAGAGAGAAACATCAACTGGTTGCCACCCACACAACCCCAACTGGGGCTGGGGACAAACTGCAACCGAGGTACATGCCCTTAGAGGGAACTGAACCTGGGTCCCTCTGGTCCACAGGCTGATGCTCTAACTGCTGAGCCAAACCAGCCAGCGTTCTTTTTTTATTAAATTTATTGATTGATTTTACAGAAAGAGGAAGGGAGAGGGAGAGAGAGAGAGAAACATCGATGAGAGAGAGCATCAATTGGCCGTCTCCTGCCTGCCCCCCACTGGAGATCAGGCCCACAACCTGGGCATGTGCCCTGACTGGCAATGGAACCAGCAGCCTCCTGGTGCATGGGTCAACGCTCAGCCACTGAGCCACACCGGCCAGACTAGCCCTGTCTCTTTTTAATGCTCGTTTGAGAGACTAAGCTGGTAGTCCGGCAGAATGTCCCACCTTTTGGGTTTTTCTGACTGTTTCTTATGACGTCTTACAGCAGATTCCACTATCTCTGGTATTTCCTAAAAACGGGAAGTTTAGACCCAAAGCCTTGTAAGATTCAAGTTCAACACTAGGTGCTAGACCACAATACAGGTGGCGCTGTGCCTCACGCCAGGAGATACAGTGTCCCATTCATTCCCGTGAATGATGCCGACTGACTCCTGACTGGGGGATGACAGCTGGCTTCTTCCATTGTTCAGTTCCAACAGTTTTTCCACTCACCTCCAAAAGGTCACCTATGCGGTTTACTTTGGCTTAATGCAAATGTCTAGATTCTTCTGTAGGAAAATTGTTCCCTCGTTAACTAGGGAACAATTGGTTTCACTGATATGAATTCCTACAGGAAAGGTTCAATTCTATCCCATAATGATCTATTTTCAAAACAAGGGGTTGGTTTAAAAGCCACTTCAGAGGATGACAAACAGCGCTATCCCTAGTACCTCCTGTGTTTCTTCCTCAGTTCAAATCCTGGGTCACAGGCCAACCAATGACAGCCCAGGGGAGTTGTGGATGGGCCTCTGAGCTGTATGAGAAAGTGCACTAGCTCAGGAGTGGGGGGAGAGTCTCCCCAGACCCCAGCCAGGGGAGCCACAGGTCCTTCCCCGGGTTCAGCCTGACCCGGGACAGAGCGGAGCGGGCATGGCCCCCGCGCTGAAGGAACAGTGCCTGGGAGTTGGGAGACCTGCACTAACGGGCCCGGGAGCTCGCAGATGCTCACTCAGTACCAAGAGCAACGGCAGGAGATGGCAGGACCTGGGCATGGGGAGAGGGGCAGGGGCTCGGCGGGCAGGGCGTAAGGGGAAGGGTATGTCCGGGCCTTGCCCCGGTGTGGCCTCACCCCCACCTCCCCTCTGTCCTGAGCAGCTGTACGTGGCCACCGTGCTGCAGGAGCCGGAGATGAACCTGACCCCGGCCTCTTCCCCCGCCCGGCACACCTACGGCACCATGAACACAGCGCCCGAAGAGGGAGAAGAGGACAGCGGTGTGAGGGGCTTTGCGAGGGAGCTGGACTCGGCCCAGTTCCAGGAAGGCCTGGAACTGGAGGGCCAGAGCCAGTACCACTGACCAGGACCCAAGGCCTCCCCTGACTTCTCCAGCCAGGAGGGGTAGCCAGGGGAGGGCCAGGCAGGAGGAGGCACGAGGGCGGCCTGGACCTCCCCACGACTTCCTGCAGACTTTGGAAGGGCCTAGCGAAGACGTCTGCCCATCTCGCCATTGGGCGCATGGAGGCCCCAGCCCGCTGACCAGCTGCAGTGGGAGGTGCTGGGCAGTGCACAGGGACCCCAGGATAGAGCAGAGGACAGGCAAGCTCCGCATCTTGGGGGAGGTGGCTGAAGCCCTGGACACAGACTGACGGCTGCAGACCTTCCTGGGGTCACGATGGAGAAATGTGTGCCTAAGAGAAGAAGCAGAGACGCCCACGGAAGACTCCGGGGTCTTCGCCACCCTTCCACCAGCTGCTCTGCCAAGGAGCTTCTGCAGCTGCTCCGACCCACCCGCCCTCGCTCCTGGCCCCTCTCCCCTGCGTCTGAGGAAGCAAAGGTATGTGTGCTGGCCTCGTCAGCCACACAGATGAGCCTCTCAGCCAGGCTTCCCTGCATGGGGTTCTGCAGAGAAAGTTTCTGCAGCCCACCGGAGCAAGGGGCACCTGAGACCCAGGACTCCAGAGAAGGTGACTGAGGCCCTTCCTGTTCCTCTGCCCCTCAGCAGATGTCCCCAGGAGCAGCAGGGAGAGACCCTTCTCCTTTCTATTCCTGTAAGGGTAGCTGGGACATGATCACTTGGGGCTCATTAAACAGGACCTGTGTGCATTTTGATGAAGGCAAACCTCGGCTGTTGCTATAAGGTGGAAGGAGCAGAGAGGCAGAATTCGCAGAGGGAGGGGGTCTTCTCCCAAAACACTGGGTGATGGGAAACCAGATGCACCTCACCAAGCCCCAGGGCCTAATCAGAGGACCCCCAAGGCCCAGGATGTGGCCGCTGAGAGCTGCTCCTGCCTCATACCCACCTGAGTGCGGGGCCGCAGCTTAGGATAAGGAGCTCATGCTTCAAACCGAAGGCCCTGGCATCCCCTGCCCTCCAGGTATGTCCCTGCTCTCCTCTTGGACCGAAGACCACTCCTGGCTACAACACTGCGGATGCCCAGCGAGGGGTGAGGTTGGGGTGGGGCTGTGTCCCCCAAAGAGAAGCCCTTCCTGGTGGAGTAAGGCTTCTAGCAGGGCAGACACAGGGAAGGGATATCTGGGGCCTCAGTGGACCAGAACAGGCCAAGTCCAGTGGGCTCTGCATGCCCCAGAACTCTCTAGAGCTCCTTCCTCCAAAGGTCAGGGTCCCTGCCATCCACCTGTTGAAGGTGCGCCCCAGGCTCTCCTCACCGGGGTGTTTTTACTGGGTCCCAGGCACATGGGTGCCCTGAACTCCGATCCTTGCCCATATCCCAGCTCTAGAAGTTTCAAGCTTCGTCCCAGAGACTCTCCTTGGCCAAGACTTTGGCTTGAGGGATCTTTCCAGAGAGCTTGCGTCTACTAGGGAGGAGGCAGCCTCACCCCCTCCTTGTCCAGCTAGGGAAAGGAGGACTTATATCCAGCCAGTCCTTCATAAACCGAGGCCTCACAGGCCCCCTTCCCCCTAGCATTTCACCAGCCGACGGGGGACGGGTCCTTTCCAGACAGGGTGGCCAGGGCCCAGCGGGGAGCTCCAGGTGCTGCCTGGCCCCGTGTGTACTCGGAGTGTGAGGACGGGAGGGAGTCCAGCCAGAAGCTGGCCTGCGGGCTCGCCTTCCCTGGGCACTACTTGCTGGCACCTACCTCTAGTGTCTGGCCCTGCTGGACTGTCCCTCCTCTGTCCCCCTGCCCACCTGACAGCCTGTGGAGGCTGCACATGCAAAGGGTCCCAGCACATGACAGGGCGGCATGTCTCGGGGCTTCCCCCTCTGAATTTGGGTCAAGTGCAGGCTGGTTCTGAGAGGAGGCATTGCCAATATTCGGAAAGTTCCAGAGTCCACTCACTTCTCTTCTCTTCCCTTCCTGGAGCCCCAGGGCAACTGGCAAGGCCCCACCACAGCTGTCTGACCACTCTCGGTCACTGTGGGGTGCGGGCCTGCTTCCGATTCCTTACGCCCCACACCCGGGCCCCTCCCCCTCAGCTTGCTCTCCACTCACACCTGCCTCACACTGGCCTCCACCTACCCCACTGGCCTCTTCCCAGCTGCCCCTCCCCCAGCTGCCCACCGCAGCGCCCCTCCCAGACCTGACCATCCTGGAGGGAGCTGCCCGGGGTGGGGGCGCAGCACCGCCTAGACTGGAGCCTTTGAGAAGCGCCGCACTGGCCTGGAGCAGCTCCGGGCCTGCCTGCCTGTCCCTCAGGCGCTCTGGAATCAAAGTGCCTATCAGCAGCATTGCGTCCTCCGGGGACGGCGAGGGGTAGGACTTCCCTTGGCCACCACTACTAAAGGAATGTGCCAGAATGCTGAACCTCCTTGTGATGAATGCTGTGACCGTGCCTTGAATAAACAGTCCTCCCAACCTCTGCTGGCCTGTGCTTCTGCCTCTGCACCGCCCAGCAGGCTTCCCTGCCCCGGGCGGGAGGAGCCGCTCAGAGTCTCCTTCCAGGGCCAGCAGGTCGGGTCCCCCAGACGGCCAGCCCTGGGCCATTCCTTGGTCCAGCAGACCTTTCAGGGGACTTTGCTCAGGCAGAGGCAGACGGAGAAAGACGGAGAAGCTCAAGAGGCAGGGCTCTGGTCCCTCAGGCATGAAGTCCTGCAGGGAGAAGGGGCTGGTCAGTCTTCCCTGTCCCCAGCAGGCCAGGAGGGCTGGAGGCCTGGAAGATGGGACTGGGCAAGAGATGGGACTCGGGGACAGGTCGAGAGAGACGCCTGGTACAGGGAGGCCCAGGCGCGGTCTGGATGGCCGCTTCCCAAGAGGCACCGGGGCCCCGCAGGGCTGCGAGGGAGGCAGGAGAGCCCCGGGCTCCAGGAGGCTCTGCCCGGAGGCCCCGCCTGAGGTGCTGCAGGCGCCTCCAGGGCCAGCTCTCTGCACTCTCCCAAAGCCATCAAGCTGGAGGAGGAGACTCGGGGTCCTACATCCGTCCCAACTCCAGGTTTCTAAGTCCATTGTGTGGCAGACATGGGGGAGCCTGGGCCTTGACAGCCAGCAGCCCAGCATCGCTCAAGCCTCCAATGCTGGGTTCTCCGTCCTGGCTGCAAGAGAGTCTCCTGGGAGATGTTCAACAATCCCAGTGCCCAGGCCCAATCCCAGGACACGCCGCTTTCTGGGGTGGGGCCTGGGCACCCCTATTTTACAAAAGCCGCTCTGCCAGGTGACTCTTGGGTGCAGGGAGAATTGAGTGCGTAAGGAAACCGATCCCAGCCTCCAGTCCCTGGAATGGGGGACGCTGGTCTCAGCACATCACACTGTGTCTCACCTGGGGGCAGTGTGGCCCTGCAACCTGGGAATAATTACAGGTCCCCAGGCTGGGAAACCTCCTTCGCTCTGCCTCCAGGGAGCTCCAACATCAGGCGCCTGGTAGGTAATCAAAGCTTAGGCCAAAACAAACATTTGCTTTCCGGTTTGTAGGGGATTCATACCTAGCTCTGGCACAATGCTGCTGTAATCTTACTTTGCAATAAGTACTACTTGTGGGCCACACAGACACACACCGGCCTCAGGGGTCACTTCTGGCTACCTCATCACCTTCAGCAGGGTTTAAAGCATCTCCTCCTCCCTCCCCTCCAAACACAGAGCTCAAAGTGGCCATCCGGTCAGCCTTCCCTTCTCAAATGTGATCGATTATCAGCACGATAAACGTATAGAGTGGCTGGCATGTAGGGATAAGTGCTTTGAAGGACAAATCAAGCAGGATAGGGCGAGGGTAGTGACTGGAGATGGGGAGGATCCCGGACAAGCTCTGTGGGCATGAGACGTTGAGACGTGACACGAGCGTCACATGAAGGGGGCCGGGCAAATCTGGAGCGTGGAGCATGGGCTCCGACCACCATGCAGACGGTGGTTAAAGCACAGACCAGCTGAGACCTCTGTGGGAGCAAGTGGAGGTAAGAGGTCTGAGGCAGGGGAGGAGAATCCGCAAGGGAGACTGCGGGAGGAGGAGCAGCGAGGAAGGAGAAAATCAGGAGAGCCTGTTGTCCCTAAAGCCCAGGGGAGACAGGAACTCAGGAAGGAGAGGGCCCCCAGCTCTAGCCACACTTGACAGTAAACACAGGCCAGAGAAGAATGACTTCAAAGACGCCAAGGAGACGCATCAGCCAAGTTACAACGCTGGATATGGCTGGATATGCCGTTAGACAGACAAGCTGGTCTCTCCCGCAAATCAAGGGCTGGGGGATGGGAGAGGGGCTGTTGAGAATGAAAGGTTTAAGAGACACACCAGATGTGACGTGTGGCCCTGGGGGGCACCCTGAGTTGAACACACAGCTGCAGAAAGACATCTTTGAGACATTGGGCTTTCAAATAGGGACTGGGCATTAGGTGAGGCTGAGGAGATACGTTCATCTTGGCAGGTGTGTTGATGGCGTGAGCTAAGAGGTGAAAAAGTATCAGCTAGAAGTTCACATGGAAGACTTTGCCAGTGAGAGACCAAGGAGTCTGGGCTTTGCTTTAAAACTCTCCAGCCAGCCCTGGCCGGTTTGGCTCAGGGGTTGGAGCGTCGGCTTGCAGTACAGAGAGACCCGGGTTCGGTTCCCACTAAGGGCACGTACCTCGGTTGCAGTTTATCCCCGGCCCTGGTTGGTCATGCGGGTGGCAGCCACTCGATGTGTCCCTTTCACATCGATGTTTCCCTCTCTCTCTCTTTCTCTCTCTCCCTCCCACTCTATCTGAACAAAAAATGGAAAAATGTCCTTGGGTGAGGATAAAATAAATAAATAAATAAAAATTAAAAAAAAAAAACTCTCCAGCCAAATCAACTCTCCAGCGCAGGGGAGATCTTGACTGCTCACCATTGATGCTGGGTGAGGGGTACATGGAGATTCACTGGGCTCTGATTTTTGTGTATGTGAACACCTTTTCCATAATAAAAAGTTTAAAAATAAAGGATAGAGTGATCAGCTCTTCCCAGTGCTGCTGAGCAGAAGAGCAAAATGAGGACTGAGAAATGGCCCTGAATTTCGCAGGATAAAGGTGGTTGATGACCTTGATGGTAAGATCGGGTGTGTGTGTGTGAAAGACTGGTTGAAATAGGTTACCATTTGCTCATACAAGTGAGGAAACAAACAATTGTGAGGACAGACAACTCTTGTTTTTTTTTGTTTTTATCCTCACCCGAGGACATTTTTCCAATTTTTGTACAGATAGAGTGGGAGGGAGAGAGAGGGAGAGAGAAAGAGAGAAACATCGACGTGAAAGGGACACATCGAGTGGCTGCCACCCGCACGACCAACCAGGGCCGGGGACAAATTGCAGCCGAAGTACGTGCCCTTAGCAGGAACCGAACCCGGGTCTCTTCAGACCGCAGGCCGACGCTCTAACCGCTGAGCCAAACCCGCCAGGGCAGGACAGACAACTCTTTTAAGAGTTTTTCTAACAAAGGAAGTAAAGAAGCAGGGTGGTAGCTGGAGAGAGAAGAGGGGAGCAGGGTGGGGTGACTTCGCATAAGACGGGACATGTGAATGATGGACTGAGGAGGAATATGGGAGAGGACTACAGGGCTGAGGGAAGAAAGGAACCACACACACGCACGCACACATGCACACACGCATGCACACACGCATGCACACATGCACAAGCAGAAGGGTAGTCTTCACGACAGATAACAAGCACTCATGCTTAGGGTGGCTCAGGACACAGGTCAGAGGAGAGTGCTTGGTCTTTCTGAAGCCAGGTCACCTGACAGGATGTCAAACATTCGAGAACCGTAGGCCAGGCATGGCCTCCTGAGTCTGACTTGTTACCGGATCACACAGTGGAGGAGACTGTGGGGCTCAAGGAAATAATGCTTTCGGTGCCACCATGGGAAAAGCGTCCCTAACGCTCCAGGCCCAGCGTCTGGGGTCGCACCACCTGCAGGCCTGACCATGGGCGCCTGGCTGGGAGCCGTGAGCTCTGCTGGTACCACAGCACTGGTCTGGGGGAGGAAGCCAAGCCTCGGGGTGAGGGTGGTGGCCGGGCTCAGCCCTTCCAGCCACTCACAGCCCAGCTCCAGGACCCCACACCCTGGAGGCCAGGAGCATGTGGGGGGTTAACCCCAAGCCTGTGGATAGGATGCCTACTCTTCATTGAATTTATTGGGGTGACATTGGTTCACAAAACCACACAGGTTTCAAGTGTACAACTCAACAAAACATCATCTGCACACTGCATCGTGTGCCACCGCCCCAAGCAAAGTCTCTCTCCATCCCCATTGTCCCCTTTGCCCCCCTCCACCTACCCCACCCTCTCTCCCTCTGGCTGTCAGCACTCTGTTGTCTGTGTCTATGTACTGTGTGTGTGTGTGTGTGTGTGTGTGTGTGTGTGTCTGCTTAATCCCTTCACCTTCTTTCCCTCCAGCTCCCAATCCCCCTCCCTCTGACAGCTGTCAGTCTGTTCCATGTATCCATGCCTCTGTTTCTATTTTGTTCGTCAGTTTATTTTGTTTATTAGATTCCACACATAAGTGAGATCATATGGTATTTGTCTTTCTCTGACTGATGATATGCCCACTCTTAATGCTGTTCCCAACCCAGGCCCCTGGCTGTCTCTCTACCCACTGTCTGCCTGATCCTCCTAAACACACACACACACACACACACACACACACACACACACACACACACCTGCACTTCAACTCCAATGTACACTCCAGTTAACTCATTCACTGTCCTTAAAAAGCCCTCCTTGAGCCTGGCACCTTCCCCCCAGGGAGGATCTACAAGCTTTCCTGAGTCCCTGGTGCCCCTCACTGCTGTCTTGGCACCTGGCTCATTCCTATCCCTGGCCTCACTTTGTCTGCCAGCAGGTGGGCTCCCAGGTCCCTGACCAATGACCTGCCTCAGACTCTGGATTCGTGTGGCACGTGTTGTAACAAACCAACCTCCCAATATATAATGGCACAAACACAGTAGAAGTGTGTGTCTCTTTCCTGCAAAATTCAAAATGGGTGAGTCCCTGCTCTACCTGTTGGAGAAGTACCCAGGCCCCACCAGGCACTTCTGATTAGTGGGCTCTCTCCCCCAAGCAGTGACTCTGGGACCCAGGTTCCTTCCACCTAGTGGCTCTGCCACATTCAACACATGGCCCTCAGAGTCACCGTGAGGTCTGCATGAGCCAGCAAGATGACAGAGCAGAGGAGCAGGCAGGGGTTGTGGGGGTCCAGGTCTGGGACTAGCACACATGTCCACACATTCCATTAACCAGAACGTGGTCATATGACCCATCTAATTGCAAGGGAGGCTGGGAAATGTAGTCCAGCTCTATGCCCAGGCAGAAGACCGGGATTTGGTGCCCCGCCCAGCAGTTCCCACCACACACCCCTAGCTCCAAGTCCACCACTGGCTTCCCCAGGCCTCTCCTGCATTCTCACCTTGGCCCTCCTGACCCCATTCCCCTGCCTTCCCCCGTCCATCTCTCTGCAGCTTCATCTGATACAAGCCGACACCAAAGAAAAGACCAGGTCAGCGAGGCACACAGAAGAGGTTTATTCCTCATGAGTTTGCACAACCACAGCACAGAGCAGAAGACAAAGGCAACACAGCTCAGGGCGAGGGGAGAGGGCCTCTCCGCAGCGTCGTCTACCCCCCACCTGAGTGCAGTACGCGGGTGTGAGGGATGGGAGCTGAGGACCTGCCCTCGGAGCGGGCAAGGCAGGAAGGAGGGTGGGGACACGAGGCCCAGGTGCTGCCGGAGTGGGTGCTGAGGAAGAGCCGCCGACTCAGGTCTCAGAACGCAGTCACCCCTCCTTCCTTGGCCTTCTGCAGCCCCTCCCCCTCCCTGCTGGGGAGCTGCTCCCTACAGAGCCATGATGACGATGATGGAGCTGCCCCCAGAGCTGAGTGAGGGAGGGGGACACTGCAGTGACATCGCAGTAAGCCCCGGAGACCCCGGGGAGCGCCTCACACCGCAGGTCGCCTCTCCTTCCTCAGCGGTCCTCCTGAGACCTGCCTGAGACCCACCATAAGGCTACAGCTGGCCTCGCTTTCCTGGTGAGAAGCAAACGCCTGGGAGAGAAGGGCACTGACGAAGGAGCTCGGCCATCCCACGCCCGACTTGTCGCTGGGCCCACCCAAGAAGGGTGGCTTACAGAAGAGCTCCTTCCCTCAAAGGCCCATACCTTCCCGGCCCAGGCCACCAGGGCCACCAAAATGCCGCTCCTCCTCATGGCAGAAGAGGGGACCCCAGAGGGACAGAACGTGGGCAGGGAAGAAGCCACCGGGGTGCAGGGAAATCCAGAAGCCCTTTCCTAAAGGAAAAGCCACACCTGTCTGCACCTAAGTGGAGGTGGGGATGGAGACCAGCCCTGCTCCATCTCCCCTCCAGTATGGGCAAGGGGACAAGGACCAAGCTGCAGGCAGGCCCAGGGGAGCCTGGGCTACAACAGACACAGACCACAGACAGACACAGGCAGGTGAAGGCCACCAGGTGAAGACCACTGGGCAGAAGCTGCCTCTTACTCGCCATCCCAGCCTCGACTCATGGCCTGGACCACGGCCCGGTAGAGCTGGCTCCAGGCTGCGCGCACGGCTGGTGTGAAGGCGGGGCCCAGGCACTTCTCCAGCATGTAAAGCAGGGACTCCCCCACCGTCTGCAGAGGCAAGGAGCACCTGGTCACTCCCTTCCACAGGTCGAAGACTGAGGCCAGGGCAGGGGAGGGCTCCTGGGCCTTTCTTCTCTCCTGCACAGGGTCCATGCCTCCTGGGCAGGACCAATCCTTGGGGACCACACTGTACCCACTTCCCCCCACAGATGTGATGCTTCATAGTGAACAAAGCATTTCACCCCACTCCCAGCCTTGCAACTACCCCATGAGTGAGGTTGAGGCATTGCTGGGACCCCAGTTCAGACCAAGCAAAGTGCTGCCTGCAGGCCTCAGTTTCCTCCTCTGCAACGCAGCACTCGTGGGCTTAAGAGCCTGCGCTCTGCAGCCAGATGGACTTGAGTTCACTTTCTGATTCTACCACCTACAAACTGTGACCTCGAGCAAGTTATGTCACCTCTCTGAGCCTCGGTGGCTTCATCAGTTAAATAGAGAAAGGGGGGGGGGGTGAAATGATTAAATGAGCTCTCCTATAAAAAGCTCCTAGCACAGCATCTGTACACAGTAGGCCTTCAACAACAATAATGGCTCTCATGTGTTATTAGTCAGAATACATAAGGTTTGTTTATTCCACAGATGTTTACTGACTGTCCACTGGAGACCAGGCTCTGTGCTAGCGCTGGGGATGGAGAGCACAGGACAAACTTGGTCCCTTCCTCAGGTGCGTAGCTAGGTGACTGGACTATCTGGTAGGCTTGTCACGTCAGTGGCCCCCAGTGAACCCACCTTGAGCAGGGGCCCTCCATCTTGACACTGGGCTCATTCATCGGCATGACTGGCTTTGGCCAATGGGACATTAGCAAGAGTAATGCAAACAGTCTGCAAAAGCACTTGCACACCAGCCTTGTCCTTTTGAAACCCTGCCTCCTAGAACTCAGCTGCCCCTCTGTACAGGAGCTGGGCTAGACCGCCGGGTGATGAGGCCACAGGGAGCGAGACCCCAAGGCTGCCAGGCCGCCCTGGACAGTCCATCCCAGCTGAGCTCCAGCTGAGTGCATTACATGAGTGACTCTAGCCACACCACATGGAACAGAAGAACCGCCCAGTAGCCCAGAAAAATGAGAAACCATTGTTTGGGATGGTCTTATACACAGCAATAGACAACTGAGCAGACCAGCCGAGCTCCTTAACTTTCTATGGTTCTAAGAGGAGTCACACCAGAGAAGAAAAATTGAAGGCTCAGAGAAGTCAAGGCAGCACTAGGGTCACACAGCACGCATGTAACAGATGCAGGTCCCCAGCCCTAGTCACGTGAGGGTATAGGGATGGGGAGATCAGGGAGGACTGGGAGAGAGTGGTGGCCTCGGGAGAGGGCCCCTTTACCCACCGAGAAGGAGCTGAGCTTCACACCCACTGCACGGTGCTTCCTGCCCAGGCCTGCAAGGTACTCCTCCAGTGAGGACAGGTCCTCCACATTGGTCACCGCAGCATCAATCACGAGCATCACCTGTCAAGGCCAAGGTAGCAGTGAAACAGAGAGGCCAGAGCAATCTCCCTGCTCACAGCCACATCCAGAACCCGGGTCCCGACTGGAGGTAAGAGTCACCAGAAGTGGAAAGCAACCTGTGTCTGCGTACAGTAGGCACTCAGTGTGTGACGGCCAAACTGCTAGTGCTACATGGTGAAGGAAGCCTCTGTCTTCTAAGGGGCTCAAAGCCCTAAGTATGCCTGGGACAAGGGGAAACTGAGGCCCACAGGGAGCCTTTAAGGAAACCCCAACTTGGTTTTCATAGGCAGATGGCTCCTAATGGATGAGTGCCAATACCATCTAAAGGAGCCAGGGGACAAGGTCAAGGGCAGTGACAGAGCTGGGACCAGCTGGCTGAGCACAGGGTGGGGAGAAGGCTGCCGGCCCCAGACGGGGTCCAGCGCAGCACAGAGGGAAAGGAGCAGGAGGGGAGTAAGACCAGGCCGGAGCAGGAAACGGAAGCGATTTTCACTGTCCCACGTCCCTCGTTGTCTCCCAGGAAGGCGCTCTGCTGGATCCCAGAGGTCACCCGGGCTCGGTCTTCCCCCTCACCTTCCTGATGTGATCCAGGAACTCCGGGGAGGAGAGGCAGTCCTCGGGGCTGGAGAACTGGCGGCAGTTGTACTGGAAGAGGGGCAGCAGGTGGGGCTCCAGGTCAAACAACCTGCAGGGGAAGGCCCAGGTGTCAGAAAGGGATGTTAGCCCCTGCAGGAGCCCTGCTGCCCAGTGGGAGTGGGGGTGGGCCGGAGTTTTAGCCATAAACTATAGCACACTCTCCAACCTGGTACTGACCCATGCACCAGCTGGGACCCCCTGCCTGGAGAGGGCATGTGTCCCCAGGCCACAGCATGCTCAGGGGTGCTGGGACAGGAAGGATCCTCAAACAGAAAGCCTGGAGAAAGCCTCTCTCTCTCTCTCTCTCTCACATCCCCCTACCCTTCCTATTTTGGGGTCAGAATATCTTAGTCTCATCATGTCTTCTGACGTGGCTCCAGTCAGTGATGATAATAGTAGTATTAAGAATTCCTTACAGCCCTGGCCGGTTTGGCTCAGCGGTGAGAACATCGGCCTGCGGTCCAGAGAGACCAGGTTCGGTTCCCGCTGAGGGCACATACATTGGTTGCAGTTTGTCCCTGGCCCTGGTTGGGTCATGCGGGAGGCAGCCACTCGATGTGTCCCTTTTACGTCAATGTTTTTCTCTCTCTCTCTTCTTCTCTTTCCCTCCCACTCTATCTGAACAAAAAATGGAAAAATGTCCTTGGATGAGGATAAAAAAAAAAAAAAAAGAACTCCTTACACTTACTGAGCATTGAGTACTTTACACGTGGTTAATCCTAAACAGTTACAAAAATTGGGATAACAGTGGGTACAACAATTATACCAATTTTATGGAGGAAATAGAAAACCAGAAGGGTTAAGTAACTTGCCTGAGGTCACACAGCTTGGGAGTATCAGAATCACAGAGGGTGCCTGGGTAAACAGTGGGCTTGGGGAAAGCCGAAAGCCAAAAGCTGGGAGACACAAAGCAGAAGCTCTCAGCTGGGAGGGCTCATCTGGGTTTTGTGTAACTGAATTTATTTCCCTTTTTGGGGGGAGGCAGGGGCCGTTGGGGGAGGGGGAGGTTTGCAAAAGCTTCCTCGGAAGTTCTGTGCTGGCTTAGTGAGCCAAGGCGCTGAAACCCCACGGAGAAAGGGCCCTTTGCCGCTGGTGATGATGGAAGGAGACCCTCAGGCTGAGGCTGAAGATGGCCTCCCCCTTTGGGGCTGGCACTCCTTACCCTCTTCCCTGTGGTGAGACTGAGGCATCTGTCACCCCTCACCTGCTGGTTCTAGCTGGTCTCTCCTCCTAAGGTTTACCTCCCGTTAGTTGCTGGAGGTGCACTTCCTGCTCCGCCAGCAGGCATCCAGCCCACTCTCCACACGGGAGCGAGGGTCAGCACCCCAGTCTCCCCTTACTGGCAGTGGTGAGCACCCCTGGAGTTACCCTCCGAGGAACAAACGCTCAGGGGTTACAGAGCCAGGGACGGGCGCAGCGCCTGGGGTGGTGTCTGCTGGCCCCAGTGTCAGGAGATCCTGGCGAGGACCCCCGCCCGCCCCCGGAGGGCCTGGCAGGGACGGCGTGCGGCTCGGCCGAGAGGAGCGGAGGGGGTCGCCGCGCCCAGCTCCTCTGGTGCACATCTGGAGGCGCCCAGAGCGGACGGCGAGTCAGTCTTCCCTCCTCTGGAGCCCCGCCAGCCTCCCCGAGCCCATTCCTGGCCAGGTCCCCTGCGCCCCCGGTCTCTGTACCACCCTCACCTGGTGAACAGGACTGTGCCATGCTCCAGTGGGCTGCGGCTCACCACCTGCCAGCTCTGCCGGATCAGCTCGGGTTCTGGGCGCTCCATGTTCGCCCAGGGACGCGGGGCGCAAGCTGGGACCCTTGGCGCGAGCACCGTCACCGCACGTGCCGCGCCATCTCCGTGGCGACGTGGGCCACTCCGCGCCTCTTGCAGCCCCTGCGCCTCGGTGGGGCTCTGCCACTGCCCCCTCCTCGCCCTGGGTGGAGGCGCGCCAGCCCTGCTGGCCCCTCTGGCGCTGCTGGGCCGCTGCTCCCTGCGCCCCGCGGTGCGGAGAGCGCTCTGCACCCGCACAGTCCCGAGCCGACTGACCCCGGCGCTTTAAAGCAACCGCGGCCCCGCCCCTCCGTGGGCAGCCCGGCTTCAGAGCCTAACAGAAATCGTGGAGCCTGGGTTGAATTTGATCGCTTTGGGTAGTCTCTGCATGAGCCACCTCTCCACAAGCCGCACTCAAACATTTCCCGGAAGCATCTGAGTTTGCCACCCCCTGGGCACAGGGTCCCTCCCTCCTCCCCCCCTGTGGTCAGTCCTGGGAATGCCAGGGCGCCTACCTGTATGACCAGGTCGAAGCTGGGGGTGCCCTCTGGCCTTGTTCTGGATCTGAGCCACCCCCACACCTTGGGGGCCACCAGGGCTCTCAACCTTAGGGACAGGGCCAAGACCATTTCCTACTAGGCTGGGTTTTCCTGAGACTCCACGTTTAGACTCTATGGGCTCCAAGTTCAGCCCCAGCTCTGCTTGGCCAGGGTGCGGTCTCAGGTGCAGCACTGTGAGCATTGCCTTACCTGGACTTTGAGGGAGTTAAGCTCCAACATTTTACTATCCCATGATTTTTTAAAATTATTATCTCTTTATTGATTGTTAGGGAGAGATAGAAACATCAGTGAGAGAGAACATCAATTGGCCGCCTCCTGCATGACCCCCACTCAGAATTGGGCCCATAACCTGGGCATGTGCCCTGACCAGGAATCGAACCTGTGACCTCTTGGTGCATGTATTGAGGGATGCTCAACCACTGAGCCACAACGGCCAGGCTAAACCATATATATATTTTTTTTATCCTCACCCGAGGACATTTTTCCATTTTTTGTTCAGATAGAGCGGGAGGGAGAGAGAGGAAGAGAGAGAAACATCGACGTGAAGGGACACATCGAGTGGCTGCCACCCGCACGACCAACCAGGGCCGGGGACAAACTGCAACCAAGGTACGTGCCCTTAGCAGGAACCGAACCGGGCCTCTCTGGACCGCAGGCCGATGCTCCAACCGCTGAGCCAAACCGGCCAGGGCTATACCATGATTTTTAATAGACTTTTTAAAAAGGTTAAATAGAAGTACTGTTTACATTATTAAAAAGAAGTTCAGGCCCAGAATCTCACACTTGTCATTCAGGGTATAAAGCTGGTCACCTGTCAATCAGACCTACACTTTCTCCCGGGTTTGGGAGAGCAAGCATTTCTCACCCTCATGTACCATTATTGGGGAGTGTCTGAGCCTGTCTCCTCTGTCTATCACTTGTCTCCTCAGCTGTATTCAGTGTACAGGTGGATTGGATCTTGCGGTCTCCAGGGGCCTCAGTCCACCTCCTTTGTGTTTATGGATGCAACAAAGTGGGTTGGTGTTCTGGGGTCATCAGTTACGGACAGGCTGCAGCCCATGGCCAGCCCTGTGCTAGTCATGAAATGTTGAGTCCTTGCTTCTAGGACTTCTCCGTCTGGCCCTGAATCATGACTAAGGGCCTCAGCAGAACTCATCTTTCCTGCATCCAACCAAGCCCAATGAAACCATCCAGCTGCTCCCCCTCCTCCAAGGACCTGGGGTTTGAGTGCCCACTAGTCCTTTCTTCCCCATCTCTCCACACATCTCAGGTCTCTGGACTAGAATAGGAGAGCAAGGCTGTAAGGCAGCCTGGCTTATGTCCTAGAGTCTGAGAGATGCTTATGTAGGAACATGAAGGGACGGGAGGCTGAGGGGAGAAGGTCAGGGTACTCAGAGCCTGGACTTTCAGAGTGGTATCCGGTGGCCCTGCAGCAGGCACAGCAGGTCACAGGGGAGGTCACGTCTCCAGCAACCTTTACTCTCTTTCAGTGCCCAGATGCTCAGTGCCGCATGCAGGCCACCTGGCGCATCGAAGGCTTCAGTCTACACTCGGGCCCTTCTTGCCTCCCTTCTCCTTGGGACAGGGTCTGGGGTTTGATGAGTTAATAGGAAGGAATGGCCTCAGCTAGTAAGTGGTGAAGTCAGCACTCACTCCGCCTTTCTGGAGACAGGAGAGGGCTAAGTGCACTCTGACCATGGCTCCCCTTGGAGAAAAGGCCGGAGAATCTGGCTAGGCCTAAACAGTCAAGGTGGGTATTCCAACCAGAGGCGGAGGGTCTGAATCCATATCTGAGTGGCTGGGGGACAGTCACAGGAGTTCCCCTCCCTGCCCGGCATCTGCCCCGACTTGGGCAGGAGGTTCTCACTGAGGAGAGTTCAAATACTGTCCTAGAGCCAGCGCCATCATGGGACCCGCTGTCATCAATAACAAAGAGCTAGCATTTACCGAGCATTTATGTCCAGGCACCACGCAAGGCACTTTGCACCATGAACTCTTTTCATCCTCACGATAACTCTGCAAAATAGGTACTACTTACTATACCCTTGTTCTACCATTGAGGAAACAGAGGCAAAAAGGTTGAGTAACTAACCCAAGGTCACATAGTAAGTGGTACGGTCAGGAACTGACCTTACTCGGGCCTGTCCTTAGGTCTCCATGCTCCACTGCCTCCCTCAATGTAAGGATTGTGACCAAAAGTCGTGTCCACAGTTCAGATCAAGCCAAGGTCACTGGGCCTGGGTGAAGAGTGCATTGGAATTGGTTCTTAGATGGCTTGTGCGAGCCCAGTATATGCATCTTTCCAGCTCATAGGGACATCAAGTTGGTAGCCTGAGACAGGGCATGGTAGGAGTATTTACACCACGAAAATGGACAAATGCTACAAATCAGGGCCTTTTCCCACCAACGGTCTGGGTGCACCAGGAAACACCAGCCCTAGATGAGCTGTCAATGCGTTAAGCAGAATGTGCAAAAGACCAGGCTAAATCTGGACACCTCTGAGCTGAGCCCAGACCTTCTCACCAAGGGATCCAGGTCTGCCAGGTTGCTCTGGGAAGGTGCTTCTAGTCCCAGGACCAGCTGCAGAAGCAGAAAAAGCCCAACTTCATCCCAGTTGGGTGGCTCAGTTGGTTGGAACCTTGTCCCATATACCAAAAAGGGTGCCATTTCGATTCCTGGAAAGGGCACATGCCCAGGTTGTGGTTTTGATCTCTGGCCAGGGTGGGTATGGGAAGCAGCGATCGATGTTTCTCTCCCCCTTCCTCTCTCTCTAAAATTAATAAAAACATATCCTTTGGTGAGAATTTAAAAAAGAAAAAGCCCAACTTGGTGCCTAGTCCAAGTTCCACAAATTACTCATTGTGGGACCTTAGGCAAGTGATTTAATCTCTCATAGGTAGAATGGGGATAAAAACAGCCATGACTTCCCTGGGCCTTTTGAGGATTAAATGTCAGATGTGTAGGGTCTAAGCTGCGCCAGTCAAGAAGTGTTTGTTCCTTCTCTACCCTGCCTGTCCTCAGCATGTACCATCTCCTAAGAGCTGATGATCCCTGCCTTCTCCGCTGCCAGCTACTCTTGGTCCCAAGAGGGACGTGGTCAGTTAGCCCAGAGGCCCCCAATCTCACAGTGTAGTGCTCCCCTCCTCCCCCATCTGCTGTCCAACACAAGTCAGCTCTTCCCTACTTTGGACCCTCAACATCGCTCCTGACAACAGAAGACCCCTCCCTGTCAGATGGGGGCAGAGCGGAAGCTACTACACTGCGGGGCCACTCAGCTGTCTCAGAAGTCGACGACTGGTACTTTCTCACTCCTTTCTATACGGTATGAGCAGGTTAAAAGAGAAAAAAAAGCAGGTCCAGCTTCCTACTTATTTCGGAATAAGTTTAAATAAAATAAAATAATCAACATTATTTTGGGGTGAAATCAGCTCACCGGCCCAGCCAGGGCCGCTGCTGGAATTAGAAAGGCCTCAGACAGAGACACAACAGAACGGTTCTCGCACTCAAAACGTTCTTCTTCTCTTTCTGGGAGCCAGTGGGCAAGTCCAATTCAATTAAGTACAACAAGAACAATGGCATTCAAAATAAGAGCTATTTATTACAAAAGTAAATGGCCCCATTATCTGTGGAAAAAAATTTTTAATACAAAATGTAGCTCAAAAGCTGGCTGGAGGTTGGGCCGACTAACAAGTATCTTCTTCCTCCACCAGCAAGTTTGTGGAACATGTCACATTTCTGCCAATTCCTGGGGCTGGAGGCCATATTCCAAGCACCACCCGACAGCCCCTCTCCCCACAGCTGGCAGCAACAGGACCTCAGCATTTGAGGCTGCCTCCAGCCACGTGGCCTTGCCCCCAAAGAAGTATCTGCCAGTCTGGGCAAGGAGAAAGAAGAGGGAGTGAGCGGACAATTCTCCTTCGCCCATCCTTGGAAAGCAGTGGAGGGGACAGAGGAACCCTTTGTCCCCGGTGTGGCCACATTAGCAGGAGAGATGGGCAGGAAGCTGCCTGCGACTCCTTCCTCACCCTCACTCAGAGTGGCTACCCCTCTGGCTTCTTCAGAGCTCCCCGCTAACGAGTTCCTATTATGAAGTTCGAGGCCAAGGGAACACCAGCCATCTCCTGGTTGTTGCTGTGGGCCATGGCTCTTTGCTAAGGTTCCTGCATTCTACCTGCAGGAGAGCCCATCCAGCTGCCTCTACCTCCAGGAGAGCCCACCCAGATGGCTCTACCTCCAGGAGAGCCCACCCAGAGAGCTCTACTTCCAGGAGAGCCCACCCAGAGAGCTCTACCTCCAGGAGAGCCCACCCAGATGGCTCTACCTCCAGGAGAGCTCACCCAGATGGCTCTACCTCTAGGAGAGCCCACCCAGAGAGCTCTACTTCCAGGAGAGCCCACCCAGATGGCTCTACCTCCAGGAGAGCCCACCCAGAGAGCTCTACTTCCAGGAGAGCCCACCCAGAGAGCTCTACTTCCAGGAGAGCCCACCCAGATGGCTCTACCTGCAGGAGAGCCCACCCAGAGAGCTCTACTTCCAGGAGAGCCCACCCAGAGAGCTCTACTTCCAGGAGAGCCCACCCAGATGGCTCTACCTCCAGGAGAGCCCACCCAGAGAGCTCTACTTCCAGGAGAGCCCACCCAGAGAGCTCTACTTCCAGGAGAGCCCACCCAGAGAGCTCTACCTCCAGGAGAGCCCACCCAGAGAGCTCTACTTCCAGGAGAGCCCACCCAGAGAGCTCTACTTCCAGGAGAGCCCACCCAGATGGCTCTACCTCCAGGAGAGCCCACCCAGAGAGCTCTACTTCCAGGAGAGCCCACCCAGAGAGCTCTACTTCCAGGAGAGCCCACCCAGAGAGCTCTACTTCCAGGAGAGCCCACCCAGATGGCTCTACCTCCAGGAGAGCCCACCCAGAGAGCTCTACTTCCAGGAGAGCCCACCCAGAGAGCTCTACTTCCAGGAGAGCCCACCCAGATGGCTCTGCCTCTAGGAGAGCCCACCCAGAGAGCTCTACCTCCAGGAGAGCCCACCCAGAGAGCTCTACTTCCAGGAGAGCCCACCCAGATGGCTCTGCCTCTAGGAGAGCCCACCCAGAGAGCTCTACTTCCAGGAGAGCCCATCCAGATGCCTCTACCTCCAGGAGAGCCCACCCGGATGGTTCTACCTCCAGGAGAGCTCACCTCCAGGAGAGCTCACCCAGATGGCTCTGCCTCCAGGAGAGCTCACCTCCAGGAGAGCTCACCCAGATGGCTCTGCCTCCAGGAGAGCTCACCTCCAGGAGAGCCCATCCAGATGCCTCTGCCTCCAGGAGAGCTCACCCAGATGGCTGCCCCCACCCAGCCCAGAAGAAACCAACTCCACCTATGGGAAGGAGAGGAGGGCAAAGGTAGGGCGGAAGGGGTGAGCAAAGCTCTCTCCATCCCTGTTCTCCTTCCCTTCCAGAATGCAATTAAGCAAGCAGCCCAGACTCAGCACACAGGCAGTGCTTCCTGCTAGGGGAAGTCAAAAGGGCTGTAGCCCTGGGAGAGGGAGGTCATCAGGTCCCAGATCTAATTAACAAACCTGCCTTGCTTTTGATGTTGCTGTATTTCCTCTATTAACATTAATGATGGTTGGTCTGAATGTCCAAGCATGGCCAGAAGCTTCAGCTTCCCTCCCCATCACCCAGTAGGGAGCACAGCCTGTCCCCGGGACCAATTTCCAGTCTCCGTGGCAACCGCCTCTGAAGATGCTCTAAGAGCTCTGACCCTGCCAGAGTCAGTAGGGCTACAGAGGAGGGAAGATGGAGTGTGGCAGAGATTAGGCATTAACCTTGAAGCATCGCAGTCCTCTGAAACAAAATAAATACCCTGTCATGCACTGGCAGGAGCGAGGCAAGCGGAAGGGCTGGCCTTGGGTTTTCTTAATCCCTTTCATTTGGGAGGAAGTGAAGGGAACAGCTCTGAGCTTTTTGCTTGGGCTTCAAAGTGAGAGAGAAGAGAAGCTTTCATGCACTTCTAGGTGCTCTGGGTTTTGGGAGAAGAAGAGATTGGGGAAACAGAAACGCTGAGAAAGGGAAATGAAATGGATGAAAGGGGGTGTCAGCAGGGGAGGACTCAGGAAGTGAAACTAGGGAGCACTTCCTGAGTGACACTGAGCCCCAGCCAAGCACCACACATCTACCTTGCTAAGCAAGGGCCCGTGGCTCTCCCGGCTGTCAGAACACACCTGCCCCGTGGTCACAGCCGGGCTGGATGCAGCGCGAAGGATGGGTAGCAAGAAACTGCTTCTGGCCCCAGGGCCTGGGACACAGAGCTGCCAAGGGCAGGAGCCATTCCTCCCACCAATCTCATCACGTGGCGTCCCAGCGAGCTGGTGCCTCCTCGGCTGCCTGGCTCTGGGCCAGTCCTCTGCGCACCGACCCGCCACCTGCTGCCACACAGGCTTCCCGGCAGCAGCCACGCAGGGAAGCCGCTGGACGGCTGGCCCTTGCTCCTTTGTGAGGAGAGCAGCACAGCCCCGCCAGTCCCATCTCCGCCGCTGCGCCGTCCAGGGCGGGGCAGTGCTCTCAGCCCTCCTGGAGGTCAGAGGTTGTTGCTGGGTCTCACTCACAAACCAAATCCAGTGTAGAAAAATACCAGAAAACACTGCTGCAGCCCTGGACTGTCTCTTAGTTTAGGACACTCAGCTGCCTGCCGTCACGGCCTGTATTCCACAGGTATCAGGACGGCTGCGCCCTCACACCCCGCCCTCCCGCCCACTCTCACACTCATCCCTCCTGCCGCACACGCGGAAGCGGGCTGAGAGGTGTCCTCCGTGGCGGGGCCATCCCCGGCGGATCTGCACAGAGCCAGGCTCTCTAGCGTTGGGTGAAGTTCTGGGTTTGCCCTGGGACTTGGTCCAAGCAGGCACCAGCTCCTCAGGCTCCTCAGGCAGCTTCCGCCACAGCTGGCAGGGTGCAGGGGCCGGCTCCACAGCTGGCTGTCTCCAAAGTTCCTGGACTGAGTCCTTGCAGTGGCTTCAAAAGTCCCATGATTCCAGCCACCTTAGTCCTGCCATCGGACTCCGGGGGTCCTGGGCTAGGGGACCAACCATCCCGTAGGCGAGAGGGTGGAAGAGGTAGAAGCTGTGAGAGAGAATCAGAGGGAGCAGTTGGCGTCCCTCCAGATCTCTGCAATGCAGCTCCTCCTGCTGGAGCTCATCAGGTCTTCTCCACCTCTGAGACCTACTCCTTTTGTCCCCACGTCTGCCTGAGTTCACCATCGGCACCCGGGGCCTGAGAGCTTAGTAGATGCTGACTGAGTGACAGGGGTCTGGTCGTGGGCTGTTTGACCAGAGCATTTGCTAAAACACGAAAGTGCTCTCGGGTCACAGGCCACCAGTCCCTGCTCGTGTTTTTAAGTTGCCCCTGACCCTCCAGGCCAATGGCTTTCCACGGGGGACCTGTGAGACTTACAAGGGGGTCAGGGAGGGGGCTTTCCAAACACCCTCCCTCCAGTTTCTCTGAGCCACACCCCAACCCCATACCCCTGCACGCACCTCCTCACCCCCACCGAGCGCCATCCCGGGAGGGAGCCCCAGGACTGAAGAGGGCACCCTCCAGTGTGCCAGCGGTTCCAAGGTGGAAGCCCCCAGCATCAGGGAAGAACGCAGTCAGCCCCATGTTTCTCCTGCCTGGCTGCATGTCGGGGTCCCTGAGGAGCTCTGACAACAGCTGACAGGGCCCAAACTGGGCTCAAGTGAATCAGTCATCCGGAGACGGGGCCCAGGCTCCAGCAGGCTTAGAAAGCACCCCAGGGGACTCTAAAATGCAGCCAGGGTGGGGGCCGGGAGAGCAGTGCCAGGGCCGGGGTGCCTACCTGTAGGCAGTTCCCAGGAGCAGGCTCAGGACTCCCACCACATGGACACCACTGGCCAAAGAGGAAGCCAGGCTCCAGGCACAGAGCCGCAGCAGAGTGTCCCACAGAACGCCTAGTGGAAAGGACAGGGACTGGGCACAGCCTGTCGGAGGACGGCTCCGGGGACGCAGAGATGCCCTCTCGACATGGCTGCTCCACGGCCTCCTCCCCTGCCACCCCCGCCCTCATCGCCCGGTCCAGGTGGATGGTGCTGACCTGTCAGCATGCTGGAGAACAGCATGGCTGGGAAGTAGTGGTGGAAGTAGAGGACCCGGCCCATCAGGAAGAATGGGAAGTAGTGGAGCGCCCAGCCCAGCAGCAGCTGGCCACCTCCTCGCAGCAGGACCTGGGAGAGCCCTGGGCCCGAGGGGCACAGCCCCAGTCAGCAGGCAGGGAGGGGCAGAGATCCTGGGCTCCCGTCCAGCTCTGCCCCTGCCTTGCTGTTGACATAATAGGTCACATCGCCTAAACGGGCCTTCCTCTCACCTGGACCAAGCCAGCGACCCCTCCGGCAGCTGGCAGAAGAGGAGCGACCGGCTCGCAAGAGCCCAGCTCACACCACCCAGCCTGGCGAGGCCTCAGCACCCACAGCAGGGGCACCAAACACCAGCAGGAGGGGCATGGCCTCTAAGGAAACTCAAACCTTGCACACCTCACAGACAGCTTCCCCCCACCTCCATTCCCCACCTCTCTGCTGCCGCACAGATCTCTGGGCGCAGACAGGCCGAGGCGAGGTGGGAGAAGAGGAGGTGGGAGAGAAGGGAGCCTGGCACAGCGGCTGTGCAGACGGCGCTGCAGGGGCCAGCACGGCCTGTGTGAACGTCTCAGATGCTCTGGTCCGCGGCCTGGCAGCCAGAGTTCCCAGGAGCAGCACTAGGATGGGAATCCACAGACTGTGCCCTGGCGCCTCCTCTCTCCCCACCAGAGGACAGGGCCACGGAACAAGGAGAGCAGATGGGCAGCTCTGTGCAGGGCACAGAGGTTAAACATGAAGACTGAACTCGCTGCTCGGTCTGAACCTCAGCTCTGGCACTTACTAGCATATGTCCTGGGACAAGTCTCTTAACCTCTGGGCCTTGGTCTCCCAGTCCACAGAATGGGGTCATGATCCCTATCCTAAGGGTTGCTGGGAGGATGTAGTGTTTAACACAGCACCAGGCCTTTGGTGACTGTGAGCTTTAAAAAGCAAAGGAGAAGGGCCCAGCCGGTGTGGGTCAGTGGTTGAGTGCTGACCCACGCACCAAGAAGTCGTCAGTTCGATTCCCGGTCAGGGCACATGCCCAGGTTGTGGGCCCCATCCCCCGTGGGGGGACTGCAGGAGGCGGCCAGTCAATGCTCTCTCTCATCAGTGTTTCTCTCTCTCTCCCTCTCCCTCCCTTTCTAAAATCAGTACAGAAAACGTCAGAAAGCAAAGCAGAAGGGAAAGAGTGGCCCACAGCAGGCAGCCCTCCCCAGACGGCAGGCACCCTGCCAGCACAGGTCAGGAGGGAGAAGCCGAGGGACCTGACCTTCAACCTCGGCCGGCAGATGTGCCCCTCTCTGCAGGGCGACAGCCATGATGCTCCCTGAGAAGAGGTAGAGGGCGATGCTCAGCAGATTCAGCCACCAGACCACCTGCGTGGAAACGGGACAGGAGGTGAGAGGGACGTGTGCTCTCCACAGGCCCGCTAAGGGGCCAACCTGGGCATGTGGGGGTGCTCACCGGGTTGCCCAGCAGGTACACTCGGAAGTCCGTGTCATTGACCCCTGAGAAGCGCAGGCCCTGTGGAGCAGAGGACACGCTGCTGATCCGGGCCCAGCCCACCCCCGCTGCACGCGCCCCGGGGGAGGACCTGGGCACCTTTCAGAGCCTCTAGGAAGGCTGGTCAGAACACAGAGCCCCGTCTCCGGCCACCCCGTGCCAGGCACAAGGCCTCACCCTGTCACCCCAGCACACCCCACCTCCCCCAAGTCTCAACAGTCTCTTTCTGGCTCCATTTCCTGGGAGGAGCTCTAGCCCCGGGCCCCACCTGGTAGTTGATAGGCCAGTGCCAAGGTTTGGATGTGAATTCGTTGTCCTTGGGCTTGAGGCCACTGTTCCCCTGCAGGAAAGTGGCAAAGAAAAGCCAGTCAGGACAGAGGGAGCGGCGGGCTCTCCAAGGATGGCCGCGCACCAGGAGAAACCCTCGCTCCTCTCCCCGCGCAGAAGAACCAGGTGCCCGCTGGTTCTCCGTCATGCCCCCTGCGACAACGGGCAAGTCCCACTCCCCGAGACCGTCCAGCAGACCCTCTCCGCCTGAGGCATGACGGGCTTGTTTCCCACAGGTACCCGGCTTGCAGGCCAAGGAGAGGTGTCCGGAGGGTGGGAGGGGGCATATAAAGTCAGGGCTGACTTGTTTGTCCCCTCAGAGGCCAAGTTCAAGCACACACCTTTGAGAAGTTTATTTTCAAACAGTGTTCTCAACTTTTTAAATTGTTGCCACTCCCAGATTTTTTAGGCATTTTCCCCCCTAGACGCCCCTCACCATGACGTTGTAATACCACAGCTATACTGTAAATCTGTTGATATACTACCTGTGCTTCGTACGTTAAAAAGTTAAGGGGGGTTTGCCCTCCAAGAACACATTTCACCCACTGCAGTGATGAGAATGCACGATGAGCCTAAGGGACCCAGACTCCGTCCCTTTAATCCAGGAGCCAAGAATACCCAACAACCTGTGTCTATATCCAACAAACCTGGCCTTTCCACAACAAGAAGGAAAGGGGTCGGATCCTGGGTGCTAACCACCAGGACTAGCATCAGCCTCCTCCTCAGGGCCCACTGCGAAGGCATCTCCCGGAGTCAGGGGCTACGGGTTGGGTCAAGGTTTCTCCACCTCGGCCCCCTGCCACTGGGGCTGGAGAAGCCTTTGGTGCAGGCCTGTCCTGTGCAGGGTAGGATGCTTGGCAGCCCTCCCCCTCGGCATTGCCAAACAGCCCCTTAGGAGGCAAAACCACCGTCCGTTGAGAACCACTGGTCTCGCCCAGGAAAGATCCGGAAGGTCTGACCGGTGAAACACCGCCCAGGGCCTTACTGGTCCACCCACGTGAGGGGAATCGCCTGCAGGCCTGCACATGGCAGCTGGGCTGCTCTTCCAGGGTCCAAGTGCCATGGGGTCAGACCCAGAGGGCCCAGCTGCACCGCCCTTGAACCACTGAGGCCTGTGAAGAGCCTCGGAATAAAGAATGAATCATTCTGGGCCCCAGGGCATCTGCTGAGGGAAACCAGTTCCTTCAAACCAGTCCAGCCCGGCCCAAATGCGGGGACTCCAGCCAGAGCTATAATAAGCCAAGGGCATCCTGTTCACTACTTTAAACTGAGAAATCCAGTCCCTTTACTAACGTAAGAAATGAAAGGAAGGAGAAGTCTGTAACCGTCACAGGCATAGGCATTTGTCCAGTTCTCTATGCTTAAAACCTAGAGCGGGCTCGTTCCAGCTAGCCTCACCGGCAAGGGCCTTCCCCGCCGTCCTCGGGCCCTCCGCTCCGCTGGCAGCAAATCCCTCTCCCCGGCTTTCTGTGGCCCCGACTTCTGGTCTCTCTACATCGGCTAAGTGAGAAAGGTCCCCTATATCCCTTTTCTTCTTCAACTCTACCTCTTCGATAAAAAATAAATGTCCCTTTTCTTCTCGGACTCTACCTCTTTGGTAATGAAAGAAGAAAGGAGACTATTTAGACTTAGTCTTAAAATCATACCCAGACCCAGAATACTTTGACTGACAGGCACATATCAAAGGAGCTGCATCATCAGGCCACAGTGACGGCTACAAGCAGCGAGTCCAAGCAGAAGTGACCCAGCGATCGCTTGCTGTCAACTCATCACATCCCAATGTGCACAAATGAAAAAAATTTGAATTTTAAAATTGAATCTGGTGATTTAAGACACCTGTAGTTACTGGGACTGCTTACATAATCACTTCCAGGACAGTCCATCTGAAATGGCACACCAGGCAGAAATAACAACCGCTACACCTCTCTGCAAGCCTGCGGGCTGAGATCCAGTGATTCTAACAGCGTCCCCACAGAACACCACTTCTCCCTAAAGCAGAGTAAAGGGACTTCCCCCGAACATCAAAACTGCAGCAGGGCTTCTCCAACCATGGAGGGGAATTTAAGCCATTGGGGAGAATTTCTCGGTTTAAGGATTTCCTCTCCCAACTGTTCTTAACCCTTTGCTAAACTGCTGTCAGCTACTAATGATACAGAGCACGATGAGTCTTAGAACGCCTTAAAAAAGAATCAACCACGCCCCCTAAGACAGTCTGTTTCTGTTTGGGAACACAAGTGGCTCATGGTTAGGATTTTATGCTGCATGTAAACAACACACTCAAATTAGCTATCCATCCTAACTGACATAATTTCATGTGATGGAATGAGCTACCAAAGCCTCGTGATCCTCAGCCAAGAACACGGGTTTCCAGGGGCTCTGGCCCGTGAACAGACTGGAGAGGCACTTTGAGGCAGGGGCTGCGGTGGGGCCAGCACTGACTGGGAAAGCCTGCCAGCCTGGCTCTGCAGCCCGGACCCTCCTCTCGTATTTGGCTGTGTGACTCTAGGCAAGTTCTTAATCTCTCTGTGCCTCAAGTCCCTGCTCTGTAAACTGGGACAGTAGTGAGTATTACGTGAGCTAGTACATGTACAGCGCAGCGCTGGGAGCAGCGCCTGGCACGTAAGAGTCACACAGGTCTCGCCGATGTCTTCTCTGCTGTCTTCATCATTTTCACCACCGTCCTCATTCTGGGACACACGAAAATACCTTTGAAAACCAACTAAACCAGGAAGCGAAGACACCTTCAAAGTCCTCCATGAGGAGGCAGTGGACCTATACCACGGCTACGGATCTGTGACCCGAATTCGAGAAGCCACCAAATGGGAGAGGCCATCGTACCCGGATCATCACCATGTGGGACTCCAGCAAGATCTCGGGGAAACTGGGCTGCAGCACGTCCAGGCTGATGTTGGGCACTAGAAGAGAAACGACAGAGGAAAACCTTGGTCACACACGCTCCCTCACAGCGGTCCTGACAAGCTGGCTACCAACAGGCGACAGTGTGGAGGAGGCAGGAAGCTCGGCCCAGCTCTCGAGTCTGCACTCAGCCTGTCCCAGCACTCATCGGGCAGTCAGAGAAATACAAAGGCAACAGATGACAAGGCCCGGCCCTGGGTGCTCCCGCCGCTCTCGGCCGTCACCCCTCGCCTCAGTACTGATGCAAGTGCTGCCCTCCCCCTAGGCCGAGGGGCTGTGAGGAGAGGGACCAAGCCTACCCCTTTCACCAGTGTACCCCAGGCCCCTGGGTTCTGTCACACTCGATACAGAGTTGCTTAGCTGATGTATCAGCGGGCTGGTGCGATTGGGTGGTGAACAGAGCGAATGGGGAAGCCCGGAGAGGAGAAATCAAGTAGAAGCAAGAAGAGGGAAGTCTGGGAGAACAGACGACGAATCGAAGGCCCGCTGAGCCGGAGAAGACACCGAGTGGAAATGTTGAACTGGAGCCTGGGAGTTAGATCTGGGGCTCAGATCAAGGGCTGTGTCTGCCGCTCTCTGTAAACACGTAGGCTGGATGTGGGGAGGGGCACAGAGGGAAGGCACCAGCCTACTCTCAGGCTTGAGGGTGGGGTGCCCGGGCGCGGAAGACAAGAGCCCAGGAGACGAGACAGACGGACCCACGTCACAGACGCCAAGGAGGAGTCCAACCCGGCGAAAGGCCAGGAAACTGAGGAGAGGCAACTAGCTCTGGCCTCCAGTGAGGTCACCAGTCACCCCAAGGGGAGGAGGTTTAAGTGGACAGGAAGAAAAAGGAGCCACCCAGCCACTCGATGTGTTCCTTTCACGTCGATGTTTCTCTCTCTCTCACTGTTCCTCTCTCTCCCTCCCACTCTACCTGAACAAAAAAAGATGGGAAAATGTCCTCGGGTGAGGATTTAAAAAAAAAGAAAAAAGAAAAAGAAGCCACCTACCTAGACAACTCATCGGAAGAGATTAGGTTTAAAAAAGGAGAAAGTGTGCCCTGGCCAGTTTGGCTCAGCGGTTAGAGCGTCGGCCTGCGGTCCAGAGAGACACGGGTTCGGTTCCCGCTAAGGGCAGGTACTTCGGTTGCAGTTTGTCCCCGGCCCTGGTTGGTCGTGCGGGTGGCAGCCACTCGATGTGTCCCTTCACGTCGATGTTTCTCTCTCTCTCTCCCTCCCACTCTATCTGTATAAAATGGAAAAATATCCTCGGGTGAGGATAAAAAAAAAAAAAAAAGGAGAAAGTGGAGACAATGAGATAAAGCGGCAGCAGAGTCTATAATGGATTATTTTTCTAAGACAAGTTACTTATACGTGCTTCCCTTCAGAGCCAGCCCAGGAAGTGACCTCACTCACATTTGGGATTGATGTGGTCCTCCACATTCCAGAGGGAGCTGAGGGTCTCCTTCAGGTATGGAGAGCACGTCACTTCCAGCTGCTCCCAGCCCCTGGGAAAAGCAGTCACAGAAGTCTCTCAGAAGACCTCACCAGAGTCACGCTGTCGACTGCCCTTCAACCCATGGCCATGCTCTTTTCAACCTCACACTATCCTAGGAGTAGTCCATCTACTAGAGACATAGATCCAGAGAGCGCACATCTGTGCATCAGGACACACAGACCACCAGAGTGCTGGACTCCGCTCTACAACACGCCCGATGCCTTCTCTCCCTCCATCTACCACTAAAAATGCCCAAACACGAGGTGAACACTGACGACAGGGGACGGCAGCTTCTGGAACACCTGCAGCATGACAGGAAAAGCATGAGCCTTGGCTAGAACACTGAAACCCCAGAGACTCACCACTTGGGCAGAACCTTTCCCGAGGAGCCCAGGACACAACCTGTGACCAGGTGAATGAAGCGAATTTGACTTCTCAGCACTTTGATCCGGTTTCCAAATTTTCTGTTCATAACCTCAATCCGCCAGAAATCATTTGAGTCCCCTGTGCCATTCTGCCACATAAGTGAAGGGAAAAAAAAAAATACAAGAAAGTAAGATGACTTTAGAGAAGACATTTTGGATGCCACCATGTTACAAAGGTCACAGACTGCCCTGGCCAGTTTGGCTCAGCGGTTAGAGCGTCGGCCTGCGGTCCGGAGAGACCCGGGTTCGGTTCCCGCTAAGGGCACGTACTTCGGTTGCAGTTTGTCCCTGGCCCTGGTTGGTCGTGCGGGCGGCAGCCACTCGATGTGTCCCTTCACGTCGATGTTTCTCTCTCTCTCTCCCTTCCTCTCTCTCCTTCCCACTCTATCTGTACAAAAATGGAAAAATATCCTCGGGTGAGGATTAAAAAAAAAAAAAAAAAGTCCAAAGGTCACAGACTAAAGCGATCTCGCCCTGGCCGGTTTGGCTCAGCGGTTAGAGCGTTGGCCCATGGACCAGAGAGATCCGGGTTTGGTTCCCGCTAAGGGCACGGACCTTGGTTGCACTTTGTCCCCCGCCCTGGTTGGGGTCATGTGGGTGGCAACCACTCGATGTGTCTCTCTCACATCGACGTTTCTCTTTCTCTCTCTCTTCCTCCCTCTCTCCCTCCTGCTCTATCTGAAAATAAATGCAAAAGTGTCCTTGGGTGAGGATAAAAAAAAAAAAGGCTAAATCGATCTCAATGACTGAGGTGGGAAGGGAACCAGGGCCCCGGAATATTCCACGTGATGGACATTGCTCCAGCACTCAAGCTCTCACGATGACAACCAAAAAAGGCAGTCTGACTCCTGATGTCCAATCCTTTACTGCAGGACAAGAGTTTAAATTCTAAACAGGTGTTTTTGCCCTTAAACCAAACTCCAGATGTCATCCTGAGCCAACAGAAATAGACGTGGGCCTTTGTGCCACTAACGTGGCCATCTGGACACTCCCCGTCTACTGGAAAGGTCTGGCCTGGACATCACACTTTGGAAATTAGGACTGTTGTGTCTAATTCTCCTCGGGAGATGCCCACAAGAAAAAGGTGAAGTTCAGAGTGTGGCTCTAGCACACACTGGGATGAGCAAAGAGGGGGCTGGAAGTCCACTTGATGAAACCCAGACTTTTTACTGATTCACCAAAGCCCCTGGAGGGGAATGTAACTGATAGTCATAAGTGTAGTTATCCACTGGTTGCTTTTGTTTTCAAATTACCAACCCATAAGTACTCATTGAGCTTCCTCTATGAACTGCATTACTCCAAGGTAGTGAAATCCAAAAGGAACGTGGTTACTATTCCTCTGCAGAACAGGAAAATAATCCTTAACCACAAGGCTAATCAGAATTTGGGACCTGGCAAAGGATAAACATATATAGTCATCTGGGGTCATGCTGTGGATCTTAAAAGGGACCCAAATAGTATTCATATTTGACATTTTTAGGTGTCAGAACATAAAAATGGCGTGGTTAGCAGGGGAGGACAGAGATGGAGAGAAACAGACGTCATAGGCTGCTTTTCCCACAGCAAGCCAAGCCAAAAAGTCCCCAAATGTTCCGAGTCCCTGTGCAGCCTCCAATCTTAGGAACACGCCAGAATTCTGGGGAGGACGTGTTCCGCCACATGGCCCCGAGCCGGCTGCTCACACTCCAGTTGCTACTTACTATGCCATAGCCAGTGACCTGGTAGTGCTTCCGGGTCAGGGGGGCCTCATGATAGTGGCTGTGCAAGTTCCGAGAAGTCCTAGACGTTACAAGAGACAAGCGCCATTATCTTGAAGAAAAGAGATGGGCACTGTTTCTTCTTTAACCAAAGATACTTAGACTCACCCGTTAGGATAAAAAAATAGAATCTGAACATGAAACTCAACATATCAGGAACTTCTTGCCCATTTACTCACAAGAAATATTAGAGAACTCGAGGACTGCTCAAACCAGGAGGAACGTGGGGCAGGAAGACTGGACTGCGTGCACAGAAGGGGTAACCAGGTGGGGGGTAGGGTGCTGACAGCGCAATTGGTGGCTTTGAAGCACCTGGCTTGCAGGTGTGGGGAGAAAATTAAACTCTGTAATCTACCCATGCCTGAGAGACTAACCCCCCTCTCCCATCCCCAGTTTTATAAAGTTTCATTTAGCTTTTATTTACTTTGTGCTTATTTTAATCCATAATAAAAAAATAGGTGTTCGTTTTTTAAATTTTCAAAAATAAAATATAATTACAATAAATTTTAATTTATTAATAAAATAAAATTTATTTAATAATTAAATTAAATTTTTAAGTATCCATGATCATACACACCAGAAAAATAACACTCTCATAGCCATATATATAAAATCCCTGATTTTTTTCAAAAATCTGTACCTGATAATTCTAGCACACAAAACTTTTGAGGGCTGCTTCTGCTATCCATGGTTCCTATTCATTCTCGTATGCGGTGTGTTTAGTTATTTCTTACTGTGTATTATGCACCATCACTGAGAAAACATTTGTGGGAATGGATGACGATGTCTTTCCCTAAAGAAGACTCACATCTGCTTTTAGCCAGGCAGCTCGGAGACATTACCAATCTCAGATCATGTTCATTTAAATTCCTGGCTTGAAGATTCTGAGACCACCAGGTGAATGAATTTGGGCTGCAAATCCATGTGAGGACCAACTGCAAGTTACAACCTCTGAGGAACCAGAGACCGCCCCCAGCCTCCTCCAGCCCTCCCGAGCACACTGCTCAGCACCGATGTAACTTTTCAGGGCAAATGGACAGGGCAGATTTACCCTTACCCTCACCCTTCTGGGGCTCCCAATTTGGGAGAAGGATCACTTAGTAAATTTACCACTTTGAGTGAACCTAGAACGTTGACTTTAAAACTCCGTCTCTCAAGAGGCAGTTCCCCAAAGATCAAAACTCCAGATTGTGGGATCACGGAAGAAGTGGCTAGTGTCTCCCTTATTTCTCTGGATTCCCTCTTTCACTTAAGATTTTGGCCTGGTAACTCCTGACTAGCTTGTCAGCTCTTTGATGCTTTCTAGAAGATTTTTTATATTATTCCAGTTTTTATATGTATATTCTAGTTATTACATTTGTCATTTTCAATGAGAACATTGGTTAAATAAACTAGCTTGCCATGTTTTTGGAAACAGACTCTTACATCTTTCTAAAAGTAGCCGATTAGGCCCTGGCCGGTTTGGCTCAGCAGTTGGAGCATTGGCCCGCGGACCAGAGAGTCCTGGGTTCGGTTCCCACTAAGGGCACGTACCTCGGTTGCAGTTTGTCCCTGCCCCAGTTGGGGTCGTGTGGGTGGCCACCATTCAATGTGTCTCTCTCACATTGATGTTTCTCTCTCTCTCTCTCTTCCTCCCTTTCTATCTAAAGATAAATACAAAATTCCTTGGGTGAGGATTAAAAAATAAAAGTTAAAAATAAGTAAACAAATAAATAAATAAATGTAGCCAATTAGAAGCAGTTTGGGGCACCTGAAATTTTTTCTTTTGTCCTCTAAGAACAGGGCAGCATAAAGATACCTTCAAACTTTGAAGCTCCCAAAGGCAAAATAGGCAGGCCAAGGCCAGTCTGCCTGTTTCATGAACCTTCACACAATGGTTCCGCCCTCCTCCTACAGCAGCCTTGTTCCATTTCCCAGAGCCTCAGCCAAACCTGACTTCTGGTTAGTTCCAGCTTAAAAAGAACCCCCTACCTTTGGTGCCTACCACTCATCCATCCCAAACAGCAAACTTACTTACTCTCTATGTTCCAGTCGAACGATGTCTCCATGCCTTACAAACTCCACGGGGATCGAAGGGTCCAGGGGATCTGCCGGGAAGAAACAGCACCGAGACCTGAAACCGCTGGCTCACTGGGCCAGTTCTGACGGAGGGCCTGCTGGTGGAGTCATGGTATGTGGCACGCGTGGAGGTGCTATCCGAGTGCTGTGCGGCCAGAGAGAAAGGCCCCGACTGTTTCAGAGGACTGGAGAAGGGGGTCCCAAAGATAATGTTGGGAGAACGCTGCCTGGTGCACAGTGCGGGGAAGGCACAGAGGTGTGAAAGAACGAAACTCGCTCGACAGCTTCCTGTGGTTAAGGTGGTGGGCAGGGAGAGGTGGAAACAGAAACGTGCGTGAGCAGAGGGCCAGACCGTGCACGCCAGGCTAGACCACGTGGCTGCCCCGGACAGGCACTGAAGCCCCCACTGGAAGATTTCTGAGCTAGGAAGCCGAGTAGTGATATGATTTCCTTTTAGCAGTAAAAATAGTCTTCCAAAAATTAATTCATGCAAGTTAGTATTTTCCCAGCTCTCCTCAAAATCAAATGTTAGACCCTGCGAATTTTGCCAGTGATGATCTTGTCCCCAGCAATGCACTTGTGAAGTGCGAGGTGAAGAAAATGATGGAAAAAAAGGGCCCCCAGTTGACGCTTGAACAACACGGGTTTAAACTGTGTGGGTCCACTTACATGTGAGTTTTTTTTTCAATAAATATTATAAATGTATTTTCTCTTCCATATGATTTTCTTCCTTATAACATTTTCTTTTCTTTACCTTACTTTAAGAATATAGTATGTGCCCTGGCCGGTTTGGCTCAGCGGTTTGAGCGTCGGCCTGCGGTCCGGAGAGACCCAGGTTCGGTTCCCGCTAAGAGCATGTACCTCGGTTGCAGTTTGTCCCCGGCCCTGGTTGGTCGTGCGGGTGGCAGCCACTCGATGGGTCCCTTCACATCGATGTTTCCCTCTCTCTCTCTTCCTCTCTCTCCCTCCCTCTCTGTCTGTGCAAAAAATGGAAAAATGTCCTCGGGTGAGGATAAAAAAAAAAAAGAATACAGTATGTAACATATGTGACATACAACATATGTGTTGACTGACTATTATCAGTGAGGCTTCCAGTCAGTAGCAGGCCATCAGTCGTTAAGTTCTGGGGGAGTCAAGAGTTACACGTGGATTTCTGACTGCGCGGGAGGCCAGTGCCCCTCAGCCCCGCGCTGTTCAGGGGTCAACTGTACTTTTCTATATCACCCGGAAGTCAAACTGACCAGGCTCTAGAAAGGTGATGACAGTGGAAAAGGAATCAGCAGTAATCACAGCAACACAGAAGAATCCTTGCAAATTTCTGTCCCAAACAGCCGGATACTAACACTCAAGGTCAGAAAGACAAATTTACCAGCACAAATCACTGCTCTCAAGAGAATCAATCTGAGAACTCAACCAGAGATGCCCACTCCTATGTGGGCTTCTTTTAAGGTCTCTTTACATTTACATGATTAAATAATCAGCAAGATGACAGATCAAAAAAGTCAATGGGGCCCTGGCCGGTTTGGCTCAGCGGTTGGAGCGTAGGCCTGCGGTCCGGAGAGACCCGGGTTCGGTTCAGTTCCCGCTAAGGGCACGTACTTCGGTTGCAGTTTGTCCCCGGCCCTGGTTGGTCGTGCGGGTGGCAGCCACTCGATGTGTCCCTTCACGTCGATGTTTCTCTCTCTCTCTCCCTTCCTCTCTCTCCCTCCCACTCTATCTGTACAAAAAATGGAAAAATATCCTCGGGTGAGGATAAAAAAAAAGTCAATGGGGAGGGAAGTTGTATTTCATATAAATGGGGGGGCACGTTCATAGCCATCAAGAACTCAAAGACCTCAGCCCAGACACTCCCCACTTACACAGTGCTCGTAGCTACCTGCCTTCACACAAACCCTTAGCTACCTTAACCTAGAAGCCACAGTGAAATAACAGACCAGGGACACTCAAAGATTCGGCTTGTGCCCACATGACTTTGGAAGTAAAGGTGGTCTTCCGCACATACCTCATTGTCACAGACCACTTAAGTTTGGCCTGTTGAGTCAAAATCCATTCAGCACCAGTATTAAAAAGGTAGAGACACAGACACTGCCCGAGAGTGCTGCAATTCATATTACCGAGGAGTAGGATGTGAAGACAATGACTGGGCGCGCCGCATTCTAACCCAGGACCATGGCAAGAGGAGGAAGCAGGAAGGAGCGAGGAAGGGGCCTCAGCTGGGCATCTGCCACTCCCTACAAAGGCGCAGGCTGGCTCAGGGCAGGCTGAGCGGGCAGGTTTGCTGGGGAGTCACAGCGAAGTCTGTGGCACAGGACAACCTGCAGGGGCTCAGGAGGTGAGTGGGAGATGCCCTCTGTTCTCTCGCACTGCGGCAGAAGGCACGGCCTGCAGGTAGCTAGCTGTCTGACCACAGAAGAAAGACCCAGATTAGTCCATGGCGTAAAGCCCCGAGAGCCGACCAGTGTGCCTCAGAGCAGCTGTGCCAGGCCAGGCAGAGGCAGATCAGCACGCACCCAGTGAGGTAGCACACACCAGCCTCGACAAGCCCAGCCACAGGGCTGGCAGGCCCTCAGATCTCCAACTGACTGGCTCAGGGATGACTAGTAGGCAACCCTCTACCATATCAATTCGACCTGAGCTACCCCTATGCTGGGGTCCGCAGTGCTTGGCGTGCTCTAAATTAGAAACGAGAGCAGCCACCATGCGCCCCAGTGGGGCTATTCACCAGCCCAGGAAATCCTCTGGATCGAGTCCAAGCCTTAGCCCTGCCCTCTGGCTTCAAAATGACAGCTCTAAGAGTGAGATGTTATCTGTCTCGATCACTGCTAATCCCCTAGGCTGACAACAGCACTTTGAACGTAGTAGGTGCTCAGTAAATAACTGTTGAAAGGATAGCTGAGAGAGTAAACATGTTATCAAAGATGCTCAGGAAAGCCCACCTCTACACCCATGAGAAATGTGAAGGACGGCTCAGAGTAAGTAATAACACAGGAAGAGTCAGTTCCCTACCACATTACCTGAGTTTGTATTATGTTTCTTGATAATCCACAGATTGTTGTAGTCCTTATGCAAATAGGTGGTGACCTGGGCAAGGGTGGGGGGAGGGAGGAGAAAGGGGGAGGGAGAATACCATCACTATCAGCACAGCAGCCACAGGACAGTCAACAGCAAACCAACATTGCTTAAGCCTTTCAGAAACCCCAGCCACCAACCCGAGGGGCCAAGTTTCCCAGCAGGACTCAGAAGTAGTGTTGGTGAGTGAGAGTCTCTCCTTTCTGCATTGAGAGGACTTTTCCCACAAGAAGGAAGAACCAGGATTCCTGTGTAACACAGTTTCCAGTTCACAAAGAGGGTTTAGTGCATTTAAAAAAATAAATAAAACTATGCCTCAAACTCCCTAAATGAAAAATTCATGCTATATGTTCTAGAATGTAGCCAAATGACACAAAAAGTTCCAGAAAAAGCTCATTCTAGAAGCCTGAAGGTTTAGCCCATAGTCATTTTGTATACACTGATTTTTTTAAATTATGTGTGCATGTGTGTATACTTGCATGTAACGCTGTGATTAATCTCACAGCAAAAACTTGGAAAAAGTATAAATGCCCACTAGTGGAGGAACAGTTAGCATGATGGCATGTCCACAGGACAGAATGTTACACAGCCATGGCCAATGTGTCACAGCCTGCTTTTTACCAGCCCAGCAAAAGGTTTACAAGGTGCTGAAAACGGCCACCACGTATCACCAGGCTCTGTTCTAAGCACTGGGCAAGCCCTGTCTCCGTGCTGTAGGCTCATGCTGCATGGGAATCACTGCCTCACTCACAAGGAGACTGAGGTTAAGTGATGTGCTCAAGGTCACAAAGCTTATCAGCTGGAGAAGCAGGAATCAGGACAGAGGCTACATACATACAATTACACCAGTTATGTAAACAAGAACATAAACTCCCAGAAACAACAGAAATATAGGCATTTCTCTTACAACATAAATTTGTGTAACTCCAACTGGGCAAAACATGGCTGATTTACTTGCAAAGAGATTTGGAATTAGCACTTAGGAAAGTAACTATGCATGTATTATGGCTGATTTCAGTGGCTTTGCATTCTCAGAAAAAAAGTAGGGATAATGGTATTAAGGATATACAAGAAGCTAAAAGATGTTGGTGCCAAACCACTCCTGAACAAAGCTGCATACAGTCCACCCAGAGTGGATGTGCCCAAGGGTGTTCACGTGTTGTGGTACTCAGGTGTGTATACTCTGTGTATTTTTTTTTTAACAAATCATTATTATTAAAATTACTTCTTTATTCAAGTATAGGCCATGGCCTCTTTTCCCATCAAAACATTTGTCTGCAGTAGAGTGTTTTGCAGCCTAAGGCTTCCTCAGAACACAGGTCTCCTGCTTCAGCACAATGCTATCCATGAACCCCGACGGTAAACACTGACCTTCTGGGACTCTATGAAGCTTTTGTTTTATTTTTTATACTTTTCATGTCTTTCAATTTTATTTTTACATGTTATGCTTTAAAAACATTTAATTTTTGAGACCTAGAGATGTTAACAAGACATTAAACTACAGGGTGAGTGGGGCCACTGGAGGCTGTTGAGCCCGGTTCCCAGCCCGCCCCTGCCCCCTCTGCAGGTGAGGAGACAGGCTGAGAAGGGCTCAGTGACTCAGGAGCTGACCAAGCCAGACTCTTGTCCCTTGGCCTGCTGTGCTCTCTCTGTACCACCATCATTCACGCCTCCACACCTGGGCTGCACATGTATCAACAAGGTCATTCAGAACTTGGCCCTTCTCCCCCGTGTACAGTGTAGATGTTCCTGGTCACCACGCCTGTAACTTTATTATCTTCTACATGACACTGGTTGCAAGGTGTCACCATGGAGGGGCTAGCTGTGAATTCTGCCCTGGCTGCACATTAGCCTCTTCTTCGGAACTTAACCCCAAACAACAATGCACAATGCATGGGCCGCATCCTACATCAAGTCAGCGAGAATCTCTGGGGTGGAGCCCAGGACTCTGATTTTTTAAAAGCTCTCCAGTGGATTCTAAAGTGCAACCAGGGCTGAGAACCACGGGACTACAGATGAGTAGAGAATCAAGAATGAGACGCTGATTAGAAAACCCAATACCCTGGGTAACTAGTAAATAAGGAAATAATAATAAAATATTTTGAAAAGCAAAACGTTTCTGCAAAGTAAGGACACTGGTCATTTTGCAAGAAGAGAAACTTCACTCCCAAGCTTCTCAGAACAACAGCATGCCCTGTCGCCTCCACTTCCTCACCTGCCGTCTACTCCCAAGTCCCCAAACCCGAGACTTCTGCTGCCCTTACTGCTCACTTCCTCCCTTATCCTTGCCAGAGTCAGGAGGTCTCTGCAGCACCTGAACTACTCTCCTCTCCTCCTGGATTCTCTCTTCCCTGTGCTGTCTCCTCCAGCCTTCCCCTCCACTCCTCGTCAGCCCCTCCTGGCGCCCCTCGGGGCACTCTGCACACGACCTTAAATGTTGCTGCTCCCCAGGGTTCTTTCAATGGCCCTCCTCCCTCTGCACCCCCTTTCTGGCAATGTCACTCAACCCCACCATGCCGCTAACACCCATATGTTACACACTCAGATCTCTCACCTGTGACAGGCCCCAGATCTAAAATACACACAGGAAACTCCCAGCTCCAAAGTCATTCTGCCTCCTTCATTTCTGATTATGGTGCAACAGCATTATCACACATACGCCGCCCTCCAAACTACAGGCCTGGACACAGCTCGTCCCCGGCCCCTTGTTATTGGGCCCCAGCCTGTGAAGTATTTCCTGAATCAATTCCTACCCCTATCCTCCTAACTGGTTCCTCACCTCTACTGTGCTCCTTCAATCCATCACACTCCTGTGGAGGTATCTTTTTACACTAGAGATCTAATCACATCCTGTCACCCATTAATAACTGCCAATGCCTCCCCAGTGTCTATGGAACAAAGTCAAATCTGCTGTAACAAACAAGGCCTCCCGGTCTGGCCCACCCCCTCTCCAACACCCGCTTCTGCCTCTCAGGCCCCGTGCACCACAGCCACACCTCACACTCCTCACAAGGACACGGACACAGTGTCGCTCGCTCACTCAGACAACTCATGGTTAACCAACATGCACTTACGTGTATTATCTCATCAATCCTCACAACCACCCTAGGATGGAGGGAGGCACTATTTATTTCCCCAATTTAAAGGTTAAGGAGTTTGTTCCAAGTCACACTTGAGTGGAACCAGGACTGAAACCCAGATAATGTAGTCTGGTCCCAGGTCTGAGTATAACCACTACACCTTACCCATCATCCGCTCCGTGCCAGCCTCTGTGCTGGGCACTTGAGCCTCCCAGGAGGTAACAATCAAGAAGCAGAGACAGGAGGAAGGCAGCGCTCAGCATTCGACGTGAAAAGCGTTTCTACAGGGGCCGAGAGAGCCTCTCACACCAGAGGCACCTAATCGAGTACCAGGCAGAGGTGGGCCATGGTGGTCAGAGGGGAACCCCTACGCTGAAGCCTAAAGAAGCTAGAGTAGCCAGAGGAAAGAGGAGGAGCGTGCGGAAGAGGAAGAATGTTTCAGGCAGGGGAAGCAGCACAGGCACAGGAAGGAGGCAAGAAAGGGAAGGGGCTCAGTGCCACAGGCAGCTCGGTGCTGCTGCAATACCGGCGCAGGAAAGGCTCACTGACCTGCTGCTGGCGGGCGCCCACGCCCTCAGGATAGAGGTGCCTGTGGGAGTGGAGATAGCCAATGGCCATGCGCAGGTTCTTCACGGTGATCACCGAGCCGAAGGCCAGGTCTAGGGGAAGGAAGGCAGTGAGGGTGTGGGCAGGCGCAGTGCTAGAAGCTGCCCTGACTGGGGGCCTCCCAAGCCACGGGCTCACTACCCTCTTACAGGCTCCACTGCGCCCAGGATGCTGAAAGCAGGGTACACAGCTGCCTCTCACTCCCATGGGGTCAATCAGGAGGGAGGGAGCTCCAGAGTGCCCTGCCCTCCTCTCCCCACCCCGCCCTGCCCTCCCTCCTAAGCCCTTCAGAGAAGCTGGGCAGTAACAATGTTACTAAAATACTGTGTAGTAAATAGCAAAAGATTAGACCCAACTTGTCCTTCAGTCAAGGTCTAGACATACGTTCAATGGAATAAGAGAGAAGCATTTTACGTCATCATCTGGAATGTTCCCTAAGACATAATGTCATAATAAACTGTTAAGAGACTTTCATGTTTCTGAATCTTGGACCATAGGAAGTAACTGTTTAAGGGTATTTGGGGTTTTTTTCCCTCTGAATTAAAAAAACAAAACAAAAACAGACTGAACCCACTGCAGGCCCTGGGTTACTGAGAAGCCTCCCTTCCCACTGCCCCCCTTTCCTCAGCCCCCTGACATCTGGCTGCTCCGCCACTCCCTGCTGCACCGCAGGTCTCACCCCACCAGAGCTGGCCTCCTCCTGTCTCCCTCTGCTCCCCACCGGGACAGGCTGCACCAGTTACACTGGGATCCGAGGGCGGAGCAGGCCTGGCTGCAGCCGTGACTGTCCCCGTCTTGGGGAACATGGCTTCGTGACTGATGAGCACAAGGGGCAAGTGCTCCAGCAAAGGTGACACTGTGCCGTGTGGGAGCCCAGAGCAGGGTAGGATGGACTCTCACCCACGGAGTAAGAAGAGGGTGGCTTGATGGAAGAGACCACAGCTGAGCTAGGCCTTCTGAACGACGGACAGGAGCGTGCTAACCCCCACAGCTCCATTTCCTAAGCTCTCCGTGCACCAACCCCTGCACACTGCTGACCACCTTCATGCCTCCTTCTCGACCCCACACTCCCTCGTGAACTGCTCCTCTGCCGCCTCCTTCCCAAGGCCCCTTCCTCCTGCGTTTCCCAGTGACCTGACCTCAACCTCGTTCTCTTCCTTTCTTCAGTTTCCTTCCAGGTCACAAGCACTGCCACAGCCTTAATCACCCCTTTACCTGGCTGATTCCTCCTCTGAAAGCTTCGGCCCCAAGCCCTCTGGCCCCTTGTACGATTTCCCCGAGCACCTCAAAGTCAACCTCTTATACAGAGCTCATTATCCGCCTTCCAAACCACCGTCTTTGCCTGCTCTTAGAGTTCATTCCTCCCACTGTCTTGGAGGGCCAACTGTTCTAGGCACTGTGCCAGTCCACGGAGATACTGAAGACATAGTCCTTGCCTCCAGGAAACAATCACCTGGGCTCAAGTCCTTCGTGACATCTTATTCCTCCCCTTCCACGTCCAACCTCCCTTGTATGTGCCGTCTGCCTTACCTCTGTGGCTGCTTCCTCTCCGCCCAGCTCAGAGCCCACAGCTGCTTCCCAGAGGATATCTCCAGCCTCCGACCCCATCCTCTCCCCGGCCATCCTGTACTTTGCCACCAGTGTCATCTCCCTACAGCATGGTCCTCCTGGCCTCCTTGCCCAAACACCTCCACTGAGGTTCCAACGCCTGTTTCAAACCCTCACAATCTGGCCCAACCTACCTTCAACCTTATCTTCCAGTACTTTTCTGCATATAACCTGTGCCTTGAGTTCTGCCCCGTCCTTGGCCTTGATCATGCTGTCCCTTCCGCCCGATATGCCCTCTCTTCCCTCTCCATCTGCTGAAATCTACCCATTCTTCCAAGGCAACTCACTCTGTGTACCTCTGATCCCTTAACCCCCGGCAAAAGTGCTCTCTCACACCCTCCGACTCCCCGAGCTCTGTGTTCCTTCTTTATACTCTTAGCACGTACAGTCATGTCAGGTAGAGACCTTGACACCAGACTCTATACCTGGCGGGCATCCATCTACCCTCTCCAACGTGGCTCACACTTGCTCGGCTACTATCTGTGGATAAGTGAACGCATGTGAGTCGCAGCGCAGCGTGGTGGACACTGAGCGGAGGCCCAGAGGTCCTTGTTCTTTCATGTCTTTCTGGCTGGCGTCCCCACGCAGCTGGCTTCAGTGTTTTCTCTGCCTCAGTGGAGAAGCCCCTCTTTAGGGTCAGAGTCCGCTGCCCAGGACGTCTACCTCTGCACCTCCTGGGACCCAACTCGCTCACGCTCACGAGCACTTGAACTAGAAGTGACTGGAACTTTCTCCCACTCCGCCACCTACAGGCTAAAACAACTCAAGCTGTCTTACTCGTCTTTTCTCATTCAAGTCCCAGAAAACCTCTGCCCTGCAGCAGGGCCGGGACACTCACACTCAGGGATGGAAGCGTTGTGAAGGTTGTTTCCCGAGAGCCGGGCCTGGAAGGCCGAACTGAAGAAGCCATCGCCCGGACCGCTGCGGGAGGGGAGGAGCGGAGGACAGCTACGTCAGTGGAGGGAAATCATGACTCCCCGGGGCCCCAGAAAGAGCCTGCTTGGCTAGTTTAAAAGAAGTACACCCAGCATGGCAGTGAGGTATCGTGAGATAGACACGGGTGATGGAGGAGGAGAAACTGGTTGAGAAACTCAGCCACTTACTAGCTGGGTGACCTTCAGAAGACACCTAACTTAGCTTAGCCTCTGCTCCTCATTTGTAAATTGTGAAGAACTCAAAAATGATTATGATTAAATGAGATAATGGGTACAAAATGCTAAATGTAGTTCCTGACACTTCGTAGCTACTTGTTAAGTGGGAGCTGCTGCTGGTGTTACTGTTGTTATTATTATCCTCACCCCAACTGCACACCCTTAAGGTGCCCCATCCTTATTAAGCACAAGGGACTTTGTTTAGGAATAAGGGGTTTTGGGGAATTCTTTCCTAAGGGTGCTGGCCTTTCTGAGCATTTTGGATACCCGGAAGACAGAGCCTAGGAGAACACAAGCAGGAGAATGCCCGGTGCCCCTCCTGTCATCCAGCCGCAGACCCAGGAAATCACATGGCCCACGCATCGGCTTCGAGGCAGGAGGAAGACAGCGAGAGGCGGGAGGGCTCTGCTGCACCTTCGGTTCAGCACCGCGAAGTGGACGGCATAGATGGCAGTGTAGAGAGACAGCGGCAGCACAATGAGGCACAGGATGCGCGCAGTCAGGTGTTTTCCCACAGTCACCTGCAAACAGAGCCGGGGGTGGGGGGGCATATGGGCTTTGTTATTCCTCATACCTTATATGTGCATTATATATGTCTTTATGTATAAGTCATAATCATAAAAAATTAAACACTAATAGCCATAAAGAAAGACTATGTGGAAACCCCGAGCCTTGCCACAACCCCACCACTGAAACAGTGCCGGGGACTGGACATGAGCCAGCCCTCTGCAGCCCGGGCAGGCCTTCACCCTGGACCCGACTGTCACTGCGCCACCAGCAGCGCTGCCTGCATCTTCAGCATCGTCATTCATCAGCCCTCTTCAGCCCGTCTCAACGACCCCTGCACCTTCCCCACGCTTCCTGCACTGGGCCAGCCCACCCACCACCTGGACGACTGCTCCTTGCTTTAACGTCAGGCCTCAGCGTCACCCCAGAAGCCCTCCTGCATCACCGGAGATGGGGTTCATGCCCCCTCTGTGCTCTGCAGACCTTGAGGGCCGAACTCTAATTGCCTGTTCACTTATTTCTCTCTCTCCTCTCTCGGGAGCAGGGATCGTTGCTTATTCATCTGCACGTTGTGTCTCACACTTAGAGGACAGCCTGTCTACATTTTCTGACTAAATAATAAACTTGTTGGGACTTGGTTCCAAGGCAATGGAGAAGCATTGCAGTCTGCCTCCCCTCAGTCTGAACCCTGGATCTGCCTCTTACTACCTGTATGACTGGGGAACATTATTACCTTCTAGATCTCGACTTCCTCATCTGTAAAGAGAGGGTAATAACCACCTACCATATAGGATTGCTATGAAAATAAAATGAGATCAGGAAGGCACAGTTTGCATGTGCCTAGCACAGAATGAGCCCTTAATAAATAATATTGTAATAAACCCTAAAGGCCCTTACTGGCTTCCAAATCTGGAAACCCTGGATAGGGAAAGAAAACTGTGAGTTCAGAAAGTCTCCCTAGCCATTTTACCTCAGGTCCCATGCAGTCAGTGCCTAACATATATTTGGCATGAGCCCAACTGGACAGACTCCCCTGGCTGGGCAGTTTGCAGAGCATTTGAAAAACACAGCAGAAACAAATGCCAAAAAAGAATTCCAAGGATGCAAGTCTATCCTCCCCCTTTATAGCTCTCCAGCCTCTCAGCCATGGAGCACTCCCTGCTGTCCTGCTGCCTGCCGAGGGGAGCTGGCCCAACCGGCCCAGCCCACAGCTCAGCCACCCCGTGCCTGCAGCAGAGGAGGAGAGAGACACTGGCTCCGCTGAGCAATGCTGGGAAGCAAAGACACTTCTACAAGCACTTGGGTTCTCACCAGTGAAAGACTGAGGTCTCCAAACAGGTGCCAAAGGTCTGATACGGTGTTCCACCCCACTTGCAGGATGATAAAGAGGCCAACAAACTTGACCCCTAAAGCACCAGCCAGATTAATGCCAGTCAGGCTGAGCCAGAACCACCAGGGGGCAGAGAAGGGCCTGAAAACCAACAAGACACAGAGTTCAGTTAGGCAGCTGGAACCAAACTCAAAAGCAAGAGCAGCCGTGGGAAAGGGCACAGGTTCTCGGACTCTGAGGAGCTGTGCTGTGCCCTCAGGGCCCCATGGAGCTCCCAGGACGCTATGGTTTGTGAAACCCTTGAGACCACAGGAAGCACAGTGTGAGAGTGAGGATCTTTTTCTGTGGAGAGGGGTCACAGCCTTCAGGCTAAGCACAGAACTTAAAATAATTCAGTAGCAACCAATCACACGGAAGTGGCAGGGAAATCCAGAGAAGCCACTGGACCCAGTCGGCCCTCTCCTTTGTGTCACCTGTGGACCCTGTAGAAGCCAGCATTGATTGCGTGCTTACTGTGTGTCAGGCACTGTTCCAAGAACTCTACGCATACTAACTCTTTATCCTACGCTAACCCCATGAGGTGATCCTTATTATCCTCTCATCACACATGAAGAAGTACAGAGAGCTTGCCCTGGCCAGTGTGGCTCAGTGGTTGGAGCATCAGCCCATGCACCAAAGGGTTACAGGTCCAAGGGCACGTACCTGGGTAACAGGTTCGATCCCAAGCCCTGGTGAGGCAACCAATCACATTGATGTTTCTCTCTCCCTCTCTCTCTCCCTCTCCCGCTCCTCTATCCTCCTTCCCTTCCACTCTCTCTAAATATCAATGAAAAAAATATGTGAGGATTAACAACAAAAGCACAGACGGGTTAAGTAATATAGCTAGCAAGCAGTGGAGCACGGTTCCAACCCCGGCGGTTGGTTCCAAGGTTTGCTATATTATAGCCCCTAGTACACTGGGCTACAGTTTTCTCATTATCTGGCCACTTCCCCTGCCAGAGTGAACGCTCCTTAACAGCCCAGACCTAAGTACCTCTGCACCTCCAGCACCTGGAACAGTACCTGACACATAGTATGTATTCAAGAAACAGCAGGTGGAAGTGATGTGGTAGAAATACAAGACAATCCAAAGCCAGAGAGAGCTGTTGGCCACTGGATCAGGCTTTATTACATAACATAATTTAATGAGCGTTGCCATGGTGAAACAAAGTTGGCTCTGGAAAGGCCTAGGAGGAGCCAGCTCTTTCGGTTTGAATAGAATGAATGCCCTGCTCTCTCAGAGGTAGGAGAATGATCTGGAGCCGACTATCCTGGGGAAGTCCAGGCCTCCAGAACAGCTTTAGAACTCAGCAGGGCCTGCAGGGTCCTCCTGACTGCTGTGGACCAATCAAGCCAACCTTTATAGACATCATTCCCACCATAAGGTCAGGGCTGGATGTGACCACCACCGAGGGCAGGGAGACAAACAGTTCCCAAGCAGAACCTATTCTGGTTCCCTCCCCTCTAGGATGGAGAATGTGAAGGATACAGTTGTCCTAGGACCTCCTAACAACACCTGTGCCAAGGGGTGGCTTATAAGGTGGTGGGAAGGCATCAGGACCCCTCCAGAATATCCATAAACCCCTATCTAAATCCACCCCCGTGTAAAAATGGTAATATTCTTGAAAAATATAATAAAGATTTTCTTAGCCTTATGTAAAGCAAAAATAAAAGTATCTATAGAAAACTTTTTTTTCTTTATTGATTTTAGAGAGCGAGAGGAAAGGAGAGAGAGAAACATTGATGAGAGAGAACATCGACTGGCCGCCTCCTGCACGCCCCCCACTGAGGATCAGGCCCACAACCTGGGCATGTGCCCTGAACAGGAGTCGAACTAGCAACCTCTTGGTGCATAGGTCAATGCTCAACCACTGAGCCACACCGGACAGGCTATAGAAAGCTTTCTATAATCTATTTTTATGATCTAAAATGAGCACTCTAGCCCTGGCTTGTTTGGCTCAGTGGTTAGAGTGTTGGCCCGCGGGCCACTGAGTTGCAGGTTCGATCCCAGTCAAGGGCATCTACCTTGGTTGTGGTTTGGCCTTGGCCCTGGTCGGGGTCATGCGAGAGGCAACTGGTCAATGTGTCCCTCTCACATCAATGTTTCTCTCTGTCTCCCTTTCTCTCCCTCCCTCCCACTCTCCCTCTCTCCCACTCTACCTGAAGATAAATAGAAAAAATATTCTTGGGTGAAGATTAAATAAATAAATAAATAAAATGAGCACTCTAAGTTTTAAAACAAGTTGGATTGCCTTAAATTCAGCCTCAAGACAAGTTCTCTAGGCCCCACCCTGTCCCTGGCCATTACAGAAATTCTAGAGCTGCCACAGCCCTGACCCCCACTCCCAAACACGGTGTTTCTGACCTGTCAGCACAGGAGTTGTACTTGACCATGCTCAGCATGGCGGCCATGATGAAGAACATCAGGATGGGGTCAAGGAGGATGTACTGGGACAGAGTGAGGCATCCTGTGTCTGAAAAACATGAGCTCAGTGGTCAAAAAGTAGAATCAGAGATGGGCCCTGAGAACCAAACACCCCAGCAATAAGGAACAGTCCCCCTTGTGCTTAATTGCACATAAGCATGTATGCAGTCAGGACTAGATGGGTCACTGAGTCATCAGGGAGGCAGAGGCCACAACTTCGGGGTACACCACACCCCAATGACATGAAATAGTATCTCACGCTGCTTCCGGGCCTTTGACCCAGGAAAGGATCACGTCACTCATTCAGACAGAGCAGTCCTGAAAGGCGGGCTCTTGCTCATTTCCATCACCAAAAAGGGAGTTCTGCAACCTTGCTTAAGTAGTCAAAACGATCTACACCCGGATAGACAGTCTTACCGTTTTACAAGAAGTACATTTTACATGCAGGGCCAGAGTGATTTTTTGAAACAAAATTTCATTGCATCATGCCCCTGCTTTAACTCTCTAAGGTCTCCCCATCTCACTCGGACTGTCACACTCCTCATGCTGCCCCAAGGCCCGCTCAGGTCCCCTGCCTATCCAACCTCCTCTCCCACACCCTCGGCCTCACTCACTCCTCTCTGGCCCCACTGGCCTTTCTGCTGTCCTTGCATCCTCCAGGACCACTGCACATGCTGTTTCTTCCGCCTGAACACGCTTCCCTCACATCTCTGCGTGGCTTAATCTTTTGCTTCACTCAGGTCTCTGCTCAAGGCCCTCTCCTCAGGGGGCTCTTCACTGACCACCCTCCCTAAAACAGGATCACTCCCCACAACTCTATTCTTTACCCTACTCTAGTTTCCACATTGCACTTACTGCTTAGGATGTTACATTACAGACTTAGTAATTGACTGGCTTACCCACTGTCTGCCCAATAGTGAGTAAGCTCCGAGATAACAATGTCTCATCAGTGTATCCTCTAAGGTCACGAAAAGTGGCCTGGCACAGAGGAGATGCTTTAAAAACAGTTGTTGAATGAAAGAAAATGAATAAATGACTGAATGAATAACTGAAAGGGAAATTAAAGACACGAGGAAAAGGCCACCAGTCCTCTACAGGGAGGCCCTATGATCTTGCAACATATCTATCAAAACAAGGCCAGAATTACCCCTAAATACCCACCTAAAGGGGTCTGAACTTCTCTAAATGTTAAGTTCTATAAGGTCATGAATTCATATTCAGAAGAGCAAGGCTAACAGGGTCGATTTCTATGGATCAGCTCTCATTTATTCACGTGAGGATTACCCACAGAAAAGATGTGAGTTCCCACTTCGCTATCCCCTGCTACCTAGCTACTTCTGAGGCATCTGCCCTTGCATTCAGTTTAAGGAGCACAGACTAATCTTGATAGTAACCTAAGAGAAGCAGAATTAGAATTGTAAGCCTCTTCTCACACACACACACGTTTATCTTCTTATCCAATTGAAACTGTAGATCATCTATGCCAACTCTGTCCTCCAATAATGTAAAGGCTTGCTACATACAAGTGTGTGTGTGTGTATGTAAGTATTACTAGTGAATAAAATAAGATTTGTAATACATTTACTTAATCCTACAGTTACTTAAGAACTGGGCCCATAGACAGATCTTTGAACGTGTTATTTCCAGCTACAATCGTAGTGTAGTAGTCAATTTCCCAAGACAGGTGGTATAAGACAGCTTACCGAAGGTGAGGAGGGCGGCGCTGAGCAGTGCTGCCGGGAGGGACTTGGACAGCTCCAGGACAGTGAGGTAGGCAAAGGGGATCAGCAAGGAACCAAGGAACGCACAGAACTACAGGAGTAAAAGAGAAGCAGTCAAATAAGCAGCTAAGCCAAGCCTCAGGATACAAGCTCAGGCTTAAGATGGAGGACCCTAATGAGGGCATGACACAGTGACCTAAAATCACCCGGAATGTGCATGAATGAGAAAGGAGTGGCATGACAGTGGACATCATATCGAGCAATGTCTATGTTCCCACTGAGCACCAACTTGTGCACTGACACGAAATCAGCAAAGTTCAGCCAGGAAGGCGTGGGCCAGAGGGCACTGGTTTCCAGTGGGGGTGCCGGGGTTGGACTGCCCCATCACTGCCGGCTATGACCCCGAGAAAGTCACATCTGTCTGCATCTCAGCCTCCCATCTGTGTAATGTGAAGAATAAGAGTTCCTACCTCACAAGGGTTACTCTGAAGATTAAATAACCTGAAGTTTATTAACACAAAGGAAGTACTCAATAAACATTAGCTTCTATTACAAAACTGTGGTACAAGTTAGGTAAGACCTCTCTGAAGGTGTTTTAATATTTTAGAGAATTCTATTGTTATTTCTCCCTTGGCCCCTTTCTTCAATCATACCAGGAATCCCTCTTTAATCTGCAGGTTGTATTTTGATTTTGGAAAAAAGACTGCTTCACATTTCAGTATCTGGAGGGGTTTTTTTGTTTTTGTTTTTGTTTTTTTTACTTTGTTTTGAACCACGAGCCTTCTCTGTACCTCCCTACCCTGTCCATCAAAAGCAAACAGACAAGCCCAGCAAAATGGAAATTCTCACATTTGGGGTCACTTTCTGTCCACAGAAAGTGATGTGCCCCAGTGTGAAAGGGAACGAGGCTGTTATGTTTGGCTTTTTCAATCCCCACAGCAGGTTCACGGTGCGCCAGGCCTATCGCCAATTATGCATGCCATGTGGTACTCAAAGTCATTAAGAAGACACAAGATCACTTAGAATATGAACTTGAGGGTATGGGACACTTCTTCAATATGATGTGATATGACCATGCAAATTATCCAACGATTAGCCAAATAAGTACTTTGCATGTATCTACAGTGTCTGAGCTCCGTAAGGAAAGGGGTTTGTAAATGCAACCTGCTTTGAGAGCTCCACGCTGAAGGCCAGTTTCTTCAGGTTTCACGCAGCTACAGATATGGGGTCCCCAGAGCTGGGTGTGCAGGCCCTGCCATGCTCCGTCAAGGCTGGTGCTGGGACTCGGGGCACAGAGGAAGCAGGCAGACATACAGCCTCCCTCAAAGACTGGAAAACCCCTGTGTGTGCCTGAAACCTTCATGGGAAAGAAGCAGGAACCTAGAGACAGGAGTGTGGGGATGCTGAAATCTTAAGAAAAGGCCCTCAGAGATAAGCAATACTCCAGCAGTCGTGGTCAGAGAGAGGAAGAATATGTAGTTTGCCAATGTCCTGAGGCCAATGTTGGGACTAGAGGAGACCCCTGGCTGCCTGGGTCCTATCTGCAGTCTGATGCCTCACATGGGCAGGTACCAGGTAACAGGGTGGGCTTGCTTCTATCTATGTAATCTCCATATTACCTGTCCTCTCCTTCCCTTCTTACCCACACCAGTTCTGAATCTACACCTAAATTTCTACTACAGGAAATGGGTCCAGTCCCCCTTTCCAAAGTCCATTTATCTACACCTGCCACCCCTCCAGGGCTTCCAACTGTAACATTTCTGAGTGTGGCCCCAGGGTTCAGTGCGGCTGTATCAAGTCAGGAAGCCTTACTCCTCTCATCCCCATGTAGTTGTGATGCTCGTATTTGTCCCCCGGCTTCTGGAACATAAAGGTACCATTGTATCCACTCAGGTAGCCAGCAAGGCCTATCAGCATCTGAGAGGAAGGACAAACAAAACAATGAGAGACCTTCGAGAGGAGACTCCTCCATCCGCGAACTTCCCTCCAGCTGCACCCACAGTGTGGCTTCCCTTGACAAACTGTCCATAGAAGGAGTTGACAATGTGACATTTTCTCCTGCAGCTGTTGCAAAGCAAAGAATCTTTTGTCTATAGAGCTTATTGCTTGAAACAAATCCTCTCTTGTGTTATGGCCAAGTTCTTGGAACAGTGCAGGCTGAACACTTAGAAAGAAAAATCCCACTGGCAGGGCCAGTGAGGGGCTCTCATTCAGCCTCCTTTCATTTGCTATGAAATCAAACCTGACAGCTCATGGGGGTGGGGGGGCAGGGGAGGAGAGATGGGCAGGGGCTGATTCCTGGGAGACTGGCCCACTGAAAGGAAAATGAGGTTCCAAGTCAGAATGAGGGAGAACAGTGGCCAAGTTTCTACACACTAGTAATAGAGAAAAGGGGGAAAATGGGAAAGACAGTTGCATATGCCCAGAGGGGAAGAGAAAAATTCCAGTGAAAATATGCTAAAAAGCCAGAAACTGGCTTCTCTTTTTTCCAGTATTACAAAGGGAGGCAACCTCGGCACATCCCAAACCAGAACAAATCAACCATAAGCTAAGATGTGAACCCTCCAAAACATTCGGGAGCATCAGCCTCTTTCTACCTTTCCTTGGCCATGGACAGTGTAAAATTCTTTTTCCACAAGCAATCAGAAGCAGCTAAAACATAAAAACTGCCAGCAAATACCAAGCATCTGTAATTGCCCCAGGCTGCCCAGCCCCGCCCCCTGTGTTCCCTGAGGCTGGTGGAGGGGAAACCCCTCCCAGCAACGCTGCTTGTGGGGGCCTGGATCTGGACCACTAACCAGCCGACTCATCTCTCTAAGTATTTCCAAACGGTGACTCTATAGTTCCATGTCACGTATGGAAGCCAAAGTTCAGCAGTAAATAATTATAAAGTCTTGTTTTAAAAAAAAGAAGAAACCCCAGGGTCCAGAAGTTAATTTAATATAAAGTAATATAAGGTATTGGAAAGACAGAGTCATCCAAATACCCAGATGAACTAAAATTGACAGGTGACCATCAAAACAGATGCTCCTGGACCAGCCAGTGTGGCTCAGTGGTTGAGCATTGACCCAGGCACCAAGAGGTCACCAGTTCGATTACCAGTCAGGGCACGTGTCCAGGTTGTGGGCCAAATCCCCAGTGGGGGGCATGCAGGAGGCAGCCAATCGATGTTCTCTCTCATCAATGTTTCTCTCTCTATCCCCCTCTCCCTTCCTCTCTCTCTAAAATCAATAAAGAAAAAAAAAAAAAGAAAACAGATGCTCCTTCCCACCTGGGATCCCAGAGACAAACCTGCCTGGTCCTGGACTCAGTTCCCGGACTGCTTGGCTGGTCTGGCACAGGAAGAAATGCACAGATGGGTTGCATGTCAGCACCCACATGTCAGCTCCCTGACCGTGGACGATACTCACTACCTCTGAGTTACAGGTATTAAACCAGGGAACGTGAGCTAAGAGGAGACGCTGTAGGAAAAGCACCTGGCCCCGTGCCAAGCACTTAACAGGCACTCAAAATACTGCTCCTTCCTGGTTCCCTGAAGGTTAAACGTAGCCCTGAGCTAATTTCCCAACTAAACAACTCATTCAAATCAGTAAGGAAAAGAATAACTTACTAGAAAAATGGGCAAATTGATAGAAAACAAAATACAAATAACTAATAAGCATATGACAAAGAAATGTCGGGCCTAACGCCCGAAGACCTCCCACTGAAAGCAGGATGCGCATTTCTACTCTCCAGGGGCAGTTCTGACAGCAGGGTCACGCCGGCGCCACAGTGGTGCGGGGACACACGCACTCGTACACTGTCGTGGGACTACGCATGACCACCACATTGTTAAGGAAAACGTGGCAATGTCTAACACAAATTGAAATGCCCATTTGACTCTTTAGTTTGCGTGTTGAGAATCTTTTAGACACACCTGTGCAACTACGAAAACACAGGTACAAGGGTGCTCATGCAGTATCTTTTGTTATGGCTAAAAACTGGAAGCAACATAAATGCCCACCAATTAAAGAGTAAAATTACTTAGGGCACACCTCTATAATGGAATCATAAACAGTCATTAAAAAGAACGGAGGATATTTGTATGTGCTAATGGGGAAAGAAGTTAAGATAATTCATGTCTAAAATACAAGTTGCTGAACAATCTTAGTTTGACCCTGTTTGTATAAGGTATTGTTTATGCGAACTAATATTTATGTGTACAAATGTATACACACTTATATTTGTATAAAATGTCTCTGAGAGGGCCCTGGCCAGTGCGGCTCAGTGGTTGAGCATCGTCCCATGCATCAAAATGTCGCCCGTTCAATTCCTGGTCAGGACACATGCCCAGGTTGTGGGCTTGATCCTCAGTGGGGGTACATGTAGGAGGCAACTGATTTATATTTCTCTCTCCCTTCCTCTCTAAAATCAATTTTAGAAAACAAATTTTAAAAACGTTTCTGAGAGGATATATAAGAAACTGTTAACAAAGGTGACCACAGTTACCTCTGAAGAACAGAAATGGGGAAGGTAGCTTTTGACCTTCTATTTCCTTCTGTACTGATCAAACTTGTCCCTATGTGCAGGCATTTTTATTTCTTTAAAAGTACCTATTTGACGCGAGCCCCTGGGTGCCGGGCTGGGGCCTGTGGCGTGGCAGGTATGGGCTTCAGCACTACAGGAGAAAACCTCCTGCTCACACTTACAGGGGCTTTTGATTCTTTGACTGGCTTGGCCTCAGAGCCTATGGAAGCTACTCCTTTCTCTCACAGGTTTCTGATTTGCTTCTCGCTCTTTCAACCAGGAAGAGCACAGGACCACTAGGAGACAGATGAGAGGAGCAGACGGCCTGCAGTCCCTGGGGGCAGCCTGAGAACCAAGCCTCACGTGTCTCCCTTCACTCGGGCCAGATGTGAGGAAGGGGAGGCTGCAGGAAAAACAAATCAGCCAGTGTTTTCCACGTCTTCACTGTGCTGAGCACAAGGGGACTCCAAAAACAGCCAGGCGGTCAGTCCCCCACTGAGACTCGGCTGGGTTTCCTGTGAAAGCCCTCCTCTCCGCGGCTCTGGTTCCCAGGCTAGCCCAACGCAAATATTCCACACACTGTGTTAGCAACAGATGCAGTCTGAGATCTGAGGCCAGGCCTTCTCAGAGGGGTTTGTTTTTAGAGTAAAATGAGCCCTGGCTGGGTTGGCTCAGCAGTTAGAGCATTGGCCTATGGACCAGAGAGACCGGGGTTCAGTTCCTGCTAAGCACGTACCTCAGTTTCCATTTGTCCCCGGCCCTGGTTGGGGTCGTGTGAGTGGCAACCACTCAATGTGTCTCTCTCACATCAATGTTTCTCTCTCCCTCCCGCTCTATCTGAAGATAAATGCAAAAATGTCCTCGGGTGAGGATAAAAAAAAAAAAAAAGTAAAATGAATTCTGATTGGTGGAATTTCTAATTGTAAAACATGTGAAAGGAACATGTCAACAATGTATGTGTGGGGAGAGGAGCTCCAGGCCCTGTGGATATCAACTCTCTAAGCCGTTTCTGCTTCATGCAACATATTCCCCTCTCCGTTTCTTTTTTCTTTTCTTCCATTGAGATAAAAGTCATACACCATAAAATTCACCATTTTAAAGTACACTGAGGTTTTTAGTTTATTTACAAGGTGGTGCAACAATTACCACTACCTAATTCCAAAACATTGCATCACCCCAAAAAGAAACTCCGCACCTATTTGCAGTCACTCCCCAAACCTTCCTTCCCTCAGACTCTGGCAACTACTAACCTTCCTTCTGTGTCTATGGATTTGCCAGTTCTGGACATTTCATATAGACGGACTCATACAATATGTGCCCTTTTGTGTCTGCCTTCTTTCACTTAGCATAATTTTTATAAGATTCATCCATGTTGTAGCATGTATCAATACTTCATTCTAGCCCTGGCTGGTTTGGCTCAGCAGTTAGAGCGTTGGCCCGTGTACCAAGGAGTCCCGGGTTCGATTCCGGTCAAGGGCACGTACCTTGGTTGCGGTTTATCTCCGGCCCTGGTTGGGTCATTTGGGGGGGTGGCCAATTGATGTGTCTCTCTCACGTCGATGTTTCCCTCTCTCTCTCTGATGATAGATGGAGGAATATCCTCAGGTTAGGATAAAAAAAAAATAGCCCAACTGGTGTGGCTTAGTGGTTGAGCGTCACCCATGCACCAAGAGGTCGCCGGTCCGATTCCTGGTCAGGGCACATGCCCAGGTTGTGGGCCACATCCCCAGTGGGGTCATGCAGGAGGCAGCCAATGGATGTTCTCTCTCATCGATGTTTCTATCTCTCTCTCTCCCTTCCTCTCTCTCTAAAAATTAATAAAGAAAAAAAAATACTTCATTCCATTTTTATAGCTGAATAATATTCCATTGTATAGATATACCACATTTGGTTTATCCATCCATCAGCTGATGGACTCTCTCTCCATATCTAAACCCAGAGGACCCCTAAAAATACCAAAGATTATCCATGAAAACAACTAGTCTGAAATGCCAGGGAATTATTTCTACAAGGCCAAGAATTACATCTCAAACCAAGACTTAGCTGTTGTTCACCACACTGCTCACCTTTCCCAGGGGTGGGTGCACATCAAAGAAAAAGGTACGGTTGATATAGTAACTTCCCATTTTTCCAAAGTGAGTCTCATCCCAACTAAAGGAAAACAAAGAGAAATTAGAATTTTTTAATTATTGTACAACCCAAATAGCCTTAGTAAATGGTTTAAATTACAGTTAAAACCAAAGACTATGAGTTTCAAGCAATTAATGAGAAAATTTGAATTAAAAAAAAAGTTTTTGACCTAATGATTTGAGGACACAAGATATCAAGCTGGTCATTAATCTTCATTTAGATAAATCAGAAAGGTTAGCAAATATTTACCAACTAGTTACCATAAATTTTGGTTAAGTCTATACTTATTCTGTATCTTGAGTTTCTATTTATTTTAAAAAGGCAAACAGTTTCCCTATAATATAGAAAGGTTGTATTAAAGGTTTTCTTCCAAGGCTATTAATTTCAAACTCTGAGACCATGTTTGCTATTAGAAACTATATTACTATTATCACAAACTACATCATATGCTACTGGTCAGAGAGAGCCTATAAACCATGTATGTCACAGAAGTCTAATTTTGTTCATCAATCTGTGGTAGTTAACCTGCTTACTAGGAACTCGCTGGTCTTATTAAAATGAACTATTATATAAAAGTTGAGGGCTTTCTTACTAAGTTAAGGGCCCAACTAAAATCTATTCTCATTGCACAAATAATTTTGCAAGTAAATAAGTGATTCTAACACATTATCTTTTAAACACAATGCAAAGTCTTGTTCTTCTATACACCCACATAAAACTTTTTACACCCTACATGAAAGCTTTACGGCAGCAGCCCCATTATCCAGCAAAGCCTGGCCGTTTCTGTTTGTCGGTCTCTCTCTGCAGCTCAGAAGAATGGTTGCTTTCTAGTGACCATCCAATCTTCAGGTCAGCTTCCATAACTATTTATTACTGACCTACAACATAATGGGGAAAACATGCTTTTCCCAAAAATGGTGATGTCAAAGGGAGAAATAACTTCCAAGCAGTGTGACAAAACAGATCTGCAGAAAAAGAGATCCTGCCCCAGCACCAGTACTTCCTAACAGCATCACTCCCCTTCTCCAGATCTCTGCTCATCTGCACAGGGAAGACAGCAACAGTACCTGCCATGTCCCCTCGAGGGAGGTATTAGCGCTCGATTCAGAGGATACATGTGAAAGAACTCTGTAAACTATAAAGTCCCACACATCTGGGGCACTCTTTAAACTGAACCAACAATTGTGGTTGGGTATGAAGTCTGCTTGGAAGCATACTGACAAAGGGGTATGAGATTTTCACCTCAACAATTTCCCAGGGAAAACGAGTACAAAGCCCACACTTAAGGTTGTCATAGGTTCTGTGACTTTAAGTGAAACAATGTATAACAAAAACAACTTTACCACAGGATAAGTTGTATAAACAAGAGTTAAGTTTCTATGGCATCTCAATGGTACAACAAAACTATGTTGAACGAAACCATTAATCAACGTTAATTGAGAACCTGCTATTATAATATCCACATTTCATCGTGGATGTATTACATGCTTGTGCTGGGAGGGAGAGACAGCCCTCCTGGGCTCTCTCTTGCTCCGACAGACTTTGCAGGGTATGCCAAGAATGCAAGGTCCTGACCACTCTTTATTCGGGCCGTTTCTCAGGGTGATGTTTAAACAAGCAGCCTTGAGGGAAGAGTTAGCGTCTCCCTCTGTAACACAGAGCAGTCTGTTTACTGCTTATTACCACACAGTGGAGTCCTAAGCCCGATATTTCTCAGCTGATGCAGCCCGGTGCACATGCAGGCATTCACCCAGACCCATGGCCACAGGGGCTTGGGGGCAAGGGGAACCGATGCCAACGTGCTGATGCTCATCCTGCTTGCTGTGCCATGAGAAAAAAGTCCTTTGTCTCTGACCCAGGTCATTGTCTTCTGCCAGCATCCATAAAACAGTGACAGGCTAACTTATAAGCTTGCAAGTAGGGTAAAATAAATCTCAGATCCCGGCAGTTTTTGGTGACAAGCATAGGAGGCTGAGACACAGCCTTCTGTAATGAAAAGGACAAGGACCCCCTCGGGCTGGGTTAAAGGATATAAGACTCCCCAGTGTCTTGCCCAGTGGTAGGCAAGGAAGGTAGTAAAAGTCTCCCACTGCCCTACCTATTACTGAGGCTGAGCAGAGAGAAGCAGGATTGAAACCACCCATCTAAGAGCTGCCTTGGTTACTGCTCATTCTCTTTTGGGTGGAAGGAGGAAAAGATGTAATCATGACCATGGGGCAGCAAAACAAGGAGCCCCAGCCAAAACACAATATGGAGGTGGCCGCTGAATCAAGGAGTCTCTAAAGCTTACATAAATGTAAGGACCTTGCTACACACTATACAACTTTGGGTGAAATGAAAACACTGGAAGATCCTTGGGGGAGCTGTGTACTCAAGCCAAACGTAAATGTTCCTTGCTTAGAGCCATTTTCTACCTGTGTCCCATGATCCATCCCCCTCTACCACAACCTGAGCTGCTTTTTTTTTATCCTCACCCAAGGACATTTTTGCATTTATCTTCAGATAGAGTGGGAGGGAGAGAGGGAGGAAGAGAGAGAGAGAGAGAGAAACATCGATGTGAGAGAGACACATGAGTGGTTGCCACCCACACAACCCCAACTGGGGCCGGGGACAAAGTGCAACCAAGGCACGTGCCCTTAGTGGGAACCGAACCCGGGTCTCTTGGGTCCATGGGCTGATGCTCTGACTGCTGAGCCAAACTGGCCAGGGCACTGAGCTGCTTTAAAGAGTGAAATGATTAAAGGTAGGCCGAAGTCTCACTGTCCCCAAAGAGGGACATACACACCCATCCTACCATGCTGGGGAACTCCAGAGAGGAGAGGGACTCAAACTCAGGACTCTATTGGAATCAGGGGCCCATATCTCCACCCTACTCAACACCATGGGAGGAGGATTTGCTAGGCGCGGGGGTTACCGAAGGTACTGAGGAGTGCTTGGACAGCCACAGCAGTGTGTAAACAGGGAATGAAAGAAAAGGGCCCCTGCCTGGCTGAAGTGGTTCAGCTGGTTGAGCATCTGTCTCGTGCACCAAAAGGTTGCCGGTTCGATTCCCAGTCAGGGCACATACCTGGGTTGTGGGGTTGGATCCCCAGTCAGGGAGCATACAGAAGGCAACCGATCTCTCTCTCTCTCTCTCTCTCTCTCTCTCTCTCTCTCTCTCTCTCCCCCCCCCTTTCTTCCCTTCCTCTCTCTAACCATGTCCTTGAGTGAAGATTAAATGAACAAATAAATAATTTTTTTAAATAAAAATAAAAGGGCCCCTAGGCCTAAGGGCTCTCCAGACACACATCAGTACACTGGGGAAAAGTGGTGCCAAGCCTATCAAGGGGCTAAAAAAGAAAAAAAAACTTCCTCCACCCTCTGCATCCAGCATTCCCCATACTCCCAACTGAGGAATGGAGTGACCTCTGAGCAGCTGTCACAGTTGCCACTGATGCCCAAATTCATCTGACAGGGTTTGAACCAAGTTCCCGGTGGGAAAGAGAAGGTAATGTGACCTTAGGGGTAGGGCTCTTTACCATCACTGCGGACTCCGCCCGCTGAATGTAGAACTGGTATAACTGGTACTGACCCCATCCAGTAAAGGAGGGTTATCCCATTCAGGGACTGCCACCTGCTGAGAGTTGATCCTGTCCCCTCCTTGCTCCAGGAGAAAGGGAAATCACAGCTTTAAAGACGGAATGGCTGGCCCTGGCTGGGTAGCTCAGTTGGTTAGACTATTGTCCTAAAACACCAGAGTTGTGGGTTCAATCTCCAGTCAGGGCGTATAAAAGAATCAACCAATGAATGCATAAATGAGTGGAACAACAAATCGATGCCTCTCCTTTCTTTCTCTCTCCCTCTCCTTCTCTCTCTTCAAAAATCAATAAATCAATAAAATGTTAAAAGATGAATGGCTGCTGGAATGCTTAGAGGCCATTCTCCAGGGTAACAGCACCCCCTGCTGGACGCAGACACCAAATACATACTTCTATAAAGGGGCAGCTATCAACCTATCACCCTACTAAACTAAGCTCTTGTTGAAATTGAGTACCTGACTATGAAGGCCTTGGGAGCCCTGCCACTTCCGGGTGGGTCAACTTGGAACCTATACCTAACAAGGAAAGGGCTCAACAAGCCTCGCTGGTCAAATGGAAATGGTATATTGAAGAGTATAGCCAACCTGGCCCTAGAGGCATCTCAATTTTATATGAAGAGATGGCAGCTCCCCTCTTGGGAAAAACTATCGTCCACTTCATCACCTAAAGCAAAGCCGCTGTCTCAGTGGAGACCTTGATTCACAGAAGTTCTTCTCAACGCTTGTGCCTGGCTCACTGACGGTTAGGCTAAACTAAAAGCTGATGGTGTCCGCTGGGCAGGGACAACTCCGGAAGGCGGACTGCAGGCAGGGCTGACAGGCACAACGGGCTGAACTGAAAGACTTCACCCTTGCCTTAGGCAATACTCCTAAGAAACAGACAAGTTATATTTGTATTTACTCTTGGGAATTTGACATTGGCCTGGCCATCTGGTGTGCCACTTCGAAGACAATATACTGAGAAAACACCCCTCTTCGTAGCCAAGAACTGTGAGGAAAGAAATCATGGCTGCCTGCTGATGGGACAATCTGGATCACTCACATGGATGACCAAGGTAAGCGCCAGTACTCTGATAAGATGGACTGAAATCAAGCTGCTGATCAAGCTTGTACTGCCCAGACTTCCGCCAGTGCACCAGGCATGGAAACACATCCATCACGGACTGGGCGCAAAGTAAAGGACTATATGTTTCTGAAGTAGAAGACATCACTGCGTTGTGGTGGCTTGTGACTCCTGCCAAATTTGTCAAGAGAGCCAAATGCCCGGGGCACTGACCCTGCCTGCTCCAAGGAAACTGACAGCATTAGGACTGTGCTACCTCTCTGGGCTATCACTGGTGCCTCATGGCTGCTGACAGCTTTTCAGATTATGGTGTTGGTGATGATGATGCAGTACAATCATCTGACTCAAGATACAACACTGTGGCCCTTTAAATTAAACTATGACATGTTTTCAGCTTTCCGAAGCATCCACAGTCTAACTATGGTACCCCCCCCTTTTGACAATAACCACCCAATAATGAGCCAATAGTCAAGGTATCTGATGACATTCCACACTCCCTACCATCCACAGACATCTGATATCATCAAGGACTGAATGGCCCTCTCAAAAAGATTTCTGACTCTACGTCTCTCCTGGTTCACACACCTTAGTAAAGCAGCTTGGTCACCTAATGCAGTCAGCACCAAAAAGGTTCATCTCCTCTTGGCCACTAAATGGGTAATGATTAGGATAAAAGGGGTAGAGGGTTGTATACACCTATTTTGAAAAGATTCTTTCCAAGCCATTCCTGGGCATGATTTGTCTTTCCTTCCCTAACAGCAATTCCAGATCAGCCTGGGGACATCTAGGGGATTCAAACTTAATTCTAGTTCAGTCACTGGAAGTTGGAGTGACATGGTCCTAGAGCATAAAGTAATTGACCACTCGGTTGGGTACACTGCTTGTCAAGTCCCCCTATACTGGCTCATGTGGGAGACATAATGATAAATGCCAATTTTCTAACAGTGGCCTTGGCAAAAAACAGGACTGGATATTAGTAGGAAATAACTGGAAAAAAGCTGAAGTTACAGGTCTTAAAGTGAGACACACTGATATAATTATATAATGGCAGTGGAAGGAAAGAAACAACTCTGGAGCTGAGGAGGTAACATCGTAGACCCCTGGAAATGTAACGAAAAGGGGCCCAGCAGATATGGTTCAGTGGATTGAGCTTCGGCCCACAGGCTGAGAGGTCCCAGTTTGATTCCCAGTCAGGGCACATGCCTGGGTTGCGGCTTGCTCCCCAGTAAGGGGTGTGTGGGAGGCAGCCAATTGATGTTTCTCTCTCCCATTGATGTTTCTTTCTCTCTCCCTTCCTCTCTCTCTAAAAAATCAATTAAAAAAAAAAAAACATATTAGGAAAGAGAAACAGTTAATGCTCTTTTTGTCCTCTAGGTCCAGCACCAAAGCCTGGCCAAACATTCAGATGGCACACCTAAATCAAGTGGCAGCTATAGCTGGCAATCGACTTTCTACTGAGTTTGCCAGTGTACTGTGGAATCAGAAAAATGCATGCAGCCATGGCCAGTTTTGAACTATTCTGAGGTGCCTGATAACATCAACATCAACTCCCAAACACAGACCTCCTTATATGTGTGCAAACACACAGATTGGCACAACCTTCTATCAGTCTGACTAATACAAATTCATATGCTTCTCCTAATACCCTAGGGGCCTTAGTTATGCCTTGTATAGTGATTGAGGCTGCAACAACTCAGTGACATTCACTGGCCATGTGGCTTAACCAAAATAATTTAATCTAAATCAAATTGGATGGTGATCCTAATAAAAATCTTACAAAAAGTCCTGAACTGGAGTGACCTGCACCCCCTAGCTTGTAGGGAAGAATGGTCCATGGAATGCCTTTCCATTGGGAATGGGAGTTGCTTTTTTTCCTAACAGGGGACCCACTGTAATTACTGGCAATGACACTAAAGATTAGAGGTCAGTCTAAACACTTGTGCAGAGATCATAGTAGATAATAGATTGGTCTCAGACTACCTCCCAGCTATCTGACCCCCCATACACAATTATTCACAGGTGGTTGAACCCTGGAGAGTATGGTTAAGGTAAACACCACAGGTTGGTCTCATCCTGCTGCTTAGAGTGCCATTGAAAGCAGCCTTAATTATGCCCTGGCTAATGTGGGTTGAGCATCATCCCATGCACCAAATGATTGCCAGCTTTGATTCCCTGTCAGGGCACATGGGTTGTGGGCTCAATCCCCGGTTGGCGGCGGGGGGAGGACATGTAGAAGGCAGATGATCAATGAGGCAGATTGATGTTTTGCTCTCACATCAATGTTTCTCTCTCCCTCTCCCTTTCTTTCTCCAAAAATCTAAAAATCAATAAAAATATTTAAAAAGAAGAATGCAGCCTTAAATGCTGTAGACATAGTGAACAGATTTGGTCCCTGCCTCTGACAGCCAGGTTAATCAGAATAGCCAGTGGAGTTGCATGTTCATGTGAGAATCTGCTAGAAGCGAAGACAGGACTGAGAGGATTGAGGGGTGAGACTGTTAGGAGAGATAGCCCTCCATGTGTCTCTAGTGCTTCCACACACCTTGATGTACAAGGCCCTGACTGCACTTTACCTGGGCCATTTTTCTCAGAACTGTGTTTACACAAAGTAACCTTGAAAAATGAGGCAGTGTCTTTCTCCAGGGCAAAGAGTAAGCTTGTTTACTGCTTGCTATAAAATAGTAGATTCCCCAAGCTGTTGTTCCTCAAAACTGCAAAGAAACCCACTATGTTTGCAGTCATTTATCTGGGCCCATAGCATCACCCTGTGGGACTTTGGGGGACAGGGACAAGGGAAATTGACTCCAACATACCGATGTTCATCCTGCTTCCTGGGTCATGGTAATATGTTCTTTGACTCTGACCCAGGAGTCTCATGTCTTCTGCCAAGACTCATAAAACAACGGCAAGCTAATTAATTAACTTCCAAGTCGGTTAGCCCTGACAGTTTGTTAGTTTGCTTGCTTTTTAGTTAAGAGTTATATTTCTAACATCCCCTACACTAACTTCCTCCTCAGTGATAATGAGAAAATATGGTATCACTTGTTGCCCAAACAAATTAACCATTTTCAGACTGTATAAAACTCTTCCTCCTTCCAGCTAGCCACTTTTTGAGCTTATCTAATGAAATTTGACCATACCTCAGTTTTGCAACTGACTACAAACTAAAACCTTTCAGAAAATAAAGCTCTCCTCACAGGATGATCCAGATCTGCTTCCTGGAACCTGTCACCATCCCTGGACACCCAAGTTGTCCCTGTTCCAAGTTAAGAATGTTCCCCTCCACTGATGCTTGGAAATTCTGCAGATTAGGAACTCAGATCTTAGGAAATTCAGTACTAAGAATTTCTGGTTCTCCTTGGAAGTTTCAAAGCACCCTTAAAAGCCACAATTTGAGAGCCAGGCGAGACCCTGCAGCATCTGGAAGGCATAGACAGCTTCCTCAGATCCTAAGAATCCCACCGCCGGAGCAAAGATTCAGACCCTTACACAGAGGCCAACACAAGAAACCTCAGTTTCCCCTCCAGTGCGACTCCGCCCATCTTCCTGAGTCCCGCCCCCTCCATGCCCCAGGGCCAATCAGAGGACGCGTCCCCTCCCTCCAGGTTACCATGGTGCCCGCCGAGTCCCGCCCGTCACTCACCAGACGTGAGGCGGCAGGTCTAGGCGGTGGAAGCGGGTGGCGAAGGACAGCAGCGTCACCAGGGCCAGCAGGGCCCAGCGACAGGCCTCCTCGAAGAGCCGAGTGCCCGGAGCAGGCCGTTTGGGGCTCCGCGCTGCAGCCCCTGCGGCCCCCTCCGGGCCCGCGGCCCTAGCAGCCTGCAGCCCACCGCGGCCCCTCCGGGGACGGAGCTCGGACCCTGCCTGGCCTCCGGCCACCGCCGACGGCATCCTTCCCCTCCGGAGGGTCGCCCTCCGGCCCGCAGGCACGCTAGGTCTTGCTAGCCGTCCAGCCACGAAGCCACAAAGGGGCAGCTCGGGTGCCCTGGGAAATGTAGTTCCCTGCGCCGGCAGCGGGCGCGGGCCTGGGCCGCGGGCTGGGCGGGAGCGCGGCGGCCTCCCCGGCCGCTAGGAGGCGGCTGCGGCGCAGAGCATGACGGGCGCGAGGGCCGGGCGGGCGGGCCGGGCCGGGGGAGGGCGGGCTCCAGGAACTGCAATTCCCAGCAGCGCCGGGACGAGCGAGGCGGCAGGGCGGGGCGAGCTACTGGGGACGGCACAGACCACTCAGGCCAGCCCCTCGCTGCACCGAGACGTGAGCCCGGCCTGACGTGCCGCAGGCTCCCGAGCCTCGGCCGTCGTCCATTCCGAGAGCCCCAGGCGCGAAGTTTCGGGCCTGGACGAGGGGTCGCCGGCAGTGCGAGATGCAAGCGGGGAAGGTCTGTGCCACGCGTCCCGGGAGAGGGGCGCTCCTCAAACACTGAGAAACCTTGGGGCACCCGGTCGAAGGGAGTCTCTCGGCCCCGCCCACATTCCGACCTCGACTCGCAGCCCGCGGAGCCCCGCGCTGATCCCGCTCCGCGCCTGCGCGCTGCCGGACTGTGGCGGTGGCCGGGGCGTCTGGGTCAGGGAGCGCTGTCCCCGCGGCCGCGCACCTCTCCTGGGGACGTGCGGGGCGGGGCGGGTAGCTGATCGCCCGCACTCCGCCCGATTGCCCACCCCTCTACGAGGGCTCCCAGGCGTGTCTACCTGATCTGCACAGCCCCTTGGGCTCCTTTCCCGGCCCATCGGCCGGAAGAACAGTTAACACGGCTTTCCAGGGTTGCTTCATTTTGAGAGAACATCAGGGGCGAAGGGAGGCAGGGGCACAACCACCCGAGGAGCTTCCTGGGCCCACCCCGAGCCACAGTATCAATCTCTGGACAGAGGGGGCCCCAGATGCGCCCCAATAGAACCATTATTGTAGCTCCGAGGAGGGTGGCAGGCACCATCAGGTGCGATATAGCATCACTTTCATGCAGTAGAGCCCTCCCACTCCCAAATGGGGTTTTAGGAGCCTTTCTCTAAACTCATGTGTAAGAGACCGCTTGAAAAATCAATGAGGCCCTGGCTGGTTTGGCTCAGTGGTTAAGAGCGTGGCCCTCCTAGGGGTCTTGGGTTTGATTACCCGTTAAGGGCATGTACCTGGGTTGCAGGTTTCCTGGCCCCTCCCGGTGTTGCAGGAGGCAACCGATCAATGTGTCTCTCTCACATCCATGTTTCCCTCCCCTCCAACCCCCTCCACTCTATCTAAAAATCAATGGAAAAAGATTTGGGTGAGGGTTAACCAAAAAAAGGAACATGGTATGGTTTATGTAATTATCATTGGTAAAAGAAAAAGTGGAAACTGCCCTTCAGTAGGTCTGCTGATGGCCCACACGTAGAAAACCTGAGGGCAGTGGCACTTACAATGACTCTGGTCACCCTTAGTACAGGTCAAAGGTGTAACATTTAGTAATTAGGAAAAGCATTTCTTCAAGGATTCTAAGCTGATGTCTGCCACTCTCTAGTGGTCCATCCCTCACCAGCAGTCCCTGTCTTGGCCCCAGGGGCCCCTCTAGCCTGGCCAGGTAAGGGGAAGAAACCACCTCCAAATATACATCCAATTGTAGCCACCCAACTTGCCCTTCCAAGAACACCTGCAGCCCATCACCTGCCCTCTGTGCCAGGACTGCCTTCACTTTACCCACAGAAGGTGCCTTCAGTACAGGCTGGAACTTCTAGGCTCAGGAACCAACCCAAGGGCCTGAGTCATCACTTGTGCCCTTGCCCACCTATAAGACAGAGCTGGTAGTTCAGGGTGGTGTGAGCAGGTTCAGATAGCATCTTGATGTGCTGGAGGGTGCAAAAGGGAGAGGGAACTTGGGGAAAATGTCTGTAGTCAGAATAGTAGACAAATTCTGTTGAGTTCTCCCTCATCCATATGGATACATGTATCTGCCTGAAGATTCATGAGTGCTAATTACTGGGTACTCTGTCCTCGGTCCTGCTTTGAAATGCAGGTTACCCAACAAGCACCAGAGGAATTAACTTTGAGTCCCTTAAACTTTAGAGGTGAGGTCACACACTCAGCTGCCCCCAGACAGCTGAGTCTGTTGAAGACAACAGAAAAGAGAGAAGTGGGCCAAGTAGGGGCCATGGCAGATCAGAGGGCATGCCCAGACTTAAGGGGGTCACTAATCAGGTTTAATCATTTGTGACTCAGGAAGACAAGTCCACTGTCTATAGATTTTATAATGAAAAAACAAACAACAGGCTTTGTATATGAAACATCCTCAGTTTTAATTTGGCAACTATAATCATCCCTCAATATCCACGGCAGATGGGCTCTGAAACCCCTACCCTCCACAGATACCAAAATCCAAGGCTGCTTAAGTCCATTATATAGAATAGCATAGTATACTTTAAATCATTTCTAGATTACTTACAATACCTAACAGTGTAACTGCTATGTAAGTAATTGCCCTAGTGTATTTTTTAGGGAATCATGATAAGGAAGAAGAAAAAAAAAAGCCTGTACATGTTCAGTATAGACCCAACCAAAGCAACCATCACAGACTTAACCACATAGTACACAACAACAACAATGTAGCATTTTTTCTGAATATTTTTGATCTGCAGTTGGTTGACTTCACAAAAAGAATTAGAATTCCTGGTCCTTCTGCTACTGCTGCAAGGAATCTAAGCCATCATGTTAGGCAACTCAAGGCAGGGGTTGTCCGAGGTCACACGGCTGGTTCCTGCATGGGGGTCAGACCCCAGGATGCCAGCTCCCAGCCCACTGCACCGCATGAACTACTTACCTCAGAACCAGGCTACCTTGCCTGCCCAGGACACCAAACCTAGCTCCACCAGGAGCATAAAGAAACCTCCCACAAGTTGGAAAAGGATGCCCCTTCTGACCTGAGTCAAAGTCTCCCTGACGCCTGCCTAGCGCAGCTTCCCCATTGGCTCAGGGGATCTACCCCTTCAGGATCCCTCCCCCTGCCCTGCTGCTCAGTGACGGGACATTCCTCAGGAGGCCAAGGGTTACCACAGCACCATGACTGAGTCTGGCAAGGTAAGGAAGGCCCTTGCAGGCTAGCTGCCCTTTTGGTGGCCTGTCAGACCTCAGGAATGCAGGACAGCACAGTTGCCAGCCAAGGGACTCCACAGGACTCCTGAGGCCTCTGACCCCGATTGCTCCGACTTGGCCTGAGTTGCCCAGACACAGCCGAGGAAGGAGGCCTGGCGGGGTGGGAAGGAGGTGCTGGCCCGGACCCCCTGGCTGGGAACCCACCAAGCACAGGTTAACGTACACCTTGTCCTCTCTCTTCTCAGCCGATCCTCTATTCCTATTTCCGAAGCTCCTGCTCCTGGAGAGTTCGAATCGGTAAGAGCTGTGCCTCCACCAACAGCCTTGGTAGGGTGGGATAGGGTGAAGGAAGCCCTAACATGGTCTGGGACAGAGGGGAGCTCTATCAGACAGCGCTTCACCTCCAGTACCAGCATCCCTGGTCTCCTGGAGCCCTCAGCACTGAATGGCACCTCCACTAGGAAGTCCGACAGGAGGAGCATGGGGGTGCCAGGCAAGGAGGGTTGTTTTTCTCTTGTACCTGCCGCCTCTCGCACCCTACCCTCCAAAGCTCCTTAGCAACCATGCTTAAAGCAGGCTTACCAATCTAGAGGACCTTGGTAACTGGCAGGAAACAGCTGGCCTTCCTCAGTTCTTATCTTACTTGGTCTGGAAAATTAAACAGAACTGGCCATTGTCCACCCCAACTTAATCCTTCCCTTCCTCAGTTTAACACAGCCCTTGGCAAAGGTCATAGTCCCAGCAGCTCATGCTGAGGGAGAATGTGCTGAGTGCTTTTGTGTGTATAATTCCATTTAAACCTCAACAACCCTAGGAGAGAGGCACTATTATTGTCCCTGTTGTACAGATGAAGAAAGTGAGGCTCAAGAAGTTACTTGCCCAAAGCTTCACAAGCTAGCAAATGAATGTGATGAAATCAGAAGCTGACCCTAACTGGGAAGCCATCCTCCATGACCCCTCCCCCATCCCTTGGGCATTTGGTAATTGCTGGAATCAGTAGCCAAGAGCACTGGGATGGCCCTGGCTGGTTTGGCTCAGCAGTTAGAGTGTCGGCCTGTGGACCAGAGAGTCCAGGTTCAGTTCCCGCTAAGGGCATGTACCTCGGTTGCAGTTTGTCCCCACCCCAGCTGGGGTGGTGTGGATGGCAACCAGTCGATGTGTCTCTCTCACATTGCTGTTTCTCCCCCTCACCCATCCTGCTCTAAATGAAAAAGTGTCCTCAGGTGAAAAAGTGTCCTCAGGTGAGGATAAAAAATAAAAAATAAAAATAAAGAGCACTGGGATGCTAGAGGACACATTTCTCCAGGAGATGCCTTCCCTGGACCCAGAGCCTCTGCCCTGGCTGGGCCAGAAGCCAGAACTGCATGAGTACTGTTGCTGCATGGTCTGCATACATCCATCTCCCACTGGGCCCCAACCACTTTCACTCTCCAGAATGGAGCTGACCAGCACTGAGGAGGGCCCCTTGTGTCCCAGGCTCTCTTCAGACTGGGACACATCTCATCCCCCTCCCTAGCTCCTCTGCCCTTGCCTGCGGCCAGCCATCACCATATGTGGTGCACACACTCACATACTAGGGTTGGCAGAGTTTTTACCCTCGCCTTACCAGAGGAAATCATTGAAGGGGATGGAGAGGAACTCTGGTCACTGGAGGTCACAGCAGATGCTGAGACCACCTAAGAACCTGATGCTCTGCTTGTAATCTGCAATAAACAGAGAGCAAAGAAAATGGATTACAAAGTGATTCTTTGAACCGTGTCTCTGCCTGTGCGTGCACTTTATGGTCACACGAGCCCCTTCCCTTGGCCCTTAGATGCCTCCATGAGGGAATAATTGCATGTCTCCAACACAAGCCCTGCTTACCCCTGTGAAAGGCCCTGGAGGGGGCAGAGATGAGGAGGACACTTCCCTGCTGTCCTCAGAGCCCACAGTGTGCCAGGGCAAGAGAGGCAGAGCCTCATGGACCTGGGTTAGGGGAGTGGGAGGGGACCAAGGAAGCCGGGGAGAAGGGGAGAGGGCCATGCTGGGCCTTGACGCCTAGAGTGTGGAGAAAGAAGCCTCCCTCTGCGGCCTCGTGTCACCCTGGGAAGTGGAGCCAGAGGCTGTCCCCTGACCCTGCTGTCGGCTGTCTCTCCTAGCTCTGGCCTTGAAGAGCATCGACTATGAAACAGTGCCTGTCAACCTCATAAAGGATGGGGGCCAGCAGGTAAGGAGGCTGCCCGCAGGCCTCTGTGGGAGCTGGAGGCCTTGGAGTAGAACCCAGCAGGGGTGCAGACTTCTTCCCCAGGAGCTCCCCTGGCAGAGGAGCCTGCTCTGTTGGCTCTCCCTGGTGGGAATGGGTGGCCAGCTGGGCAGCGAGCGCAGCCGTGGGAAGGATGCAGGCTTCAGGCTGCATACCACAGCCTGGCCTCTCAGGGCCTGACCCCAGGAGAGTGGGTAGCGAGTGGGGCCTTGCCCCACGCTGGGCCAGCGTGTGAGGCACACAGGCCATAGGGATGAAGCCTAGAGCAGCAGGCACCAGAGGCTGGGGTACTGCACAGACCCCAGGCATCACCGTGGGCCTCGGAGCCGGGCCTTCCCCAGGGGAGGGAGGTGTGGGGTGGGCAGCGGGCCTGGGCTCCTCCTACTTGCATGCTTCTGCTTTAGCCAAGTCAGGCCAGGCCACCCGGCCCACCAGGACCTTTTCTCCACAGTTCTCCAAAGAATTCCTGGCACTGAATCCCATGAAGCAGGTGCCGGCCCTGAAGATCGATGGCATCACCATTGGCCAGTCGGTGGGTGCAGGGCTCGGGAGGCCCCTGGTGGGCTGGTGCCTGGGAGGGCCTCACACCTCTTCCGGCCTGTGTCTGGCCAAGGCACTGGCCCTTAGCAGAGACAACGTAAATCTTTGAGGGAGGAAAGTTGGTTGCTTGCTTTGGGAAGGGAAGGGAGGAGATTCAAGCATATGGGGAACCAAGTTCAGCAGGAGGAGGTTCCAAAAAGAGCTCGGCCCCCTGGGGAGCCTCTTGGCTTCACAGGCTTTGAGCTGAGTAGGGCGAGGAGGAGGCGGCGGCGTTTGCAGGCCCTGTCCCCTCTCCAAGGGCCCTCGGCCCTCGCCGTGCTCCGCTCACTGCTCCCTCGGGACAGCTGGCCATCATCGAGTACCTGGAGGAGACACGGCCCACTCCGCGGCTCCTGCCTCCGGATCCAAAGAAGAAGGTCCTCGTGCGCATGATCTCCGACCTCATCGCCAGCGGCATCCAGCCCGTGCAGGTGCGGCACTGGTGCGCCTGCGCCTGCGCCTCTCGCTGACTGGCCAGCCCACGGGGAGGTGCCCAGCGGAGTGTGAGGTGGCAGCATAGACCTAGATCACGTGGTGGGGCAGGGGGGAGGGGAGGGATCCCAGGAATCACCCATCTGCTGCGTCCCCAGCCGCATTCCCGAAGCCCTGGGTTTCCAAGCATGCGGCCAGAGGTGTGGAGGGGTCAGGCCCAGGTGACGGGAGAGGCTGAGCAGCACAGGGCCAGCCTGCCCAGCTTTAACCGGAGCAGCCTCCCTTTCATCTGTTCTGTATCACAGAGTGGGATGCCCATACGATTTTTATTTTTTATAAAGTTAACACTGGTATTTTTTAAAAGTAATAAAACAATTTATCTGTGCTAAGCCCTGATTTTGCAAATGAGGAAGTAGCCCCGGGGTGGAGTGACTTTGCAGTCACTCAGCTAGTGTGACGGAACAAGGAGCAGAGCCCAGGGCCAGTGGCTGTGAATCTGTGTCCGGCTCCCCACCCCTATCCCCCACCTCGCCCCACGACACTTTGTGCTTTGTAACAAAGGTTGTAGCGGTCGTCCTCATTTAACGGATGAGGAAACTGAAGCCCAAAAGTGTAATGGCTCCAGGGGTGCAAGGATGGGACCAGAGTCCAAATTTCCCGAAAAGCCAGTCGTGTGTGTTCCCCCTGCCCTGCCCCCCATGTCGCACTCCCACTCTTCACAGGGGACCTTGTGAGGGAGAAGGGACGCAAGGGAGACAGGCCTGGGGTCGTGGCCACACCCGTCACAGCCATGGCAGTGTCCTGTCCCCACCTTTGCACATCTCTGCTGGAGGCACAGGTGTCCAGACTAAGGGCCAGCGGGGCCGCCTGCGAAGGTGGCTGCTGAGACCCCCGCCTGCCGTTAGCCTCAGGGCCCTGATGGGAGGGAGGGGCTCATGGAGCCTGAGGGCGTGGGGGAGGAGAACAGGGCTACAGGTAGGGACACGTGGGACTGAGTTTCCCTCAGGGGGCTTGGCTGAGCAGGCCCAGCCTGGCCCCAAAGCCAATCACACATTTTCCTTGGGCCGCACAGAACCTGTCTGTCCTGAAGCAAGTGGGACAGGAGAACCAGCTGACCTGGGCCCAGAAGGCCATCACTTCGGGCTTTCACGGTGAGTTCTTAACTGCTGCGAGCTGTGCCCCAAGGTGACCTCGCAGAGAAATGGCCCTCGTGCCCAAGGCCTGAGCATCTGAAGTAGTTTTCCAGGCTCTTCGGTCTTGACAGTGGCATGGATGAGGGTGGGGGCAGGGCTGACGAATCCAAACCTGGCCTCCACCTCTGGAACCTCAGAACTTGAGGCCCTTTGGAGCTGGATGGCCCACCTCTGCTTCACTGCCCACTCCCGCCAGGAAACCAAGGCCAGCAAAGTGCCCGCTGTCAGCGTGGGAGCTGCTGCCTTGGCCAGTGGCAGGTCCTGTCCCCTCTGGGAAGGGCAGCGGGACTTGAGCCCTATCGGCTCACTCTAGATCTGGCTGCCCTGTTCCCGCAGCACACATCGCGGCCTGTCACGCAGACGGCCGCCCATTCAGAACTGTGGAGGCCAGGGCTCAGAAAGGCTGATCTCCCCTTTCTGTGCCCAGAGTAAGCTTATCCTGTGACCTCCCACAGCTCTGGAGCAGATCCTGCAGAGCACAGCCGGGAAGTACTGTGTGGGAGACGAGGTGAGCGCCCAGGCCTGCCCACAGCTCCTGCCGCACGCTGACCCTCTCCCACTGGGACTCAGCCATCTCCCTGGGCAGACTCAGCTCAGAGAGCCGCCCCCCAGAAGGCGCGGGGGTCGGGGAGGAGAGGGGGCAAGGCTGTCCTCTCTCTGCCAAGTAGAACGTAGCTCGTGGGAAGCTCCTTGCTCATTCCTAGTCAGCGTCCTCAATAGGAGTGAGTCTCGTTCCTGGAGGTACTCAAGCTGAAGACCTCATCTCCGAGATGAGAAGGCAGTCTAGACAAGAGATGAGGGAGTAGACTAGAAGATGTCTCCTTTCCCTCCCACTTCTGAGATTCTGGCGCTCAGGTGCCATTGGCTCCTACCGGCTAAGGCCCTGGGCCCACACCCCCACGTGTCCTGCCTTGTGGAAGCTCTCTCTCACTAGGGGCCTGTGATGGTGTTTCTTAACAGCACAGGACATCCGCTAAGACAAGCGAACCTCCTCTGGCCACCCACAGAGTTGGTTGTCAGGGCAACTGGAGCATGGCCCCGGAGAAGCCCTCAGCTCTGAGGACAGACCCAGACAGGGAGACGAGGAGGGGGAGGGGCAGTGGGGACGGATGGAAGAGCCAGAAGCTGTCGCCAGTAGACACCCAGACCAGCCTGTGGATCTGGGGTCTACACCCTGATGCAGACGCACCCAACTCTCTCTCAGGTGTCCATGGCTGATCTCTGCCTAGTGCCTCAGGTGGCAAATGCTGAAAGGTAAGAGAGAACTCTGCCACCCTCCCTCTTCCTCCTGGCTCTCCCCCTCAGAGCGCCCAGCCTCCTCCCACACTTCCGCTACTGAGGTCTCATCTCAGGCAGTCTCCATGACTGGTCCTTGTGCTGAACCACAGGCAGACGTACTCAGTGGAACACCCCGTCATGCCCAGCCGCAGGCCCGGTGACCTTGCATAGCCCCTGCTCCTAAGAGGCAGCGGCTCACCTGGTAGACACCCTAGAACAGCGGTTCTCAACCTGTGGGTCACGACCCCTTTGGGGGTCGAACGACCCTTTCACAGGGGTCACCTAAGACATACAGTAGCAAAATTACAGTTATGAAGTAGCAACGAAAATAATTTTGTGGTTGGGGGGTCACCACAACATGAGGAACTGTATTAAAGGGTCGCGGCATTAGGAAGGTTGAGAACCACTGCCCTAGAAGAAACCACCCAAGACTCTGCACTCCCCAGACATGGCGTGTCTGTGCCCTGCAGTGGGCTCCATCTCTGCCATCCTCCATCAGCCCTTCAGTAAGGCATGGACGAGAACCTCTCTGTGGAAGGCACTGCGATAGGTACCCTTAGGGATACAGAAATGTATAACCCATTTCCCACCCCCAGGAAGCTTGTGACACGGGTGGAGAGCTCATCTGTATTTATAAGTGCCTGGCACTGTGTCTTACACATAGTAGGTTCTCAATAAATAGCCATTGCTTGGAATAGGAACAGTAGGCAACAGAGACACCAGGAGATACTGCACAAGAGCGACCCCTCCCCAGAGAGCTGTCTGAACAAGGCTCCCCACTTGGCCACCTGCCTAGCCCTTCCCTGGCCAGCCCCAGGGGCCTCCTCCAGCCCTGCCTGTGTGCTTCCCTCACCACCCACAGGGCAGTCTCCCTGGACCCCTGCAGACCTTGGCTGAGGTGGGTGTTTCTCTGCCACAGGTTCAAGGTGGATCTGACTCCCTATCCTACCATCAGCCGCATCAACAAGTCACTGCTGGCCTTGGAGGCCTTCCAAGTGTCTCACCCCTGCCGGCAGCCGGACACACCCCCCGAGCTGAGGGCCTAGCTCTCCAGCCATGCCCCGCTGGTGCAGGAGCAGAAGCTGGGCGGGCTGAACAGGTCTGGAAATGAGCAAGCCCTCACTGGAGAAGCAGGAGACTTGCACTCCGAGCCCTTGAACTTGAACTGTAGCCCTGGATATGCCTTCACACAGAACCTCTGTCTGCTTTCGTCCCTTCATCTGTCACATGTGGTCAGAGTACAGTGGGAGGATGCTGGGAGGGAGGGAGGGGGAGGCAGGAACATCAACTGCTACCTGTGTCACGGTGCAGTCATTAAGATGACGTGGGATGTAGACTCAACTGCCTGGCAGGTTGACCGGAGAGCCATACAGAAGTCTGTGTGCCTCTCCCCCTCCCCTTCACTGTACCTGACTCCAAAGAATGCCTAGACTGCAATTTGATAATAAACAAACCCAGGCTCCTAGTTGTTCAGTTAAGGCTGAGATGTTCACTTTTCAGTGAAAGCAGTTCCCAAAGATGAACTTGTTTCCAGCTGGAATCCCCACACCTGGACCAGGGGAGGAAGTCGGCCAGCCCCTTGCCCCCCTTTGGTAGTCCTGGGCCCCTGGGACCTAAGCCCAAAAGACTGCCTGAGAGAATCGGGCAAGATCCAAAAGAGAACAGATACAAGAAGCAGGAAAGAAGGCATTTTGTGACCAGCTGCGTTCCCAGGGCTAGAACAGTACCACTGCTAAGTATTCACTCCAGCTCGGAGAGGGAGTTGGCCCTCAGCCCAGTCCCTCACCTGCAGAGACAGCATTCTCTGGGTCAGTCCAGGGTCAGGCATTTAGGGTAAACCCCCTCATGAATGAATGGTCCGGGAACTGGAGGCAGCCTTCTCCATGGGCAGTGTGATCAGCTACTGACCAGACTAGCTCAGGAGACCACCCAGGCAACAGTGTGCTTTGGTTCCCATGCCTGGCAGAGGTCAACTGGAACCAGAGTCACCACTTGGCAGAGATGTTGTCGGGAGACTGGGTTCCTTATGGGAGTGAGACAAGATGATCCCTATGTCCCACATCTGCGACTGCATTGCTCCTGCATGGCTGAGGTGTAAACAGAATCAGGGAGTGTGTGCGGTTCAGATGGGAGCCACCTTTCTCAGCCGTGAGTGCCTTTTCTTCCGCCCGAACCCCAGGGCATCTAGTCTCCCCCCTCATGCTGGGCTCCTTCGTGGCCTCTCCTCTCTTAGAAGACCTGGGTTCCAGGCTCTAGAATGACCAAAGTGGCCACTCTAGTTCCCAAGGTGAGTTGGTCCTGGTGGAACCAGAAAGCATAACAGGAAAGTAGCTAAGACACAGCAATGAGGAGACAGTGGTACCTCCTGTCCCACCCTGCTGCCATCCGAACCCTTTTCTCAGGTTACTCTAGACTTGCCTGGCTGCAGAAAGCTCCCCTGGCCTCTCTCCAAGGAACCTTAACTTGAGACAAGAGACTAATCTTCTCAGCCTGGTTATCAGGAGTCTTTACCTGATTTGGGCATTGGAAATAGAAGGTGATTAAAACTGGACGTCAGTGACAGAATGAACTCAGGAAAGGGCAGCCCCACACCTTCCGACTGTGCTCCTGCAGCTCCCACAGCAGGGGGTCTCCTGGCCCTGGAGGGACAGGGACCAGCGAGGAGCAGCAGGCACGCCTCGGGGCTGAGCTGGGCCAGATGGGGTGCTGCTGCTACTCCCCTGGGGTTGAGGAGGCAGCTGGCCCTGCCTTTCACCGACAGGCCTTTGGGAACCACAATGACCTGAAACCATGTCCACCAACACTGAGGTCCCAAGGTTCCCCCACCCCTTTCTCCTCCCAGTCTCATCTCCAGGTAACAGAGAAGCCCAGGAGACTTCTGGGAAGTGAGGGAACTAGAATCCACATCTAGGATAAGGTACAGAAGCAGACGACCTGAGCCCACTCCCCTGCCATGAACGATTCTAGAGAGAACTAGGTATACTGAGGGGTGAACCAGGGCTTTTCCCAGAAGAAAACAATCATGTCGGTCCTACTCCAGCTAGGGCTGGACTTACCACTTCCCTCCATCAGTCCAGCAGCACGTGAGCCCTCCCAGGTGAACCCACGGACGGGGAGCTGGGCTGTGGGGTATCTGACCCGGAACGTGGCAGACATGGCCCCTGCTCTCGCTGAGCTGACGTCCCTCTACTTCTGGAAATTTCTTCGGCCAGCTCGAACCCTATCTGCTTGTCTGAGCCAAGATGACTTCTAAGAATTGACATATTTTTAACTTGGGTCTCTTCCCTGACAGTATCAAGACTCACCCGTTTAACCTGGGGCTCCATCGGCCATCCTAAAATGGATAGCAGAAGCTCAGTGGAGGCCGTGCAGCCTCCATTATCGAACATTTAGAAACTATCCCTGAAGTGGACAAAACTCATTTCACATATTTCCCCCACAGTTCCCACAGCTCAGGTCCTCTCGTCCAACAGGAGTTTCCTGGTATGTGTCAAAGGAAGCGAGAAAATCAGCCCTGGGTGAGGGGGGAAGGTACAGAGCAGATGCTGAGGCTTCTCCTGGGGACTCAGCGGAGACCCTTGGGGTCCAGGACACTTCTGAGGCCCTCCTTTCTCACTGGTCTCCGCAAACCCAGACACACCTGCCCTTCCCCACAAAAACAGAAAGGTATCTAAGCCAAAGAAATTCACGCTAGGCTCCTTTAAGGGGACTCACCTGCACAGCTGCGGGGTTTTTGCAAGCATTCCCACATCGATGACCTGTGCCACCAGGCAAAGTGACCAAACCTCTGTACTACTCAGCTGCACTGGCTTGAGGAGGAAAACAGTCCACCTCCTTGTCTCATGATATTTTTGCAAGGGAGATTTTTTTTAACCTGGAATGTAAGCCACGGGAGCTCTCCACAGTCCAGAGCAGCACAGGCTGGTCTCCAGGCCAGGGCTGGGACCACCTTGCTGCCTGGAACCAAGGAGAGGACCAGCCCAGGACCCACGCAGCTCTCAAGGGCCTGAAACAGATTCTGACGTCTCCTGTGGGCTTCAGGGACTGGAGCTGTGAGAAATGAGGGAAACTGGGCAGATGGAATTGGGAAGGCTGCAGAGAGAAGGCAGCCCAGGTTGCCACCAGCTCAGGGTCAACGGAAGGACGGAAGAGCAGTGTGTGTTGGGGGAAGGAGGGGACCAGTGGGCTGAGTACAGGTTGTGGCCTCACTGAATGAGCACAGCTAATGAGAAAGGGGAGCAGTCTGTCTGGTTTCTGAGCCTGCAGTTTTGAGTCACAGTGAGACTGTCATGTGTTCCCAGCCCTGGGATCTCCATGGAGTCCAGGTCAACAACAGGGTTAACTGCTCAGCTGGAGACCTGAGATTTTGCCAGCTTCAGCCCTGCCCCATAGGGAACCATCCTCCAGGGACCTGGGGCTGGCTACATGGGAGAGAGAGCCTTCTCCTCTATTCGTAGAGAACTTAGCTGTGCTTCAGGGAGTAAGAGAAAGCATTTCTCTACCAACTTCCCTGCAGGAGGGTAGTGTTCCCCAAACTCCTCTAGCGCTGTACCCCTCTTACCTCTGTTACCCAAGTACCAAGCAAGGTGACTACCCTTGCTCCATAAATGTGTTAAATGAAAGATATCTTTCCAGTGCAACTGTGGGTGGCCTCCCTGAATGTCTCCTCCTTTGGAGGCCCTAGAAGATCATGAAGGAGCAAATATTTCCCCAGTCCATAGAATGTTCTCTAGAGGTCAGACTAAATGGCTCCAAGACTTAGCAATAATTAAGCTGCTTTAAAGGGTTTTGAACATTACCTCCTCTGTGACTCCTTCCAGTCTGCAAATAAATTCTTATTTTCAGGGGTCGGATGTGTCCCTCAGAAAAAACCATCACCTATTTAGGGGATGTTTTCCAGTCGGGGCTCCTCTCCGAAGGCTGAGTGAGCGGTGAACGTCCGCACCAGCTGCTGGGTCGTGAAGGACGGTCAGCAGGCACCTGGGCCTGGAGTGTGTGCGGCGTTCCCACGGGGAGACGAGGTCTGCAGCTTCCCACAGTGCGTGTGGCCACAGCGGATGAACAGCAGGTGTTGGAGTCGCCTCATACTGGTAATTAGGTGGAAGTCGTTATATCCTGGCAAATACTTCAGAAGGATAAAAGCAGGAAGGACTTGAGAACAAAGCAAAAAATACAGGATTTTGTTCCAAAGCAATTTTACATGTCCATTAAGGAAAATAGTAAACTTATTGGACAAACAGGTGGATACACACATTCATAGGATAAGTATTCATTTTATTGGCTCCTCCTAACTTTAAATACAACTTATTTAGCTCTTGATTCCAAGGTCCCAGCAGGCATCATTCCACTTTGGGAGGACACCCGAACTAAGGTGGCTGCTGAGTTTAGCCAGAACCTCATGGGTAAAAGAACATCAGCTGAATGCCAAGAGCTGCACTGTGTGAGCTGCCTTATATAGTCCTGAACTAGGTCAGGGTCAATGACAGATGTGAGTGTCATTAAAAATTAAGAAACAATCTTTATGTTTTGTGTTAGCAGTGACATATTCAGCATTCTCAAATATAACTCATTCAAGACCCCTAGCTACAGTCTGCCTGGGCTTTCTATTTATTGGTTATGGTGTAGTTTGGTGAGATTGTATCATTTAACTCCCAGTTACTCTAGATCTCTTCCTCCTTGATACAACAGCCTCTAAAATATGTTGCAAAGGAAAGCAGAGAAAGATCAAACAGGCTCATCTTGAAAGCACAGATATCACTGAAGAAAATATTTAAGTGGCATCCCTCCCCACTCAGGGCTGAGCTCTTGTCACTCTGAAGCAGACACCAGGGATGTGCAGAGGCTGCACTGTAAGAGATGTCAAAGATATCTTTTGGTGTCACTTTTGTAAATGAAAATAGGCTAAATTAATATCGCACAAGCTGAGTTAATGATTACCCTGGTGTCCAAAGTACTGGTTCCAAAATTGAACAGGGTAAATAAATTCATTGGAAAAATGAACATCACTGGGGACCAAATACTAACAAAACTCAATAATGTCCTATTAGGTAATCATTCCTCTAAACCCCATTTTTTCATTCTTGGGCCAAACCCAGCTCCCAGTTCATAATACCCTGCCATGAATTGAAATGCAGCTGAGAGATCTTCATTAACCTGATTCTCAATTTTTTCTTAGTTGTCAATTTTTCTTAATTTGTATAACCTCAGTAGATTAAATTTATAGAATACCTTTCCTTTTAAGATACAGAGGAGAGATGAATACAAAAATTTAAGTATAAATCAGCTTCATTAAGATATAACTCAAATGTTTCTGGTGCATAGTGAAAAAGTTTATTTACGACAGATTTCAAAACTTGGAGAAAAGACAAAGAATGCACAAAAGCATCACAAAACTGTTACATAATATAAAAACACAAGAACTGAGCTATTTAAAGAACCAGAGCTCAGGATCATCTGTGTAGCACAGCAACACATTCAGTGCCACAGGGTGGTGAAATAAGGTATCTTAAAGAAAAATCACTCAGCAGGACATAATGATGAAATAACAATAACAGAGTTCTCAACTTAGAAATCATAGGAGATGTTGACAGCATTTCTCATGACATGACGGGACATGTAAAACAAGGTGCAATTAATGATTGGATGAGATAACTTTCCCTTTCAGACCCCTTTCTGTAATGTCAGCATCAGGACATGATACAGAATAGTAAGGAAAGAATTTACCTTTGTGGTTGCCGATCGCTTAAATATCTACCAGGAAAGTATGATCATCTTTCAATTGAATGAGAGAGCTCAGTGCATGGCACCGAAGCAGGCCTTGCAGAAATAAGCTAAATAGCCTAAAGTCATTTAGGAAACCTTTAAGCACCTGCCTATTCCAAGTACCCTTATCGAAAGTCTGGCTTTCTTATACCCCATCACTTTGATAACAAAGCAGCTTTCTTCTGGGAATTTCAAAACACTTCCCATTATTAAGGGAACATGGATAGGTACACCAGTCATGGGTTACAGGGCTGGACTTGCTCTTGAACATGGCTAAGTGGAAATAATTCAACTTGATTAAACATTAAAAATTTTTCATTTATGGGACAATAATCTCAGAAAGGAACGTTAGTGGAGTTTTTAATATGGAATTTCTTAGTTAAATGTACTGTTTAGGACATAAGAGAAGGAATCAAGATAATGTTTTCTGGATGACTCTTGCCTGAACCTAAAAATCAACAATTACAACCAAGCACAAGAAACATCACAGACACAGCATGTGAAACCTAAGTGAGGTCGAGCGTCCAGGAGGAGCGCTCCTTAAAGTGACTGCGCGTGAAGAGCTTGTCTGTAACCCTATATACTGTAGTATTTCAAGCCCAAACTTTAGAATTGTTCCTGACCCTATATCAGAACTTTTAGAAAATATACTTTGTCTCCTGAAAATCATTTCACATATAATATTTTACCCGTAGATAAGCCAAAACTACCTGCTTAAAGCAACATAAAACTGTGGAATTTAATTTAGAAAGTCTGTCTGTATCTAGGTAACAGGGGCACCTTTTCCTCATCTCTGAGAGTGCAGAGCCATGAAATTTACTCTGGTCCACATGCCTGGGCCTAAAAGAAAGCAAAGTGTATGTAATAGAAACCATACATTCAAAGCGGTGACCAGGACTATAAAGAAGAGTCTTGCCTCTGGACTGTTTTTGAGGGAATGACCACTTGTAAATGAACTCCACTCTCCAGGCTTGAGGAAATTGAGTGGGCTTCCCTAGCTCGGTGACAAGAGATTCCAACAGGAGGGACCTTCTTGGGTCAGGCAGGGACAATGCAACACTCAGAGGGAGTGGTGATTTCAGAAATCAGGCCCCACAGCCAAGTTTTTCTCGTCCTGTGGGTCCCAAATCTTGCCCTAACCCATTACATAAATAACTAGAGAGATGTCAAAGAAGTGTCCACAGGTGCTGGACTAGTGAGACAGAGCAAAGGGGTGGCAATGACCATAACCAGACACCAACAGAGCCAAAGCAGTTCTTACCTAAGGGCCTCCCCCCATTCCCAGAAAAGAGGGCACCGGGAACCAACTCCCAGGGGTTCTCCTTTGCAGAAAGCCACAGTTGCTGCCCACAGGAGACTGGCTCCTTCAGTGGGCCCTGAAGTCAGACTGAACACTGAGGAGCTGCAAACCCCCACGGATGTCGCTTCTAGCCAGTAACAGAGCAGAGATCCCACAGGGAGGGCTTGCTCTGTTTGTTAGCCAACTCACTTCATTTGTCGTCCTCACCAGGACAGCACTGCCACAGCCTCTTCACACGCCTGGTTAAGGTAACAAGGGTTCCGACTGCAGTCACACGAGTTACCCATCTATCCCAATATGGGACTTGACGTCTTACTTCCTCCTTCCAGTGAGGCTGCTGGCTCAAAGAACAGAGCCCTACTTCCAACCATGACTGGTTGCTTTACCTACTCAACTTTGTTCTCACTATTATTTAATTCTGGTGAAACAGGTAAACTGAGGCCTTGGACATCATGCTGCCAGTGCTGAACAATACCAGAAATCACCGACATCAGAAGGAAGCGGAAGGAGGCGAGGCCCTGTCTCTCGGCTGTGTGGAAAGGAGGGCGAAGGGACAGGATCCTGTGTGCACCAAGACTGGGAGCTCGGCCGTGTGGGCGCTCACCACACACTGGACTGCTGGAAAGCACCGGCTTGGACTGGATTCAGACACCCATTCCCCACATATTCCCCACGGAACTGTGCACCATGGTGCCCTGAGCACAAACACAATGGATAGGACTTGCTCTCTAACGAGCATAAATCCCTTAACCAGCTACCCCTCACAACAACAAAAATGAAGATACCTTCCTTCAGACAGAAACTCACTTTCCAACTCTTTTCAGCCACTGAGATGCTGGAGGGATGGTGCTCCCCGCTTTTCTAGCAGGTCCAGGAGTTCTACACTTGTGGCCAGGTGGGGAGGAACTAGTTAAAGGGTCTCGTGTGGGTCTGTCAGACCCAGGAGAGAATCTCAATGGCAACTCTAATAGGTTCTGTTCGTCTGTTCCGTTTACTACTGTGTGTATGACCAGCCCACCAGGTTAAAGAAGATGGCGATTGCACACCTCACAGGAGGTCAGCCCACAGGCCACAGCTTACTCACAATCCCTTACGGCCTGAGACTCTTCTCTGGTGTTGGTCAGAAGTAACCTAATCATCCCTTTCTTGGCCATAGTCCAAACCAAATGGGGCTACAGGAGCACAGCTGGAACTCCCCCTGGCTCCCTCCAAACTGCATCTTCTCTCATGGCTTCAGACTTGTAAGTCCCAGAAAATACCGAGACGAACTCACTCCTCGGCCAGGACTACACTTAGCATAGGTAATACTCAAAAGTATTTCTCAAGTCAGTCCTGTTGGAAAAGACAGCAAAGTAGGTTTGGGGTTTTTGGAACAAGCACAGTGAGGACCAGTGAGGCTTCTGGTGTAAAGAACAATTCCAACTAATGAAATGCAAACTAAAGAACTAAATAAAATCAGGCCCTGGCCAGCGTGGCTCAGTTGGTTGGAACATTGTCCCGTACACCAAAAAGGTGGTGGGTTCGATTCCCAGTCAGGTCGTGTGTGGGAGACAAATCATCAATGTTTCTCTCTCTCCCCCTTCCTCTCTCTAAAATCAATTTTTAAAAATTAAAATAAAATAAAAAAGAACTAATCAAAATCGGGATATGAGCAAAATTCCAGGGCACGTTTGATAGCTTTTCTCCTCCCCTCACTTTACTGTTTTCATTCCTTACTGTCCGTGGAGAGGGCAGTTCCCGAGCTGCACGCTGTTTCACTCAAGCCGCTTCCTCGAAAACAAGTCTTTTATGTGAACGTTAGGGTCGTTCAACAATGAACCTTAGGACTACATACTTTGGGGTTAAAAGGCAACCTTTTGCCCTGACTGGTTTGGCTCAGCGGTTAGAGCGCCGGCCTGCGGTCCAGAGAGACCCGGGCTCGGTTCCCGCTAAGGGCGCGTACCTCGGATGCAGTTTGTCCCCGGCCCTGGTTTGGTCATGCGGGTGGCAGCCACTCGACGTGTCCCTTTCACGTCAGTGTTTCTCTCTCTCTCTCTCTCTCTTCCTCTCTCCCTCCCACTCTACCTGAACAAAAAATGAAAAAAATGTCCTCGGGTGAGGGTATTAAAAAAAAAAAAAGGCAACCTTTTGCAGAAAAGTGGTCTTAAAAATAAATTAAAAATACAGACTTTGGGGTTTGAGTTTCACCTAGTTCTTTCATAGAGGGCCTGGGAAGCCTCATCAAAAACACATCAACTAACCCTGACTGTTTGGCTCAGCAGTTAAGAGCGTCAGCCCGCAGTCCAGAGAGACCTGGGTTCGGTTCCCACTAAGGTCATGTACCTCGGTTGTAGTTTGTCCCCGGCCCTGGTTGGTCGTGCGGGTGGCAGCCACTCGATGTGTCCCTTTCACATCGATGTTTCTCTCTCTCTCTCTTCCTCTCTCTCCCTCCCCCTCTATCTGAACAAAAAATGGGGGGAAAAAAGCAACTCAGATATTTTCTATAAATTTACAGTAATATCTAATATCACTGATTAATATAAGATAGTGAACTTTCAGATTTAATTATTCCACATATATATTCTAGGGGATGATATATACATTTTAAAAGTCTTAGATGTTCTTTCCCAAATAACAGATAAAAATATTTTTAAAGTGCATGAACCAATTAAGAAAAAAATTAAAATGGCCTATTTTCAAGTTGCTACCTATTTCCATTATAAAGCTCCATAGTGTCTGAGGATTGAGCTTTAATTCCAGAGTCCTGAGGATCTCACAGCGCAAGAGAGCTTGGAATAAATCCGTCCACAGCAGCTTCACAGTTAGCCTCCCTGCAGCCCTGGCATGTTGGAGAAGGAAACAGCAGAAACTGCGTTCTGAGGGCGAGAGGAAATACAGATGAGTCTGGAAGGTAGACACCAGGGAACACTTCTGTGAGGACCACCTCCCAGGAACTCATGTTGAATGAAACAAGTCTGCAAAAATCCAGGAGCTCCTGATATAGGAGAGTTGACGTCTGTGCGGAACAGACACTAATTAGACACTTGTCAAAAGGAACAGAATGGTAGAATAGCCTTTGTTTAAAAATTAGCAGCTTATAATTTTAAAATCTCTATGGTGGTATACCTAAGGGTGTTCATTATCTCTTTTAAAAATTTTGCTGAAAATTTTTCATAGTAAAATGTTGGGAAAAAAAATTAACCCTTTCTAAACGCCCCATCTCTCAACAAAGTAGTAGAACTAAACAAACTGAAGAAATGTAAGGACTCAACCACCCAGTGTAGAGAATTCCAGTCTCTCTCCCACGATGAAGTGCTCCCTTTCAACTGTTAATATTTATTTGTGCTCTGGAGGACAGGGTGAGGATGAAAACAAAGGATTTTCATTTCATTGTTGGGTTCTGTAAACTTGGACAGGGAGATACCAAGGAAATAACTGCCTCTTAGGATTTGCTGGGCTATAAAGGTCTCAGCAATTACCTGTGCTTTAGTAAATACTACTTCGTCACTACAGTTCAATAATTTCATAAATTTAATAGGAGAATAGTGAATGAATTTAAAAATACCTTCTTTTAGCTATTTTCTACAAATGGAACAAGGAGACCCTGACTGTCAGTGCAGTGTAGCAATGCCCAGGATTTCAGAAGTGACCAATCAGAGGCACACAGAGGCGACGGGAAGTCCCTCAGCTTCCCTGATGCAACAGAACAGGGTTCCAAAGAAAAGAAGTACAGAGTCGCTCACGGCAAAATAAACAGTAAGTTTATCCAGGAAGCTTGCTATGGCCTGTCCGCTCCATTTTAAGAGAAAGTCAGAAGTTAATAATAAGCAGAAAAAATAAGCAAGGCTTTAGCTGAGTGGAAAACAGCTCGGTAGAAAATTCTGTTACAAAGATTATATTAGCAAAGGCATGATTCAACTTTAATGATGAAAGAGTGGCCACTCAGCTATCTGATGGGCTGATGCACAGGAAGCTGGCTTTTCGCTGCCCACTAGACAGTCACTAAAATCATTTCCAATTTCTTACAAGGTATATCCATTTTGGCCAGTGTGATCCTCAATGTAGGCAAGTATAAAATCGCGGCGGCGCGACGCTGCTCAGAGAACGGGGCGCACGGCAGGCCACAATACCCCCCTCCGTGGGGCTGAGAAGGCGCAGGCTGTATCCCCCTTTGTTCCTGACGCAGACGCTACTGCACACCTACTGCGAGGAGCCCTGTCCCTCCGTGTCCTGCTCTTACATGGAGGGGAGGCCTGGAGCCAGGCACCCACACAAGGAAGGAATGAGCCAGAGGAAACACTGAAGAAGGTGACTCCTCAGAGCAAGCAAAAGACTGACATCCTGGAATCACAGGACATCACTGACTGGCTAGTCAAGTCCTCTGCACTCAACCGGGGGCAAGTGGGCAGATTTCCTCCCAACCCAGACTTCCTCACAGGGCGGTGCTGGGGTAGGTGAGCGTCATCCATCTCGTAAGGGGCAGATTCCTCCAGAAGCATCGCAGGACTGACCTGCAGGAATGCAACATGATCTCTCCCCAGCTTCTCCTAAAGTCATCAACTCCATACAAGAGGTGGCCTCAATGGCTCAGAGCAGACGAAAGCCTTCTAAGGAATAGATGGAAACCGTTTCAAAGACAAAATGAAATGTGCTTTTAAAAAATTAAAATAAATAAAGTAATAAATAAATCTATTCCTCAGAATTGTAAGGCAGTAACAGACTTGCCACAGGGAATAAGAAACAAGGAGGTACTGACAGGCGCAGGGGCCCCTTCTCTGCCTGAGGCCCTGCCACCCTGCTGCTGTGGTGGCCGCTGGCTGCAGCACCCTGCGGCACTCCTGGGCTTCGGGTCACAGTGGGGAAGGCCGTCCCCAGGGAAGGGCAAGGTCTGGCCTAGTAGAGAACATCCTATCAGCAGCAAGCCTTTCCGAAGAGACTGAGCACCAGAAGCATTAAGCCCTCAATGCAAGAAACCTACAGACAGAAACTCTGGAAGTCTGATTGGTTCCAAAGCACACTTTCTAAATACTCCTCCTCGAAAGGAAAAAACAGTGGTGAATATGGGTGTGTGTTTTTAAACTTTCTCTCTCAGATGGTACCCCTTCTTTGATTATACAAAAAAAAATTTAGTAACACTTGACTTTCAAATATGTGGGTTCTGACGTCAGTCCAGCACACCACTGCCACTCGTTCCCCTTCAACCACCGGTGCCTGGGGTAAGGGACACCTCCCCTTGAGCAGGAAGGGGTGGAGGCAGTTTTTCTTCCCATAAGATCCTAATTACATTGACCATCACTTTCGACTGTGTGGAAGTTGCTGCTGTCATGGCGACCACACAGGCCTGGGAAAGGGAGAGAGGAGGCAGAGAGGCAGAGGAGAGCCATCAGGACTAGCGGCGCCCCTCAGAGGCCGTGAGGGCTCCCGGCCTGTGCCAGGGACCACGGAGAACCAGCAGGCGGGAATATGGCAGTGGTGAGAGGCCGGACAGAGCCTTCTCCAGCCAGGGAACGGGCTCCTTCACAGACTGTGTGCTTTCCCTCCTCCTGCACGTCCACAAAGAGAGTGGGTGCACTGGATGCCTCTGCAGTAAAGGCTCTGGGAAAGGAGAGCAGCAATTGGAGTAATATACCTTGTACCAAAACCTGTTTTCAAAAGACAACACCCAACCTGCTGTTAGGCTTTTGCCTGATGGGTGCCTTCATGGAGGGATTTTGCTGGAGCCTGAAGCAAGAGTGTGAGTCGGGGACCACAGAACTGGGGCACTATACCACCACCTGCAGAAGCCAAGAAGTGGGCAAAGCTGCGTGGGTCAACAGTCAGGCATGTCAGGCAGGGCGTGAGGGTCAGGAGCCTCACGCTCCACTTCGAGCTCTTGCCTGTCCAAAACAAGAGGCACCAGCTGGCAGCCTGCTCAGCCAGCAAACACTGCCTGCCCGGTCCCCACGGGCCTTCAGCTAGTGTAGTAGATGTGGAAGTAGAGAGTCTTGTTGCGCAGCAGGGAGTAGGAGTTGTCAAACTTGAGCAGGTAGATGCCCTCGCCGGGGTAGTCGTGACTGCCAGCCTGCACGTCTCGGTGGCTGTCCCGCCGGTACACAGGCATGACCTCCCCATAGCGACCCCGCAGGGAGCTCCTGGAGCCTCTCTCCACATCTCCAACTGGCACAGGGTCTGCATGAACAGAATGGCAGAGTGTTTGGACACGAGTTCAGAGACCACACGTAGGTCCTACCTGAAGGTAAGAGAATGGAGCTGGTGCACTAGTGGCTTCCACCCACCGAGATCTATTGCCCTCCTACAGGAACGTGGAGGTATCTGGGCGGTCCAAGGGTCCAGGAGTGCTGGGCATCAGGACAGTGCCTACTCCACACACAAGCTTCCCACTCCAAATGCCAATGACACCTCCTCTGAGAAACAGGGATTTGGCTTCAAAGAGCCTACCTAGCTCCAGAAGTGTCTGGACATTTCCAAGGGAGAGAAAAGGATATTTAGAAAGGAAGAGTCTCACATCCTTTCATTCAACAGGGGAAAGAACTAGCTAATGGAGGTAGGATATGCAGACAAACACGCTGTACAGAATGACCTAGAATGTCCACTTGGCCTCCTAAAGAGCAGCAAATAAGCAAATAAGATATGAGGTTCTCCTCGTCCCTAAATATCTTAAGATTTCCCTGCAGACTAGCTTGTCCATGAAGAAGCAAGTTAAGGAATTGATTTAGGATTATATAGGAAAATCAAGGAATAAAGCTAATGCTTAGAACCTACTCTTATATTACAGCCCTCACCAAAAGTACCTCGGGGCATCCTGAGAGGGTATTGCAAGGAACAACTAGAATGGAGCACAGAGACTACTTTTAAAATTGCTCTTGGCATAAAATAAAGATGTAAACAGTAGTCAGCCAGCTGTGATCATCTATTGGGGGTGGTGAGAATGGGTGTATTTAGCAAACTGTAATCACTCTGTCTGGTTCCAGGCCAAGAATAAATGTAAACATCATAAAACAAAGAGAGAATAGAAAAATAGTTTATGTGTGATCTGAAAAACACTGCCTCTGTACATAACAGCACTCACTTGCCCCCGTCCTATCCTTGTCCCCAGGGAGATGCTGGGGAAACAGTGGGTACTGATTAAAAGGAAAAGAAGCTTTCCAGTAAGCCATCAACACCAGGCCCACCCGAATGTTCTCTGCGGCTCTGACTGGCCTGCATCGTTCACCTCCGCCGGCAACGCCGACGGTTCCTCGCCTGCACTCTAAGAGGAGGACTGGGACAGGAAGTGGTCACTACATATTAGGTTGCGCCTGGAAAGGAAACTACAAACTATGTCAAAGTTAACCTTACCTTCAATCTCTTCTTCTTCCTCGTCTTCATCCTCATCCTCACTCGAATCACTGACCTGCACAGTTATGTCAGTGCTGGTTACAGGGGTCCAGTCAAAATAAACTCCAAAGCCAATGTCATAGTCATCGGTCGCAAACTCCCAGCAGACACGCTTCCCCTCTGGATGGGTAGGGACTCGGATGGTCACCACCTCGCCCCGCTTCACCACCAGGCAGCTGTTCTTCTCTTTGCCCAGCTTGCTTTTGAATTCCTTCATCTTGGCAAAGGTCCAGATGCACGGAGGAGCCATCAGCGGTGGGGAGACTGAAAGGACAGGCAGCTTGCTGCTGAGAAGCCAACAGGAAGTGCTGCCACACCTGGTACTTGGCCTAGGGAGGCTGTCACGTTCACACAGTCTTCCTACGGACTTCTCTGACACTCTGTCCCAAGTCACTCTCTGTCCTTCCTTCCACCTCTGCCCACCTTTCTTTAAGCACCCACTGGATACAGAAACCACCTTCCATACTCCCAAAGGTCTTACCTTTCCTGTGGTCCCCCAGAAGGTCTGCAGATTCCAGATCAGCTGAAAGAATATCTATAGCCCCTGTGTGCTCAGACTGGATCATAACGATGTCGCCAGACCTCTGTGGAGCTTGATATTTGGCCATCTGCACAACAGAATTCCGGTTGGAGGACATATTGGAGTGCAATTCCAATTACCTCCCCTCTCCCAACTCTAACCCTAATGTGCTACTCACCAGTCCTCTTTCCTCCAGGTACAGGTTGCTAATAAATTCTACTAACTGTTTTATTTTATTTATTTATTTTTTGTTAATCCTCACCCAAGGACATTTTTCCATTGATCTTCTAGATAGAGTGGAAGGGAGGGAAGGAAGGAGGGAGGGAGGGGGAGGGGGAGAGAGAGAGAGAGAGAAACACTGATGTGAGGGACACATTGATTGGCTGCCTCCTGCACAACCATGACTGGGGCAGGAGTTGAACCTGCAACCCAAGTACATGCCCTTGACTGGAATCGAACTCGTGACCCTTCAGTCTGTGGGCTGATGCTCCTCTGCTGAGCCAAATCAGCCAGGGGCTCTACTATTTTAATGCCACCAAGATTTTCCCTAATTTAAAGACTCTTGTTCTTTCCTATTTTTTGCAACTTTCCGACTCAAGACACTTTATAAAATCTTTGCCCACAAACATCTTCAAAGCTTGCTACCGCCCTGGCCGGTTTGGCTCAACAGTTAGAGCATTGGCCTGTGGACCAGAGATGTGGGTTCAATTCTGGTCAAGGGCACGTACCTCGGTTGCAGTTCATCTCAGCCCTGGTCAGGGTCATGCAGGAGGCAACCAATTGATGTTTCTCTCACACGTCGGTATTTCTCTCTCTCTCTTCCCCCTTCCACCCTATCTGAAGATAAATGGAAAAATATCCTCGGGTGAGGATTACAAATAATACTTTTTTTAAAAGCTTGCTATTGGCTTCTGCATCAGCAGTGTTTCTGGGCCATGCCTTGGTTTCGCTGCGGCCTGCACAGTGCCTCCTACAGCTGCACACACGACTGCTCTCGCACCCAGGGTTTAGTTCAGTTCCCACTCTGCTACACAATGCTCCTTCTATAGCTCCCGTTCAAAGATTACTTCTGAATCACTGTCAATCAGTTCACCAAAGCACTGCAGAGAGAGAATCCAGTTTGCCATCTCTGTCTTCTCTTATGCACGGCACACCTCAGATGTCTTATGCTATCTGCTGTTTCATGCAGTATCAGTGGAAATTATAATTTCCCCTTAGACCAGCCCCTGGATTTGCATTTACAGTGCATTTGCTGCCAGATAGCTTACCTGCATGGAAGAGTACAAATGTCACTTGATACTCAAAGCCCTCGATAATCCATGGCAGGTGCCTGCAATCTCTCCCTAGTGGGTCTCACGTCAAATTATGCAGATTATTTAGACTCTGTTTCATGCTATTATGCCTTAATTTCCTGCTCCTTCTCCAAGCAGTTGGAAGGCAACAGAAGTAGTATACCTACTGCCAACATGCACATCAATGAGATAGCAGTCCAGTTAAGAGACCAGAATTATAGCCCTGGCTGGTTTGGTTCAGTGGTTAGAGTGTTGGCCCACGAACCAATGAGTCCCAGGTTCGATTCCGGTCAAGGGCACGTACTTCAGCTGTGGTTTGTTCCCGGCCCTGGTTGGGTCATGTGGGAGGCAACCAGTTAATGTGTCTCTCTCACATCGATGTTTCTATCTGCCCCACCTCCTCTGATTCTATCTGATGATAAACAGAAAATATCCACAGGTAAGGATTAAAAAAAAGACCAGAATTATATTAGCAATAATAAATAAACTTTGCAATCCTCCCAGACTCTATTCTCATACTATCTGTTTCTGGAGAATAAATCGTTCCGTACTTAACTCCATTGCTAAATGAGGTGAATCAGACTGTGGCTAACTTGCTTAGATGAGTCCTTCCTTTTCCAGGAGACTAAACAAAGGATTTAGCTTGTAACTCATTAGCTCCATAGCCTTAGTAAAGTCACTAAGAGCTCTTAGCCTCAGTTTCCTCATCTGTAAAGGGGGGGCATAATGGCACCTATCTCACAGGGCTGTTCTCAGAGGTAAATGAAGTGTTGCAGATAAAATGCTTTATAAGCTCTAATGCGTTATACAAATGTAATTACAACGTTTGCCACTGTCTTTACTGACACTAATACCATTTGTTATTACAATATATATGTTAAAAATGATGCCAACAGCCCATTCTTCCAAGGCAGGAAGACCACTGCTGTCAATGCCATTTCTATGGAATCTTTACCATAAATACTGAGTCGATCCACCGCAAGACAAGTGAGACTAAAACACATTCAATGGTTTAAGGCTCCTCACATAGAGAATATTTTAGACAACATATAAACATTCATTCTAACGCTTCATTTTTTAAATAAGTGCCTACTGGGTGCTAGTACAGTGATGGGCTCTGTGGGAGACACACACGATCATTCTCCAAATAATAAAATATTAAATGCCCCATGAGAACAAAGAGATTTCTGGGAGCCAACCTCACAGTGCTTTCTAATTCCAACCCATCCATATGTATCTAAATTCTGGTGCCGTAAACTCCTGCTTTTCAAATAGAGTGAGGCCCTGGCCAGTATGGCTCAGCGGTAAGAGCGTCACCCACGGACCAAAGAGTCCTGGGTTCGATTCCAGCCAAGGGCATGTACCTTGGTTGCAGTTTGTCCCCGGCCCTAGCTGGGGTCGTGTAGGTGGCAGCCAATCGATGTGTCTCTCTCACATTGATGTTTCTGTTTCTCTCTCTCTCTCTCTCTCTCTCTCTCTCTTCCTCCCTCTCTCCCTCTAGCTCTGTCTTAAGATTAATGTAAAAATGTCCTCGAGTGAGGATTAAAAAAACAAAGAGAGAGTGAGAATGCTCCCTACCTTGTTGAGGACCTGGGCCTGGTCTGCAGGCCGCACTTCCTGTTCCACCAAGGTCTGAGCCTCCAGGGCATCGGCTGCTTTCCGCAGGTCTGTGGCATCCTCGCTCAGTGGAGATTCTCTCTGTGGCCTCTCAGAGGAAGACAGCATGTTATTCAAGGACCCTTAAAAGGCACAACCGCCCTGGAGAAACTCAGAAATAAAACACCGTTCAAAGGACACACCCACAACCCGTTTTCCTCTGGCACGTAGGTCTCTTGTCAATTTAGCTAACCACTGCCCAGGACTGAACTGGGCCACAATGAAGTGGTGACAGAGGATGAGGGCCCACAGACTGACAAAGCCACCTCCCAGGCTCTAGGAACCATGGTAAACACACAGCTCAGTCACCCGAGATGGGCTGCAGGTCGGGTTTTATTCCTCACTCTGGGCCCCACGCCATTTGTTCCACACAGAATTTCAACAAGAGTTAGAATCCCAATACACATAAAGTCACTGATTAGAAGCAAGGAAACTGATCACCAAAACAAAGGAAGTACAAACTAATTAGCAAGGCAGTCCCTGTCCCGGTATCCCAGGAGCAGTCTTGCAGCATTTCCATCTCACACCCTGCCTTTTGCAACCCTAGCACAGATATCCATACCGCACCCAATCATTGGGTAGTAAGAAAAGGTAATCAATCGCTTTCTTTCCTTTGTAAGCACATTAATCTACTATCCCAATGGCTTGAACCACATCTATTTGACTGTTTGATTTTAAAGAGGCCAGAGAATAACATGCTCTCTTCCATCCACCCCGCTTCCAGAGAGACTAGGAAGCGCGGGAAGGGCCAGGGCTGTAGCACCACACCCAGGTCTGGTGGGAACGATGTGTTTCCAGTAAACGGTGGCATGGATCTTTAGAGCAGCAATTGTCAAAGTGTTGTTTGGGACCCCTGGGTCCTTAAGACTCTCTCAGGGAAGTCAAAACTTTTTCATAATAATTCTAAAATATGATTTGTCTTTTTTCATTTTCATCTTCTCAAGAGCATACAGTGGAGGTTTCCAGAGACTCATGTGGTGGCAACAGAATGAATGCAGAAGCAGATCTGAGAATCCAATGTCTTTTGTTAAGGCAGACATTAAAGAGATTTACAACATCTCTCCATATTAAATTACTTTTGCTTCAGAAAATAGTTGTTGTTCATTAAAAATATGTTACTTACATTGACATGTAATGAGTTTGTTATGGTTCTTTTTAAATGAATCAATAACAATTTTTTAATTTTTCAGTTTTAATTTCTAGTACAGTAAGCATTGGTGGATATAACCCACATAAATAAAAATTATTTGGGGTATAAAGGGTTGAAAACTGCTGCTTTAGGGCATCATTTCCTCTGAGTAAATGATTGGAAACAGTACTTTAAAGCACATGGGCAAACAGAGGGCGTATTTTGGAGTTTGTTCTTTTCTTTCTTTTCAACGCAAACAGAAAAACACACTCCTAGCTTATATATGACCTCTTCCTTAGCTAAAACAGGGCCATCCTTTGGAATATCCAAGTCACTCCAACCTTCCTCAGAATACACAAGAGGTAGCTGCTATGAAAATTAGAGCTGTGGGATACTGTCGATTGTTACGGGTTTGCTTGGGTAATCCTGTGTAAATTGTATATTGAACTATGTTGTGAGCCTATTTAATTCTCTTAAACCCAGAAATTACGGTCCATTTTTGTTTCTTGACACTATTTATTATTATCTGTCGCACTATTAGGTAAGCTTGATGGCAAGGACTGGGTCTTACTCCCTCTGTTTGCTCAGTATCTACATCCAAGCCTGGAGCCACAGCCCTTTGCACTCTGACCGCATCTCTCTAAATGGCCTTGCTCACCATGCCCAGTCCACTCCAGTAACAAAGGCCTCTGAATTCCTTGAGAACCCTCAAACAGTTCGAGCACTCTCCCACTTGAGGGTTTTTAGGCCGCTGTCACTTCTGCCTGGAGTTCCCTTCCCCTAGCTCCTTTCTGGCCTCCTTCCTTCGGGTTTCTGCTCAGCCACGGCTTTGGGCGGCCTCCCAGACGTCTGAGAGTGAAATGGCTCTCCCCTGTCCGGCCCCATCACTCTTCACACCCTTCCCCGGCTTCACTTTCCTTCACTGCCCTGGCTACTGCCTGACATACTACGTAGGGTATTTTATCGATTGCAAGCTGCATACTTGTTTTCAGATTTTAATACAACTAAAATAAGGGCTGTCCTAAAAATTGGTGGTATCTTCAAAGTGCCTGGGGCCTGGACTGACATGAGTTGTTTGCATTTGCTTCTGCCAGTGCCTGGGGGTGCAAGAGCACTACCAACGGAGTTGCCTTGACGTTCTGTTTAAGGGTCTGTTTAGACCACACTGGCTGAGTGAATTTAGGGAATGAACTGGTGACTACAGACCTGTGCCTCATATTCTCAGGGGACAGATTCCACCCTGCCCTCATACAGTGCCACGGTTGAGACATGCAAGTTTCCTTGCTGTCCTCTGATGTGTAGAGAGATTTTTCCCCTTGTTTATCTTTTCACTGAAGGTGCAGGCTTTTGTTGAACCAGAGCTCCACTGGGGGAGAGGGGGGGTCTCTTATTAGACTCACTATCTCGGGCATTTTTTCTTTCTTGCTGGGACATAAAATAGCAGTTCATCTTACAGTTGACACCAGCTCGGATCCTATGAAACACGAATGCTGCTTGTTTTCCAAAAGCCTGCCCCCCTCACTAGAATATAAGCTCCATGAGGACAGGGACTTGTGTTGCTTGTTCATTGTGGCATCTTCAGTGCCTAGAACAGGGCCAGGTACATAGCAGGCTCTCAGTAAATATCTATTGAATGAATAAATAGCAGACATCCAACCATTACTTGTTGAATAAATAAATTGATGTTAACTTTTGTTTGGGAACAAAGGAGGAATATTTGGAATATGAGAATACAACAGTGAGTCTGACCACTAGTCTGCCCTTACTGTATATGGCATCTAAAATTTAGTCTCTTCTTTGCCTTTGTGCATGCTAGTTTATACAAATATAGTTCTGTTTATTAAAACAAATTATTTTAAACAGGACATGCAGTAGCCACATAAATTTAATATTCACACTAGCTTTTATGCTCGGAAGAATCGGTGAAGGGTGTTTTGGGAAAGATAAACTGCAAATCATTTGATGCCAATGATAAACCACGGAAAGGAAAACTCCCACTGTAAGCCTCCGTTGTGCTGACCCGGAACCGGGAGGCCATCCCCGAGGGAGGGGCCAGCCAGCAGCCAGCCTCGCCAGGCAAGAGCGTTCTGCGGTCCCACTTCCAGTATATACAAAAACAAAGGCTAAACTTCAGGCACTAAACATCACGCTAGCTGGATTATTTTTCTTCACACACTAGACTTTAGAAACAAAACTTTTAAATCTTTTTTCTAAGAATGTTCTATATTCCTCAATCAAAAAAAAATGTATTTATTCTTAGGAGGAAAAATCAGTTCTGTGCCAAAAGCCATCCCCCAAAGATCTTCAACTCAACAGAAGAAGAGCGGTGGCAGGCGGATGGGAAGTTCTGCTCGGGATTTGATGAGAACACGAATTGTCTCGAATAATCAAAGCCTCGAGGAGGCTGTGTCTTCCGAAAGGAGTGTTATATACAGTAACCTAGTAGCTCTAAGCATAGAACTCAAAACCCTTCTATCGATACTCAGAATGAGCTTTAGAGTCAAACAAAACTAAAGCTGGGTGAACATAGCAAATTACTGAATTCACTATTTGCTTTTCCTCATCTTAAAAATAACACTAGGTATACTTATTTAATGAGAGTTGTTAAAAGGATTACATGAGATAACACATTTTAACACCTGGAATAGTATTGAGCAAATATAAATATTCAACAAAAAGTAGCACTTTTGTCATTATTATAGAACAACACTCAATAAAGTGTGGCTTATATTGTTATTACCAACTATCTTAATCATTATATTATCTTCCATCACCTAAATTTTGGGGGTAGGTGGAGTTTTATGTTATATACAAAGGTAAGAAGAAAGAACTTCTACTCAAGAAGTAACAGATTTTTAAATATCTTGACCTTCCCCAGCCATCAATTTTATGGGCGACATAAAAACCACAGGTTCCGCTGGACAACACTGTGCTACTCCCTGATCAGTGGGACTATGACATCCATGACCTGCAGGTTCTCCAAAATACAGGTTTTCATTAATTATTCCATTAATGTTGCATGTGATGAGTCGTAATGAGCCATTCTAGGGTTCGGTACAACTCTTCCCTTGCTGCCATACACTCTGATATCACTGATGGTGGGGGGAGGTGATGAATGGAGAGGGAAATTAATTTAAGAATGGTAACTTGAAGGTCATCATAATGGTTTAATCTAAAAATTACATAATAAAAAACTGCCTCCAATAGTGTATGTATGTGTGTGTGTATGCATTTTATGAATAAACATCAAACATAAGTTCTCTTGAAAGTCCACCTGAGATCCATTTCAAATGTTTTCACATTTGAACCTAATCTTCAGGAGAACATAAATAAAGACACTACACTATTTGTTACAGTTTTATTCTCTGCAAATAAAAAACTTTGTAACTTGAAAAGATCTGACACTGCCCCTAAATACACCGAAGGGTTGAATAATTAATGACAAAACCATTCACTTGTCTTCCCCTTTAATGCCGCTGTCCACTTCTTTCACCAACTCCTTATCTTATAAGAGAAAAGCTCTAGAAGCACGTTATCCAAAGCAGTGGCTGTCCCTACCTGTAGAGTGAGGAATGGGGCTCTGGATCAGAGGCAGAAGCCAGTGGAGAGATGACCTTGGTGTTTTCTAGATCTTCATTCTCTAGAAAATCATGGAAAGAAAAATTCGATATCTAAGAGGGAACATGATCCTAATTGTCTTGTATCTTTTTAAAAATCTAGCAGTTTCAAACAATTTTCCCTTTCCAAAAATATTCTGAGCATAAACTTTATACTCTGGGAAGCCAGTACATAAATTATTCAAGTTATCACATCCAAGTATTCTCAGATAGTCATAACCCATTAAAAAAAAAAAAAAAAGTCATTTTCCAAAACAAGTCCCCACAGAATTCATCCTAATTCAAGAACCATTATTTCTGAGAAAGCAGAGGTTAAATTAGGCAGAAAATATAGGGCACAGTGAGATGTAGAAAGAAATGAACTGGAATTCAGTGCCAAAGTATACAGTGCCACCTCTATACTCAATAAGCTCAGATCACTGTATCAAGATCAGGTAAAAGATGTTTGTAGTTTCATTCATTTACTAACTCACTCATTCACCAATAACTTACTGAATACTGTTAGGCACCCTCAAGGAGCATATGGGTGAAATGCATAATGAAGGGCTATGTTCCCAAGCTCACTACAAGCCTGTGGCTGGCATTATCATTGCCATTTTGCAGGTAAGGAAAATAAGGCATAAGATAGGATTCAAACTCAGGTAGTCATGCGCATAACCATTAGGTGCTACTTGGTTTTGTGGTTTATTCATTTAGCCTTCCAGTGAGCATAAGCATATTAGATAACCCCTGGTTAACCTCCTCTAGCTAAGACAGCGAGAAACTGAAGCCCAAAGTAAACCTCCAACCTTGAGTTGCAGTTTGGTAGCAACATAAAAGTACAAATGACAAGCAAATATCCGTGATCCAATTTTAATCTAGTCTCATTTTTTTTTTTTTATCCTCACCTGAGGTCATTTTTTGATATTTTGTTCAGATAGAGTGGGAGGGAAGGAGAGAGAGAGAGAGAGAAACATCAATGTGAAAGGGACACATTGAGTGGCTGCCACCCACACGACCCAACCAAGTCCGGTGACACACTACAACCGAGGTACGTGCACTTAGCGGGAACCGAACCCGGGTCTCTCCAGACCGCAGGCCGACGCTCTAACCGCTGAGCCAAACCGGCTAGGGCTAGTCTCATTTTTTGTATGTAAATAAAATCTATTTTTCTTTTCATCAATTCAATCCCATAGGTAGAAAAACCTTAGAGCTTATGCCATGCAATTTTCTTCTTGTAAGGTAATAAAAAAGAAAAAAAATTATATATATACATATATATGTATATATATATATTTATGTATGTATATTTGAGTCTCTGCCCCTAGTTCCTGGCACAGAACTAGAACCCTCATAATTTCCTAAGCAATATAAGCACTAGGAACATCTTTTGTCCTAATATTTGGTCTATGACCCAGTTGCTGACACAGTTCCTAAATCTCTAGAAATTGCCTGGGTGACCGTAGTGTCCTTTGTTCTAATGAGACGACTCTGGGTGGGCTCCTAGAAGGGGGCTGGTCACCAGAAAGACCAAGCCATGATTAGAAGCTTGGGATTCTCAGCCCCACCCCCCATTCTCCAGAGAGAGGAGAGGGGCTAGAAATGGAGTTAATGATCTATCATGCCTATGTGATGAAGCCTCAATAAAAATCCAAAAGTTCAGGGTTCAGCCCTGGTTGGTTTGAGCATCGGCCCCAGGACCGAAGGGTCAAGGATTCAATTCTTGGTCAAGGGCACATACCTGGGTTGCAGGTACTTTCCCTGGCCCTGGTCAGGGTTGTGCAGGAGGCAAACAATTGATGTGTCTCTCTCACATCAACATTTCTCTCCCTCCCTGCCTCCCACTCTCTCTAAAAAAAAAAAAGTACAGGGTTCAGATTGCTTCCAAGTTTGTGAGCACATCCATATACTGGGACAGTGACGCACCCCAACTCCAGAGAGACAGAAAGAAGCTCCTGAGCTCCCGCCCCTCCCAGACCTCGCCCTCTGTATCTCTTCTTCTGACTATTCATTTGTATCCTTTACCATAACCTTTAATAAAACGGAAAACATTAAATGTTTCCCTGAGTTCTGTGAGTTGTTCTAACACATAATCAAATCCAAGAGGTGGGTCATGGGAACCTCCAATCTGTAGCCAAGCTGGACAAAAGTTGTGGTAACGTGGGAACCTACTGCTCTCACACTGACATCTGTAGGGGGTGGGGGACAGTCTTGCGGGACCGAGCATATCTCCAGGTAGAGGGTCAGAACTGAGTTAAATTGTAAGACTCCCAGCTGGTGCTGCAGGGTGTGGGTACAAATCCCCACAACTGAGTTACAGAGCTGTGAGTGGGGTAGTGGTGTGAGAGTAAAGGAGACACACAGGAGGAGGGCTGGGGTTTAATTTACACATCTCAACAAAAGAACTGAGTCTAAGATAGTCGTCAGATGTTTCCCAGTCTCTGCCACTCTGTGAAGAGGCCCTTTTCAGTGAGAGATGGGAATAGAAAGTTCTTCCCTATGTTGACCTAAGAAAAATCTGCTTCCTAATAAATTCTGCAATTCGATTACTCTTCCCCAAAATATCCCTTCAAGTATTTACAGCCTGCTATCACATTTCCTGCAGGCTCCCTCCCAGGCTGACCATCTCCAGTTCTCTCAACCATCCCATACATGGTCTCTGACCATGGCCTTATTTAGTTGTTCTACTTTGTCCCATTTAAAGCAAGGAGCTAAAACGGACAACTTTTTCAGATGTGTTCAAAGCCATGCAGAGTAACTGAGACAATAATCTCTTAATATGGACACAATATTTCTTGACATAATATTCTAACAGGGCACTTGATTTTTTTTTTTACTGAAAACTTACACTGTTGACTTAAATAAGCCAATCAAGATCTCCAGAACTTAAAAAAATAAACTTATTCTAAATTCAGTCTCTCTTTTATGTTCTATTTTTGAAACAGATTTGTGGAAAATGATTGAGTTTTTAACTTAAATGCAGTAATTTACATATCCATATTATTCATTTCTAATTAACTTTTTGAAATTACACTAGTATGTACTCTGCTCATTGTAGACAAATTAAATATAGATAAGAAAATATTTTGCATTTACCCTTCCAGACTTTAATATACAAATAATCCATTATTCACTGTAGAAAAAAATCAGGAAATACACATAAGCAAAAAAAGAAAGAGAAAAAATTACACTAAGAGGTCGCTGGTTCGATTCCCAGTCAGCGCACATGCCCAGGTTGTGGGCCCAATCCCCAGTGTGGGGCATGCAGGAGGCGGCCAACTGATGTTCTTTCTCATCGATGTTTCTCTCTCTCTACCTCCCTCTCTCCCTTCCTCTCTCTCTAAAATCAATAAAGAAAAAAAATTTTTTTTAAGGAAAAAAAACAACAACTACACTCTCACTAGCCAAGATAATCATAATTAACATTTTGGTGCATATCCTTTCAGAAATATATTTATATATTCAGAAATATCTTTATACATACACATACATTTATACATTTCCCTACAGCCAGCCATCAGCTTTGTGTGGGGCATGGAGACCACAGGTTCTACTGGACACACTGTACCATGAGTTGATCATCTGACCTATATAATACCCACTAGCTCAGGTTCTCCAGAATACAGTTTTCATTAATTATTCAGTAATGTTTCATAGTTTCCACTCATTTGAGGGCTCAGCACAATGTATATATTTATATTTCTGAAAGGACATGCACCAAAATTTTTTTTTTAATCCTCACCCAAGAACATTTTTCCATTTTTTGTTCAGATAGAGTGGGAGGGAGAGAGAGAGAGAGAGAGAGAAACATTGACGTGAAAAGGACACATCGAGTGGCTGCCACCCGCTCAACCAACCAGGGCCGGGGACAAACTGCAACCAAAGTGCATGCCCTTAGCGGGAACCGAACCCGGGTCTCTCTGGACCGCAGGCCAATGCTCTAATCGCTGAGCCAAACTGGCCAGGGCAGGACATGCATCAAATATTATTGAACATTATTCATGAACATTTTTCAGGATCAAAATGGCTGCCTTTATCCCATAAGCTATGCCGTAATGTCTTAAAGCAATACCTGAGGCTCTATTCTTAGAGGTAGAGAGTGTTTCAATTTTTTCACCATTATACACAATGATATTATATTAGTGGTATCTACAACTCTTTCTTAAGACCTTCCCCTGCACACAGGAAGGGGTAGGCCCTGTGACCAATGTGCACCTATGCTGGCCATAGCTCACCTATTGATTTTGGGTAAACACATACCCCAAAGTCAGTCCAATTCTCTTCCCAAAAATCTGGAGTTGGTATCAGAGACCACAACAGACTAAAGAGCCTCAGTGAGGTCAGCGATGTCAGAGACTGAGCCTGTTGTTTGAAGAAGCCTTCACAAGCCCATAAGAGCAGATGACTAAGCAGGGAAGACAACTGTCAGAGACAGGAAAATGATGCAGTCAAGCAAAGAAAAGAAATAAGAAACCATGGGTCCAGGAGAAAAACAGATGCAGAGTCTACCTGAATACTTTCTAATTCCCATCAGGTCCAGCAGCACTTCCTCCAATTAGATTCTGTACGATTCATTTGTTTTTTACTTTTTTATTGTGAAATATATCATGCATATGGAACACTGCATGAAAAGCAGACACAGAGCTAAAAATGTTAATAATAATACCAATACCTGAGTATTCACCAAGTAGATTAATTATTAGTAGGTTAGAAGTCCCTTTCGTAATGCCCCCTCCCAATCATATCTCCTCCTATTCTGAATTTTGAGTAAATTATTTCCTTGTTACTCTTTATATATGTTAATTACATTAATTACTGCTGTGTAAAAACTTTTAGAAAATCTTATATATACACAAAATTAGAGACTAGACTCATCCGTTACCTGCCTTCTCATCACCTTACATCTTCTTTCATCTATCCCCTACCTCCCTTCCCCTACCACACACACACATCATTATATCCATTTAGAACATATCTCTAAAGAAAAAGACTTTCAACATAGGTACAATATCATTATCACTCCTACAAAATTGGCAAGTCTGTA